GACCGGGGAACAGGGGCGGCGACAGCCTTCCCTCCCAAGCTCCCCCACAGGCGCCACAGGATGGCTCACGAATCGCCTACTCGAACGGGTTTAACTGGCAAGACAGTATCCGCTCGTTCGCTCGCCGTTGAAAATTGACAGCAGACGAGATGACAAGAGAAGAAAAGCAACATTGCCACTCTCGTTTACATATCGCGAACTTCATGCAGCATGGGCTAGAAAAGCACCAGGACACTGATCTTTTTGTACTCGGTCCTCCCGGTGCATTTTGTTATCCGGTGCCATCCGTTCTCGCCGGACGCACCAGGCGCAAGCAAACCTTTGGAAATCCGGTTCGGGCAATTGTGCCTGTCGATCTCCCCCCCAAGCGGTGCGTCGTACTGAGGAGCAAACCTTAATAGCGAGACGCTGTCAATAATACAGCAGGGGTGCTGCCCAGGCATTCCCAAAGCGGTGGGCTGTTTACCTCGCTTCCAAGGTCCACGACGGTTGCTTGCCCGAATTCGACTGAACCCGCTCTAGTACAGGTGGGAAGCAAGGATGGCGAAAGGCATCGGCAACAAGATAGGTCAAATCGAATAATCCGTAAGACGTGTGTAATCGACCTGTACTTGTAGATGGTCTGGTCAAAAGCTTGGGAGACCACATGCGGTAGGCAGAAATCCCCCGGTTTCAACGCCGAGAAACCAGGAACTCCCCCGGGTGGTCAATGCTGTCGACGGAAGGATTGTTAACGTTCTGACGACTCGCAAGCGAACCAAGCGAACCGTTTGAAACAATTGAACCAACTGGCAGAGCCGTATGTACAAGCTTGATGCAAGAAAGCTACTCCTTAAGGTGTTCTTTATCTGTCATTGGTGGGCATCGGCTCCATGATACGCGCAAGTGAGAACAACGCTTCCACGAGTGAGCCAAGAACGGAGTCCACCACAGTAGCATGCGGTTGAATCGTCGTGCATGGGGAAATTGCATCGAATGTTACCAGTCGCGAGCTACCTTTGATCTGGTCCAAGAACATACGTACATCACATGCAGGCTCGACGAGGAAGTGTGAGAGAATGTGATTCGGGTGCCATGGCATCACGCGCGGAGCCAAACTGTCAAAGGAATTGCCAGCGACCACATAGTTAGTCAGGATCAGGTCCGTAGGTATGTAGTTAATCCAGCCCTCGCAGAAGAGATCTCGTACTCCGTAACTACATCTAGCACTGACATCTGCGTGCTGCAGGTGGAAATTGCAGATGGGGCGAATTCGTAGACTCTGGTCTGAGCGGCCTTCAGCTCCCTTAGTTACGCGGCCTCGGCATGGACCGGACGGGGTCTCCAGCGAGAGTATCCGCATGTAACTAATAAGCAGAGTGTGTGTGTCGTCTTGGCTATGCATTTTGAGAATCCCCTTTCTCAAGTTCTCTCGGTGAAGGATACCCACCGAAGCCTCCAAGTCGGAGGGTGCGCAGGTGTAATCACCGACCAGCCACCGACATAACTACTTGTACTTGTACTCCGTATGAGTCGAGCACGCTGCCTTGCAGTCGACAGTGGAGCTCTGGTGGCACCACGATGTAATGTGCGATGGTTGGCATCTGGTTGTTCTTGGTTTAGGCGCGCGGGGATGTGGAAATTGCCCTGTACGTAAGTGCAGGTGCACCACGGTGCACCACCGTCCCTTTCAGTCTAAACGGGCATGGCGGGAACGGTCCTCAGAAAATGGAGTGGCGCCGAGCTGCCAAAAAAGAACAGTCGCCCACGTTCCGCGCAGAAGAAGCAAAATCTGTACGAGTAGAGGCCTTGTCCTATCATGGTCTAGAGTGCTGATGTCCACCCCGGCGGCTCCTACTGGCGCCCTACTCCGCAGGTACTCCGTAGATTCCTTCGTGCGGCTTCTCGTGGCTGAAACATGAAACAAGTTGACGGAGCGACTAAAAAGGTGCAGATCCTCCATTGAGACCGTAGCTCCAAAGACGTACAAGTAGTTCCAATTTGGAAACCAACCATTGGTCACAGTATGTCCGAGGTATGACAGCGCAGTGGGCTAATCACGGCCGTTGATTTGGAAAGGCTGAGACATTGGGGTTCGACAGCTCACATAAGGCGCCCGCCGTCCGGCGCCTGTGGAATGCTGGACATCTGGGGTACGGCATGCGGGAGGACGGCAGATCGAGACCCTCCATCTGGCCAAAACTGTGCAAAGATCACCAAGGGCCGAGATTTCACACAAAACAGTGCCTGTCCAGAAATGGTCCATTGTGCGAGTCACATACTGTGTGATTCACGGGGACGACTCGACGACTGAGCTTGACGTCCTACTCCGTAGTTAGTTACTCCGTAGGCGGAATCGACGAGAGCCAGCAGGGATTGCTCGAGCCTCCTGCCAGGGGCCCAGGATCAGATGTTGCTCGAGCGTGGGTAGTGGGGACCTCGCTTCTGGTTGACTAAACAGTCTGGATCTTGCTGCATTCAGCATCGTCGCCGCAGACCAGGCGAGGCGTTTCGGTTGAAAAAAAGGGGGACACCAAAGCTCTACATGGCCGTAGCTCTGGCTGGTGCAAATTGTCCCATCACGGCACGGCCGGAACGCTCCGACTAACAACATCCCGTACGTACTCCGTAGAAACGGCGAAGAAGAGGAGACTGCCCCTTTAGTAGGTAGTAATTAGGAGATGCGAAAGGCAAAGTCTCTTTGGTGCTCCACCTTCTCCTCCATGCTATCGACATGGTGCGCGCATCCGGCTTGAAGCGGATTATCATCAGGGCAGGCCCGCGGCGCAGAAAGGGGATCTGATCTATTCATGGTGTCCAGGCCGATAACGTTAACGAGGATAGTCCAGAATCAGATAGATGCCCTGGTGATCAGCGCTGGAGTTGCGATGATACATAATACAGTCAGCATGGGTGCGAAGATCTGCTTTGGGGGCCCTCTTCCATCTCAACTTGTATCTATCCACGGACGTGACGGGAGATGGACAGCACCAGAGTTTCGGGAGTTGGGCTAGGGCCGAATCCATTGGCTGATGGTGCCCTGTGCCTGGCAGGTACTCCCAACCAGGTAAGGTCGTCGAGGTCTTGCGGTTCCTGCATTAGCGTGAAGCTGGTGGCTGAGCAACGGCCTGTTGTTTCAGGTTGGGCAGTTTGGCGATGGATGATGGGTCGCTCTTCGTCGTGTTGGCCCGATGTGATGCTGCAGAAGACTTGTTTTCAGGTTGCTTGCTTGTTTCTTTCGCGCACTGCTTGTGCTGTCACAGTCGCAGCAGGATGTGATGGTCCGTGATGGACTACGACTTCAGCACTCGCACCGTGCCTTTCCGGCTGAGCAGCTTCCGGGGGACATTCATTCGCATCAGGCATCACTGGAGGAGTGCGGGTTGCATCGTCTGCGATCACGATGCAGAGGATGACGGCTGGTCTCTGGTGGCTTTCTTTGTTCCTGCCAGCTATTTCTGTCTGAGGTGGCGTAGCCTCTTCCTTTCTCTACTTGTCCTTGTAGTGTCTGCGTAGCAACCCGCCGCAAGATATTCTTAGCCGGGTAGTGAAGATCTCGGTAGACGCCGCCTGCGGCATAGTTGATGATCTTGGTCAGCTGTTTGGTCACTGAGCCGCCAGGCCACAGGCAGGCAGATGACGGGCTCGCGATGGTTGTCGGTCCTCCGTAGCTACAAGTTGGTCCGTACGAAAAGCCGTGGCCGAACTGGGTAGACGAGGGCCAAAAAGAGAACGTTGCTAGTCCATCCAGGGGGCCCCATGTCATTTCGGTGTCTATTACCAGCGTGGGCGTAGTGCATCGATTGGACAGGCCACGATGGTTGTTCGGGAAAAGGGTCGACAGTGCCGGGGGGGCCAACAGCCAGGCAAGCAGTTGACTGGTGGGGCGACCCCTGTTTTAGAAAGCCCCCCCCGGGCGCCCATTTTTGGAGCCGCGCGCTCTCGCTAGGAAAACTTCCATGGATGTCATCCGTACCGCTGTGTCCACTAAAAAAAGTGCTGTTAGCCTTGACGTGCCTTGTGCGGGGCCGCCCCCTTTAGCCCACCAGCTTGATCTGGCTGACTGTGTGTTGTGCAGGTGCATTGTGCTCGAGTTACGGAGTACCTACCTAGTAGGTAGGTACGTACCTCTTGTACCTCTTTGAAGGACCAAATCTGCACTACAACTCTCCAGAAACACTCGATGGCCATACCGTAGCATCCATCAATCCTGGATGTATCCCACTCGTCAGCCAGGAACCGCGGCGATGCGCTCACTCACCTCACCTCCCGTTATTTCTCTAAACGCTGCTTGCGGCCCGAGCAGGAAAGGGGGGGGGAAAGCAAGGGGCCGTCTCCCCCAGAGGCAGAAACGTGGGCCTCTTGCTCGTAGCCAACCAACCCCCAAGCCATGACACTTCAGCTACTGAGTGCACAGTTCTGATACCAACGAGGCTCAGGACGGAGCAGGGGATGCAATGGCAACGGACCTTTGCCTCGCTTAGTTACGATGTACAACGCCGAAGCCGTCCATCAACCCCTGCACTGCCATGTCCAAAAAGAGCATCCGAACAAAGGCCCATCCATCCATCCTTGTCCCTTGTCCGTCCAAGTGCCAGGGTCAAAGCCATGGGGGGACCACCTGGGCTCTTTGACCCCCAGTCGCTGCTGCGCTTACCAGGTATCCATGGCACGGCCAGCTTTGTGTCTCCACGAGAGAAGTCTCCGTCGAGCCAGAGAGCCGCCTCCCGGCCTGGCTTACACGCTTTGCGGCCTCTCCAACCATCGTGTGAGTTGGTATATAGCCCGAGTTGGTCCTCCTCTCTGTCCTCCCTTCTCTTCTCTTTCCCATGCTTCAAGCAGCACAGCCTTTTCTTTTCAACAGTCGATTCTGTTCCATATCGAACGTTTACTTTCTCGAGAGTCAAAGTCATTCGCTTCTTTGCTCTCAGCCTCCTCGTTTTGAATAACCCAATTTTTCGTTTTATATCGACACTCACTCAACAACACATACAACCGACTCAAGTTACAAGATACTCAAGATGAAGTCTGTCTCTGTCCTCGGCTTTGCTGCCGGTGCTGCTGCCACCTTCGTAAGTTGCCCTATATACACATGCAGCCTCGCCTCTGTAGGGTGCATTGCATATGGCCAACGACTAACACAGCATCGTCTAGGGCTTCCACAACGCTCCCCCCTTCACCTGCCCGGAGAACACGGACAACAAGTGTACCCCGAAGCAGATCCCTGGCTTCGACTTCAACGATGCCACCCCCGGTCCCTTCAACAACTATGACGGCTTCGACTTCTTCGGCTGGGAGTGCAAGTCCGGCAGCGGCCGCCGTGACCGCTTCGATGCCCGCACCTTTGGCGGCAAGTCTATCTTCGGTAGCTGCGGTCCTGACAAGCAGTCTTCTCCTTCTTTCGGCTGCGGCAAGGGTGGCCAGACCGACAAGTTCTCGCTCGGCGGCATCCACGTCATCCCCGAGTTCGACTGCGATCTCGAGTTCCACTACGACATGCCTGACGGCTCTCAGTGCAAGCACCGCTCTCCCTGCTCTTCCAAGGGTACTTGGGTCAAGAACAACCAGTGCGGTGGTGCCAAGAACGTGACCATCGTCTACCCTCCCCAGCCCCAGAAGCCCAAGAAGACCTGCGGTGTCCACGTCCCCTCCATGACCTTCGACTGCGGTACCAAGAGCATCCCCCCTCCCACTAAGCCCGCCACCAAGCCCGCCACCACCAAGCCTGCCACCACCGCTCCTCCTACCAAGCCCGTCACCACCCCTGCTGTGCCCACGACCTCGGTCGACACCGACACCTGCAGCGACGAGGAGAGCACCACCACTCCGGCCACCAAGCCCGCGACCACCCCGTCCTCCCCTGGTGTGACCACCCCCACCCAGAGCAAGCCGTCTGAGACCCAGCCCACCCAGAGCAAGCCTTCTGAGACCAAGCCTACTCAGAGCAAGCCTACTCAGACTACTCCTGGCCAGACCACCACCAGCAACTCGCCTGGCTCCTCGACCAGCAGCGTCCCCTCTGTCGGCACTCCCTCTGTCAGCACCGGCTTCAGCATCACCACGACCAGCTTCATGAGCACCTCGACCATCTTCACCACCAGCGTCTCCACCATCACGAGCTGCGCTCCCACTGTGCCGAACTGCCCTGCTGGCAGCGTGACCACCACCATTGTCACCGTTCCCGTCTCGACCACGATCTGCCCCGTCACCGAGACCCGCTCCGTCCCTGTGAGCAAGCCCGTCGAGAGCAAGCCTCCTCAGCAGTCCACGACCACCGGCAACTCGCCCGTCTCCTCTCCTTCCAAGCCCGCGGAGTCGCTCCCTGCCACCTCCACCAAGCCCAAGGGCCCCGAGGAGACCCTGCCTTGCCCTGCTGTCGTTCCCCAGTGCCTGAACACTTTCCTGTTCAAGCTGTCCTGCTCGGACAACACCGACCACGCCTGCTACTGCCCTGACAAGCTGTTCGTCGAGAACGTCTTCAGCTGCATCTACGCCCACGGCGAGAGCGACACCATCGTCTCCCAGGCCGTTGTCTTCTTCCAGGGTCTCTGCGCGCCCTACGTCCCCAAGAACCCGGCCATTGTCACTGGCGCCACCGTCACCACTTACATCACCGTGACTGCCACCCCCACCGTCCCTGCCCAGCAGCAGACCACCGTCATCGTTGACCAGACCACCGTCGTGCCCTGCACCGACGAGTCCGGCTCGACCATCCCCAACTCGAGCACCACCGTCACCATCTCGACGGCGATGACCGTGCCCCAGGTCGGCTTCACCACCACTGCTGGCACCGTCAACATCGTCCCCGGCCCCACCAACCCCGCCGGTCCTGCCGAGACGGGCAAGGTGTCTCCCCCCGGTGCCACCAACACCAAGAACTCCCCCGTTGGCGGCGGTGCCGCCAACCCCACCGGCACTGGCGCCGTCAAGCCTACCCCCACGGGCGGCTTCGCGACCGTCAACGCCGGTGGCCGCACCAGCGCTGGCTTCGGCCTTGCCGGCTTTGTCGTCATGGCTGTTGCCGCTCTCCTGTAAATAGGAGATGGATGAAGTGGGGTCGTTTGCACACAATGTATGATTAGCTGTTGATATTAACCTTTCATGCATTGCATTCCTTCATCACCCAGCGGTGCTTTTCCTTTATTCCTACAGGGACCTTGGATTCAAACCTCGATACCACCTACACACAACACACTATCTAATTCTTACGATCCTTACGACAAAGCATTTACATGGTTTGGGACCCCATACAGTCGGGTACATTTTTATATACATACACACACACATGTTGTCAGCTAGAAAAGTTGGGTCTTTCAAGCTCGCAGATAACACTACAGCTATACATAGCCGCTCTCGCAATTTTTGGCTCTTTTTTTTTTCCTCGCACATTTTCCTCTTTTTCTGGTTTACTTCTCCTTTCCCTCCGGGTGGTGACAAAATGGGATGACAAATGGTGATGGGGCTTGTTCACGATGGGACATGTATATGATGACGGAGGGAACTCGCACATAGGAGATTTAAGCTTCCAAGAGGTCTATGGAGCGATTATCATATACCCCAGGCGGATATAAAACGTCCCTGTAGTAATAGTAATACATGGCAAGACCATATTTCAAATATTGCCTATCTTCCTCGGATGCTCGTAGACTGTGACTTGAAGCTATAATCAGGAAGAAAGAACAACAATTGCTTGACAGTGTTGTCGCTCAGTGGAGATATGTACACCATACAGGGAACAGTAGGAAAGCACCAGGAACAGAGCAAAGCAAACATATGAGAGCCAAATCCCGTCCCTTTTGTTCTGCAAGGATACATGGAAAATCTAGAGCGGAATGATCAGAGAACCATCCTTCTGGATATACTTGGTGATACCGTATCTAGCACATCCCAATCTGCGGAAGGAGACATAATATTGTCAGCATAGCTTCCCATGCACAGAAGTAGAAGACTTGTAAGGTACAACTCACGACCAGTAGTAGTTTCCCGTTAGGTTGGTCTGTAGCACTTCGATGTACTCCTCGACATTCTCATGCATGCCTGCATCGCCGGCTACCATGGCCAACAGGCCGGCGGCGGCACGGTCAAACTTGGCTACCGACTCGCGTACTTGCTCGACGAGATCTTGGACAATGGCATCTAGATCCTTGCCTGTCGCTTGCATAGTGATCGGGATAATATTGCTGTGGGCGCCGACATGCTGGTGGTGTGACTTAGTGTGAGCGGTGCCCTCGTGTGGAAGAATGTCTGAAGGGATATCACTCACTATTTCCTTCTTCAGGGACAGTATATCGTTGACGCTACAGCAAAGTTTGTTAACTTACTGCATACCAGTGCCATTCCTCGGATGACTTACATCGATATGTTGTTGTTATGCTCATCCCACAGAGCCTCGAGCTCTCGAGTCTGGAAAAGCTCCTCAGGAAGCTGCACTCCGGCCAGGAAGCTACGCATGTCCAGTCCACCGTCAGCCTTATCCTCCACCCTCCCCCCAGCAGACAGATACGTAGAGTGTCGGGAAAAGAAAGAAAAAAGACTCACTCAGCCAACGCCGCGCTGGAATACACCGACGTCGTGCCCCTGCGCTGCGCCCAGTACTCCTCGACCGACGGCAGCACCCCCTCGTAGTAGTGGCTCTGCTCGACCTCGCAGCAGCGCATGTAATACTCGATCTCCCGGAAGAAGCGCCGGCGCCCGGCCTCGCTGTGTCCGGCGCATAGGCGCTCCCCGATAAAGTCGAACACGACGGCCGTCGCCTCGGAAGGGGCCACGGGCGGCGGCGCCGTGGGCCGTCCACATCCGGCTGCGGCGAGGCCGAGCTTGTGCTCGATGAAGGCGATGGCCTGCCTGTGCAGCTCTCTAGTGCTAGCCATGTCGTGCATGGCATCCTCGCCGTCAAGGGCGTCGTCCCAGATGAAGAGCCAGAGGTTGTAGAACGCGGCGCAGAGGGCTGCGTCGACAGAGGCGGAGGGCCACCATCTGTTACACAGAAAAAAGGGGGTTGATTAGGACTCATGACAGAACTGCAAGGGGCAAAGACGTCGACAACTAGACTGACCTCGAAGTAAAGACGGGAATGTCGCACTTGTCTGCCTTGAGGCGTGTCTTGGGATCCTTGATCCATTCGTCAAGCTTGCGGTTGATGATCTCGGTGAGCTCTGCCTGGTGGGGGCTGAGACGGGACGGCCAGTGGGCAAAGATGTCTTGAAGATTAGGTACGTGCAACTCCTTGCCCTTGAGGCGAGCAGAAACAATGTCGATAGAGTCTAGAGAACCCATTTTGGTGTAGAGTGCTGCCCCGTGTGATGGCAAGATCGAGATGCGGTCCAACTGTCGGACCCAGCCCTCTTATAGACAGACCCAGGAGACATGAACACATCCTCACCATTCTGCACTGTTACCTTCAGCTATTGCGATTATTATTTACAAAGACAATAGGGGCCCCTGTAACGTCTCGGTCTGAGATGTGTCGGACTTCAATCTGACCAACCGGCGGAGATTCCAGATGACAGCACCGTCGCCCTCTCTGTTGTTGGATGACAAAAGTAAGCAAGCCTCGCTCGGGAACCAGCGGCACGGTGTGATGACTTCGGTGACATTCTTGACAGGAGGCAACAGCATGGCAGTGTGGTCATGTTACCCACCATGATCTCATCTTTGGAACCAACAGTTCTCCCATTTCGCTCTTTCTTGTTCTTTTTGGGGGTCCCCTGACACATGTCGAGGCGGGCGGACTGCTCCGATGAAAAGTAAGCTGAATGAATATTCTAACCGTGCTGAATCATGCCTAGGGGGTTAGTGTTTTCATGATGGCAGGTCATGGATTGCTCGCCACTGGCAAGGAGAGTTGGTCGCCGGGCAGGTTGCAAGTTCTGGGTCTCTCGAGCTGATACTACGTTGAGTCTGAATTGTGCGTAGAGGTACAAGTCTGTACGAGCCTTTCATGCTGAGCAGCCCGGTACAAATGATCCCTCTTCGAGCCAATGTCATACCTATGAGAGCGAATTAGCCATGGCTTTCAGCCTCGTTATCAGAAGCCAAAGTTTGGGTCTAAGCCACCGGGATCACTCATATCAAGCGTGAGATGGTTCTGCATAGCACGCAGTTACAAGCCATTTCGAGCTAGATCCATTATAATACAGAACTCCTGATTTGATCTCCTCGCGACGGGCTTAGTCGAGGTCCATCTGGGTCGGGCTGTGTTGCGGATGGAACGTGGCCGGGGACACATTCCCTGTTGATTTCGAGGGCTTACTCGTGACTGGCTATGGGGAACCTGTGGTTGCTAGAATCAAAGATTCAATATCCTGAGCGCCAATGCATGGCGTTTAGACGTTGGTCGCATTGGCCAATGAATGCCGCCTGCTTCATGCATCTAGCGGCGATCTTGCGCATGTCTGTCCCTGTACGACAACTACCGGGTTGAGTTCCGACATCATTGCTGCTGGCGGGCCAGACTGTGTAAACGAGAGGTCACCTGCATGTTGCTGTAACACAATGCAGCCTAGGAGGCACATCGAGTGCACGTGAGGACAGGATGCGCTGTACTGTTCGGGCTGTTCCAACTTGACTGAGAGGAGTAGTCGTATGCTTTGCGATGGGGCGAATGCGGGCTTAAGGAGTTGCTGTGCTGTATCGATGGTTAATGATCCTAGGATTCCGATGCCAGGAAGGAGGCCATCTGATTCTTCCCTATTCGTGAGAAGGGCTGCAAGGTCTGGCTCAAAGGGGGGTCGTAGTTTGGTTACTGCCTACTATTGGACAGGCATGATGCATTCACGTTCACAAGCGTACCTATACTGTCAAGTGGGAAATCAAGGCTCCTCGAGCAATTTTGTGCGCTCTGTTGAAAGAGCTCAGATCGATTATCTAGAGCTGCAAAGTTCTTCTTGACCAATCCTAATACGCCGACCCTATGCTTCATGTACCGTGGGGAATTGCTTGCCAGTCCCCAGTGTATTATCAGTATTTTACAAATGCATTTCTCTGTTGAAAACGTGCAGCATATATCACGCGGACTTCGCGTCCGCTAGGACAGCGCCGCCGAGCGGATTGCCTGCAAGCCTCTTCTCGCCCGCTCTCTTCCTCAGCACGTTCTCGATAAAAGCCTCTCCCGCCTTGTACGAGGAGCGGACGAGGGGACCGCTGGCGCAGTAGAGGAAGCCCATGTCCAGAGCCCGCTGCTTCCAGAGGTCAAACTCGTCTGGCGTGACGTACTTCTCGACTTTCATGTGCCTCTTGGTCGGCCGCATGTACTGACCAAAGGTCACAACGTCGACGTTGATCTTCCGCAGCTCTGTTCGAGTATCAGTAAATGGATTGGATCTTGAAAAAGCATAGTATTGGATCAAACTCACCTCGAAGTGCATCCCAAATCTCCTCCTCGGTCTCTCCAAGACCGAGCATCATACTCGTCTTCGTAATGATGTTGCCCTCGCCCCGTACCTTCTTGACGTGCTCCAGCACCTTCAGACTCTGCCTGAATGTGGCCCTGCGGTCACGCACGTACGGCGTGAGGCCCTCCACCGTCTCGATGTTGTGAGCGAACACATCGAGGCCACTCTCGGCCACAATCTTGACCATGTCCAAGTCTCCCAGGAAATCTCCCGTGAGAGTCTCGACGAGCAATGTAGGGCTCTTGGCCTTGATCTTCCTAATGGTCTCAGCCAGATGCCTTGCGCCTCCGTCAATCAAGTCGTCGCGGTCCACAGTCGTAAGGACGACGTATCCGAGCCCCCACCTGGCGAGGGCCTCTGCCGTATGCTCGGGCTCGTGAGGATCGAGCGGCGGCGGCGTCCGAGACGTCTTCACGCTGCAGAATCGGCATCCTCGAGTGCACGTATCTCCCATGAGCATGATGGTCGCTGTCGCCTCGGCCTTGTTCGAGCCTCCCCAGCATTCCGAGATGTTTGGACACCTTGCCTCCTCGCACACCGTGTGCAGGTTGAGACCGCGCAGATCAGCCTTGATCTTTCGGAAATTTTCGTTCGCTCCGGGGTTCGGGATGGGAGTCTTGAGCCATTCGGGCAACCTCGTGATCGTCTTCTTCTTGCCCTTGGGCCCAACTTCGGCGGTCCTGAGAGAGTAGGCATCAGAGGGTGAGAGCGGGCTTGCGGCAGACGCGGTCGGCAGGAAGTCAGAAAAGGGCGCAACAGAGGTGTCTTTGAAGTAAGTAGGTCGCGCTGCCTTCTGGGGCGCCTCTGTCGAGCCGGAGGGGATGGTGGCGTAGCTCCTGGAGCTGGAGACGGCGCAGGTCAAAGACCTCCGAAGAGGTGCTTGGACGCGCTGGAGCGCTGGTAGAGATGCCATCGCGCCTGAGCCTTGCTTTGAAAGGGAAACAGAAGCACAGGCTCTCCTCCTCTCCCAGAATTGACTTGCTGAGTGGGCTGACAAACGTCTTGATGGGAGAGAATATCGAATAATCATAGATAGGATTGGACAATGAACTCCGAAATTCGAGGTCACGTGTGGTCCGACGGTACCCGTTAACTACCGTTGTTCTACCGTGAAAACTTTCACTCTATTTTTAAAGGGGGGCAATTCGATCGGTAACAGAGTTGGTACTTCAGTGGAGGCCTGGAATTCAGAGAATGTTCTATGTACCGAAAGTCTACCCCGGATTCTATGCGAGCCCCTTTGTTCTTTGTCCAGTCCAGTTTCTTCACATGCCAAAGCGAGGAGATCTCACTCGAAAGATTGTCAATGAGAGGTGTCCTTGAACGACGGCGCTGGAGAACATTATCTGACAATTTACCAAAAAGTCCTCACTGACTTTAAATGGCTGCTATTATTAGTTGGTAGCATGGACGATTACTGTCCCGGGCCTGGAAGTCGGTTGAAGCGTCGATGAAACAGATATTGTCGCTGCCATCGGGAGATCAAAAAGGTTATCTGCGAGTGTCCAGTATTTCTGGTAAAGACAACTTTTTACATTTGCAGCCTCTTCTTGTCATGCGATGGTTCTGTCATTGAATGCTATCAAGAGGCTGATGGGTGGTGGAATGCTTCGTCCTCCAAGCTTCCCGGCAGTCCCGCCACTACAGCGAATCGTCCACGAGGCACGAGGCGCAACGCGCAATCCATCCGCCTGTCATGATGAGTAAGTGGGCTGGCTGCCAGCGCTTCCTGATCAGAGCATAGCCACCACGAGCTTTCTAGGCGGCATCCAAGATACGAATGACCGAGGCGCCGGGCTTGACGGATTTGATTTGGTCTTTTTCTTCCTGCTCGTGGGATCAAAGTTTGATAGCCTCTTTTACCGTAAGTCAGTTGTTCGGTTAGGTAATTTTAGGTATCAGGGTCCTTTGTCCAGCTCGCAGTCGCCAGCTGTAGGTACCATCAGTTCAGAGAGTACACTCAATCTGCACCCGGTTTCTTCTATCCTGCGAGTACTGTGCCCGTTTGCGCTACTGAGAACCCGATCGAAGAATCCTCGTGTCAAGGTGGCCACTGGTCTCTGAGCCCATGTGGGTGACGCAGCAACAGGAAACGACCCCTGCCCATCCTCACGTTTAGTTGGCGGGGCGGCCTGTTTGGCTTTGTCTGACTGGCTGCGCCGGGCGGGCAAAAAGCTCAGAGAAGGTTGGCCTGGCACAGGCATTTGCCCGGCCCTCTCGTTTCGGCTGGTGGTCCCCCAGACGTCTCAGCCTGCCAGCCCAGCACTTTAACCAGAGCCAGCGCCTCCGTCGCACCTCTGCGTCTTTCATCAATCTCCCCGACAAACACCATCTCCAACCTTTCCCAATCCATCTTCTTTCATCACCACTCTTCTACGAACCCGACTGCGACCGCGAAAACAATCACGCACCGATCTTTTGCTTGAAGCCGATCGATTATTTGCGCTTTCCCTCACCCCTTTCTCGACCCAGTCGATCAAACTCAACCCAGCAACCATGCCTGAGGACGCTCCTTATGACCCTTACATCCCCAGCGGCCAGGCCGGCCAAGCCCAGCAGGGCGCTGGCGGAAATGCCAGGACGCAGGCACTACAGGCAGTAAGTTTCTCACAATGGAACCAAGCAAATTGAATGCGATGGGAGTTTGCACCCGGAAAGAAAGCTCGTGATCTTCGTCCTCGCAACGACGAGGTTAGCCCTGTGCGACCGCGAGACTCGGTAGCATAGCGACTGCCACCACCAACGATGGCCTGGCTTTGTCCATTCTGCGCCGAAATGGATACCGAAAAGGAGGCGATTGCCAAATTTTCCGGATGCCCGTCGTGACCGACATGCGGACCAAGCGCAGCGGAGCGATCAGAGCTACCGCCAACGTGGCCGTGCCCCTCTCCTTTGCATTCGAGCTATCATCTCCTGGGTTTTGTTTGCGGCAATCATCACGAGCTTTCAATCCGGGTCACATACTGTGGGATAGCGATGGCCTGGACAAGGCTGACGTGGATATAGCAAATCGATGACACCGTCGGTGTCATGAGGGAGAACATCAACAAGGTCTCCCAGCGTGGCGAGAGGCTCGACGCTCTCCAGGATAAGACCGACAACCTGGCAGTCTCAGCACAGGGATTCCGGCGGGGTGCCAACAGAGTGCGCAAGCAGATGTGGTGGAAGGTACGACTGATCTTGGATCCAGCCGTCGACAGCACAGCATACTGACGCTGTTTTATAGGACATGAAGATGCGCATGTGCCTCATCGCCGGTATCATCATCCTGATTCTCGTCATTGTCATTCCGGGTAAGTGCCGATGGATCAGGTTGACATCCGTTCAGACTGCTGACTCTGCATAGTGGTCGTGACCAAGACCTAGACTAAGCTCCGGGAGCTTTTGGCTAGCGATATGACTGAAGACACAAGGTTCCAACACCACGATACCCTGTCCGGCGGGTTGAGCGTTCCTGCCTGGCTTGGAACTGGTTGTTGTCTATGGAATTGGCACTGCGGAGTTTTTTTCTGATTTGGACGGGCTCTTTTCCTTTGACAAGCCACCGACATGGCAAACGACCAGATGTTGGAATGAGATCATGTCCCGGTGGCAACTCAAACGAACGGATTCCTCGCAACCTGTATGTATGACGGAAGGCAAGGCGTTTATACTCGAATAATTACCAAGGACCCTCTTTGGAGAGGTCTATCTTTCTCGAGTTCCTTCTTGCCTCATTCGCGCTGGATAATGAACATAGACTCTGTATTACTCACATGGTACTGCCTTACTTTTTGCCTGCTGGAACGCTTGGGACGCACTCTTTTGCCTGTGTGTAATTCTCTCTGGCCACTTTGTTGCCTATCGCATGGCAAACGCACTTGCACAATGCTCTGTCAATTGTTCTGCGCGGGACAGTTAGTTCTGCCATGCGATTGCTTCTTCATATTCATTTCCCGCTTCACCTTGGGAGGCGAGGCATTTACTCGACAAACACTGCCCCATGCCGATCTTGTAAGGATAAATACCTCGCGAGGTATTTCCTTGTTGCGATATAAAGCCTCACAGATGGATACGGGCTGATGGAGCCTCCAGGATTGGAAGTTACTACAGTTGCAAGACAAGCCAGCATACCGAGCTCCTCTGGGGCGACAACCAGGCCATAGCGCGCTGAAGTGGTGCAAAATTTAGGCGTGGTGGACCAATCATGCAGCCTGCTCGCTCTTCCAGTGGGAAGCGGTTTCGGTGCTGCGCAAGCTAGAAATTTATCTGATGCCCCTCCTCCGCAAAATATACCGCTCCCCAGCAGAATTAGCAGTTTTTATGACTCCCACCTCCGACTTCGACCCCCGTCGTGAACCGGCTCCCTCCCGCGAACCCTTCTCTCTTCTTACTTGAAGAGCACCAGATCCCCCAGTCAGCCACCGGCCGGAGCTGACCTCAGGTTGACCTTTTTCAATTGAACTGTGCTGGCCTCGGGGCCAGTGTGGGATCTAGAGCGCCTCCGCCGTTCTCCGTTGCCGAGGAACACTCGACACCTTTCACCTCTCCACCATGCTGTCCACGGCATCTGCTGCTCTGCGAGCGGGTGCTCGCCGCTGCGTGCGAGCCAAGGCTCTCCCCAGATCCCAGTTGCGGACTGTGCCCGCCCGGCATGGTTTCCGTGCTCTGCAGCAGAGCCGGGCCTTTTCGAGCTCCGCTAGCCAGTTCACCGACCTTAGCACGCGAGGACTCATGATCCAGGCCCTGAGCTCAATTGGCTCGAAGCGCGAGGCCCAGCAGTACCTCTCCCACTTCACGTCCGTCTCGTCCCAGAAATTCGCCGTCATCAAGGTTGGCGGAGCCATCCTCACCGACTATCTCGATGAGCTCTGCGCCAGTCTTGCCTTCCTCTACCATGTCGGCCTGTACCCTGTCGTCGTCCATGGCGCCGGCCCTCAACTCAACAAGTTGCTCGAGGATGCAGGAATCGAGCCTCAATTTGAAGAGGGAATCCGCGTGACCGATGCCAAGACTCTTTCCGTCGCTCGCAAGCTGTTCTTGGAGGAGAACCTCAAGCTCACCCAGCGCCTCGAGGACTACGGCATCCACGTCCGTCCCATCACCGCCGGCGTCCTCTATGCCGACTATCTGAACAAGGAGAAGTGGGGACTCGTTGGCAAGGTCAACAAAGTGAATACCGAGGCCATCGAGATGGCCATTAACCACCGCTGCCTGCCTGTCCTGACCTCGCTGGCTTGGACGCCCGAGGGACAGCTCCTCAATGTCAACGCCGATGTCGCTGCTGCCGAGCTCGCCCGTGCACTGGAGCCCCTCAAGGTCGTCTATCTCTCCGAGAAGGGTGGTCTCTTCGACGGCGAGGGTGGCAAGATCTCTGCTATCAATCTGGACGAGGAGTTTGACTGGTACATGTCGCAGTCGTGGTGCAAGTATGGCACCCGCCTCAAGATTAAGGAGATCAAGGACCTCCTGGACACTCTGCCGCGCACCTCCAGTGTGGCTATTATTCACCCTCAGGACCTCCACAAGGAGCTGTTCACCGACTCTGGTGCTGGTACCCTCATCCGACGAGGCACCAAACTGCTCACCACTGACAAGATCTCCTCGTTCAGCGACATTGAACAGCTCAAGGAGGTGCTCATCCGTGATCGTGACGGCCCGGATGCCAGCAAGACGGTCGACACGTACATCGAGTTCCTGAAGGAGAACCCCTTCAAGGCCTACTACGATGACCAGATGAACGCTCTTGCGGTCGTCTTCCCGCCCAACGCAGAGAGGGCACACGCCACTCTGGCCACCCTGACCATCACCAAGTCTGGATGGCTTAGTAACGTTGCCGACAACATCTTCTCTGCCATTAAGAAGGATTTCCCCAAGCTTGTCTGGACCGTCAACGAGAATGACGAGAACCTGACCTGGTTCTTCGACAAGGCCGACGGCAGTGTTGCGCGCAACGGCAATGTTTTGTTCTGGTACGGTGTTGAGGATGGCAATGAGGTCGTCCAGTTCATGAATGACTTCACACAGAACGGCAGGTCCATGCTGGGAGACTCGAACCTCGAGGCCCGACTTCAGCGTGCCGCCCTCAACGCCGCCCAGGCTCAGGCCCCCCGTGCCGCAGCACAACAGGCGCGTGGCTTCTCTACCATGACCAGGACCTCATGGCAGCACAGGTCGGCCACTCAAGCCCCCAAGGGCACCAGGGCATACTCCATCGGCCACAACCCCATCATGACCAACCCTAACCCGCCCCTGGGTAAGAAGAACGCGACCAACAAGCAGCCCGCCCGGGTGGCTCTGATTGGTGCTCGTGGGTACACTGGCCAATCTCTGATTGCCCTCATCAACTCTCACCCCAGCATGGAGTTGAGGCATGTCAGTTCCCGCGAGCTTGCTGGTCAACCCCTCGAAGGCTATGACAAGAGCGACATTATCTACGAGAACCTGAGCCCCGAGGACATCGTCGAGATGGAGAAGCGAGGCGACATTGACTGCTGGGTTATGGCGCTGCCCAATGGAGTCTGCAAGCCCTACGTTGATGCGGTCAATGAGGGCCGGAAGGCCTCTGGGCACAAGAGTGTGATTGTGGATCTGTCAGCCGACTACCGCTTCGACAACACGTGGACCTACGGTCTGCCCGAGCTGGTCCCCCGCTCGAACATCCATGATGCCACTCGGATCTCCAACCCAGGCTGCTACGCCACCGCCGCACAGCTCGGCATTGCCCCTCTGCTCGAGCACCTGGGCGGCCAGCCTACCATCTTTGGTGTCTCTGGCTACTCGGGCGCCGGCACCAAGCCTTCCCCCAAGAACGACGTCGAGAACCTGACCAACAACATCATTCCTTACAGCTTGACGGATCACATTCACGAGAAGGAGATCAGCGCCCAGCTGGGCGTCCAGGTTGCCTTCATGCCCCACGTCGCCGTCTGGTTCCAGGGCATCCACCACACCATCAGCATCCCCCTGAACAAGACCATGAACTCGCGAGACATCCGCCAGATCTACCAGGACCGGTACGCTGGCGAGAAGCTCGTCAAGGTCGTTGGCGAGGCGCCGCTGGTCAAGGCCATCAGCGGCAAGCACGGTGTCGAGATTGGCGGCTTTGCTGTCCACAGCTCGGGCAAGCGCGTTGTGGTGTGCGCCACCATCGATAACCTGCTTAAGGGTGCTGCTACGCAGTGTCTGCGTAAGTTTTCTTTCCCAGTCCTTCACTTCTTTCCCTCGCTTGATGAATACCCTTGCTAATGCTCGTGTGTGCAGAAAACATGAACCTTGCCCTTGGATATGGCGAGTACGATGGTATTCCGGTTATGTAATAGATCTCTCTCTCTTCCTCTTTTTTGTTCCAGAGCTTCTTACGGCAAGGGAGTTTATAAAGGGAATGGGTGGGGGTTTTTACAAAATCGCATTTTCAATGCCATTTCCGCGGGTTCATTTGTTTCCTTATACACCACATTTGTAGATAGCTTCAAGGCGTAGTATTTACCAACACAACATGAGATATCACATTGTTCGCGAATCAAAGCTTGTCTAAAGCCACGGAAGACCTTAATTGGCTCAGCTATAGAGAATCTCCTCGCAAACCTCGAACGGTCGAGGTTGATGAATTGGCGTCTCGGTTGGTTCTGGCCCTTGGAGAGAAAGAGGCTGTCAGGGGTGTCACGTGGGTCTCTTATCGTGATACCGAAAATTCCCCATCATCAACTTTAGATCTGGTGGTGCATCGCGCGACCTCTTCCGATCTGGATAAGACCACGCAAGAAAGGACTGGAGGAGTGCGCAAGCCGAATATCCGTCAAAATGTCGATGTTCCGGGCCAAGAAGCTCGACATTGGCTCATTTGTCAACATCAGGGTCATCCGCGACCACTCGAAGCGGAAGGCCTTTGCCGAGGCCGAGACGCAGAGGTAAGAAAAGAGATGGCCTGGTGCTTCAATGGAACGAACTCTCCTTGGAATCTGCTCGACTGACACATGGGTATCTGCAGGCAAGCGCTGCGCTACATCATCCGCAACACGACGCTGCCCACGAGGACGAGGGCCGAGGCGCAGCTGCAGCTGACGCAGATGCACTGCTACACGCGGCCGACGCAGATCCGGAACCGGTGCATACTGGGTGGGAAGAGTAGGGGTATCCTGAGGGATTTCAAGATGTCGAGGGTAAGTTTCTCGATTGCGTTGTCTACGTCTGTGTTTCTTGGCGATCAGACGAGGTTTGGGGAGAGTGGTCAGGAGAAGTGTGGGAGCGGCGCTGAGGATATGGAGAGGAGCCCTGGTCTGTCACAAAATAGAGAAGGCCTCTTTACTGACGTTTGTTTGTCTGCAGTTCAACTTTAGGATGCAGGCGTTGCAGGGAGGACTGCCTGGTGTGAAGAAGGCCAGTTGGTAGAGGACCCGAGGTGGCTTTGGATGGATATGCTGGATGGAGGCAATTGGCACAAGGGCATGATGGGCTAGAAGCCCATCTATCTGCTTTGCGTCTTCGACAGTGATGCTCAAAAATGAGTATCCAATTTGGGCGAGTGGCTCTGGTTACCTCAAGTTTCTAAGATGCAGTGAAGGAAGGAGTCGCTTGTGGCAGAGGAAAGAACCTGGAGGAAGCGGTTTGCTACTCCGTGTAGCAACAATACTTTTACAATGTATAACAATCATGACGATCAAACCCACAGAGTCTTCACTGTCCATTTGCCAGGTTTGCACAAAGATCCTCGTACGACCCAAGCAAACATCTTTGGTGGCTTGAGCTGGTCCTCATTTCCATTTCACCTCAACCACAACCCAACTTCTTTTACATCTCCTTCAAAGCTCTCCCTCTCTTCGCCCCTCTTCCACGCACCAACTTTAACTTCGACTACACATCTCATACCTGAACTCGTCACTGACAAGGATGTTTCGCCGTCGATTCTCAGGTCTTCCGCCTGATCCGTACTTCCCTCCAGACCTCAAGGAGCTTGGGTGAGTTTGTCCAAATCCAGGGACACATCTATCTCTCGATAGAATCCAGAAGCTGACCGTGATACTCACAGCTACTTCATCAACGAGCAAGATGAGATCCGCAACAGCAAGGACCCGAGGTTTTACTTCAAGTACTTCCTCACCAAGAACGAGCGCTGGAACGATCGCCAACGCTTTGCCATGAACGGTACGTCATATCCTTCAAGCCACACTGTAGGTATCTGGTCTCATACCCTCGAAAAGAAGCCGTCGAGGTCATCGTCCACGACCGCCTCAAGGAACTCGGCCTCGCCAAGATCCGGCTCCCGCTGGGTGCCGGCCCCAAGGACCGCCACGTCCCCATCTTTGTCTCGCCCGACCTGACGACCGCCTCGCGCGTCGTCCTCATCGTCGGCGAGTCGGAGCAGGAGCTCGGCGTCCTCGCCCACCGCGTCATCGGCGGCAAGGGCGGCATCGACGCGGGCTCCCTCGTCTCCGCCGTGCGCCGCCTGCGCTCTTCTCCTCCCTCTTCGTCCCCCGATGATGATGATGATGAGGACGGCGACGATCAGCAGCAGCAGCAACAGCAGCAGCCGCCCGCCGTCGTCCTCGCCAACACGGGCCAGCTCTTCTGGTGGCCCGAGGGCGGTCGCGCGCTCAACCCGCCCACCCGGCACCAGGTCCCGCGCAAGAGCGCCGTGCACTACGGCCTGCGGTACGACCCGGCCGCGCACGCCGTCCCGGGCCACGAGGACCGGCTGGCGCACGTGCGCAGCCTGTTCCGGGACGTGCTGGCCGGCATGAAGCAGGGCGCCGTGCTGGACGTCGTCGGCCTCGGCGACGGCGCCGACGCGGTCACCGAGTTTCTCAACTGCGAGCAGAGCTGGCGGGACTGGGGCGCGCGCCTCGGCTGCCTGGCCGTCGTCGCCGGCTTCTACGACGTCGCGCAGGTCAAGGTCGAGGGCCTGAAGACGTTCCTCAAGGAGGTGAGTTTGCGGGACGGCGGCATCTTAGCCCCCTCCTCCCCCTTTGAGAAACCCTGCAAAGCACTTGGCTGACCGGTGTCTTTCAAAATACAAAACAGCGCGCCCGTGCCTACATCTGCTGCGAGCAGCCCGTCGGCACGCCCATCTCGGCGGCCGCGGGCAACCCCCTGACGGTGCGCTTCACCGACTTTGGCTGCCCCGTCTACGCCAGCGGCGAGCTGTACTACACCGAGACGGCGTTCGTCTCGGCGCGCGACCTGGTGCTCGACTTCCTCGACGAGGCCGCGCGGGACCCGGAGGGCTTCCGCAACCCGGAGATGTGCGTCGAGTACACGGACCCGGGCCGCGAGCAGCAGGACGGGGACTATGATGCGTCGTCGGGCTGGGGCGAGGCCGAGTGGAACAACAAGCCCGAGGTTACTTTTGCCAGGCCCAACGACGAGAATAAGAAGCCAGTGGCTTCTGCTGCCGAGGGCAGTGGTACGACTGAGGACCCTGCTTTTGAGAAGGTTGTGGGTGGCAAGAGTGGTGCTTTTGGTGTTGAACCTGTCGAGGGCGGCGCCGGCATGTTGAAGGAGCAGGATGCACCCCCCCGCGGACCGGAGGGTATCAGAAGCGAGGCCTTCATTTAAGTGACGGCCAGGACTCGAGCCTTGAGAACCGTAGCTTTCTTTCCCCTTCAACTACAGATTTTTATGAACCCTTGAAAGATATGAAGGGCGTGTCGGTTGTTGACTTAATAAAACCGCCCTTGACCGAGTGATTGCAGAGCTCATCCGAGAATAGGACTCAATTTGTGTGATATCCTTCCTTCCTCCCTTTGTGGAGATACATACGCCCAGTATTTTAAGTTCGTGAATCGCTTAGAACTCACGCCTTGTACATATAATACAACTTTTTGGAGCCGACACACAATCCAGACTATGCGTGAAGTATAGAACTCGCGCCTCGAACCGGCGCCTCGGGGTCCTCCAACAGGTCTTGAGCTCTTCGTAACCTGTCCTTGGCGACCTTCTCTTCCGCGGCCCACCTGCCTTCCGCCGCCTCGTTCTTGCCGTCTCTCCAGAGACCGAACCAGCCCGACTTCTGCGCAGAGCCCTTCTTTTCCTGCTCCTCCTTGGCCAGCCTCGCCACCATGGTCTGCCAGTTCTCGAGTCCAGTGGCCAAGCACTCGCGGCATGTAGTCTTGGCGGTGATGTTCTTCGTCGCTGAGCCAAGCTTGTGCAGCTGCTCCTCTGCGATGTCCACGCCCTCTCTCGTCCAGGCGACTCCCTCTTCCCGGGCAGAGTCTCGCGCCGTGTACATGATCTCTCCAATGTGCAAGTGAAGCGCAGCTTCCTGGCAGCGCTCCTTCTCGTCACGGACCGGAAGCTCTGTGCCGTCGCTGGGCGGTGGCGGGTACACCGGTGGCTTCACGAAGGCCTTGACTGCGTGCAGTGTTTTCTGCGCCAAGTTCTCGTTCTCGCCCGCCTCCAACGCCCGGTCAGCGAGGACCTTGGGCGAGGTATCCGGTAGGGACTGGCGCGCCTTGAGCAAAGTGATGAAGAGCGGCAGAGCATCGGACACGTCGCCCTTCCGCGCGGTATAGGTGGCGTAGCCCGTCAGGGCCTCGAGAATGTTGGAGGATGGTGAGGTGGTGAGGCCGCTGCGCGACAGACTCTGCACCCACTTTTCGACGTTGATCTTTGAAGCCTCCTCTTCCGGCAGAGCGATGTACAGTGCGCTCTGGTACAGGCTAGACGCCAGAGGCATCTCCCTGTAAGCCGCCCACGAGGCGAAAGAGAGGACAGTCTCGAGGTGCTGTCTCCGGGTCAGGCCGTCAGTGCACATGAGCTTGTTGTATAGCTGTGCTGGCGAAGGGAACATGGGGTCGCAGTCCTCCTCTCTCGGTGCGCTCTTGGCTCCTGGGGGTATAGGCTTCGGTCTGGGGTTGGACGGTCCGATGACGACCTCGGGGGGGAAGACTATGCCTCGCGTCCTATCCTTGACCCAGCCCTCGACGTGTTCCGCAGCCTGGGCAGCGGCCAGAAGTGTCTCAAAATATCCCCTTCTCCACTGCTCGCTCTTCTTGCTGAGGTCTTTGGCTCCCGGGAATGCCCTGACAGCCTCCTCGCCGACGATGCCACCCACTCCGGACTCGGCGATGTCGGCGCCGTCGATCTTTGGGTTTTCCAGCCTCTCCAGTACATCGAGGAGCATCTGCAAAACCTGCACGTAGTCGGTCCGGCTGACGTCCTTGCGGTTCAGCTCGAAAAAGGCGCCGCGCATGCGCATGCGCGTGATGTAGCTCCACTCGGGGGGCGTGGGGTGCTCGCGCTCCTGCCACTCCTGCTGCACGGCGAAGGCGGCGATGGTGACACAGCTGACCATGGCCCAGATGTAGACGGTGTACTTGAGGCTGAGGAGCACTTCGTAGCGGATCCATTGCTTGCGCTCGGTGGTGAGGTAGCGGAACTGCTGGCGGGTGGACAGCGGGATGCCGAGGAAGGGCAACTGAGGCCGGCCGCGGCTGAAGGAGGGCGAGTTCTGGGTGAATCGGCGAGAGGAGCCGGCCCATCGCCTCACGGGCCGCTGGAGCAGGCGGCGCAGGGTGAGTCGAGGCCGCATCTTTGGGTAACCTGTTGGGAGGTGTCGGTGGATGGGGAGAGAGAGTCCGGGAAAGCGAGGCCGGGAATGCCCTCAATGGGGCATGCTCATCGTTGAGACGATATTTCAACGGGGTGCTGTGCCGGATCTCGAGCGTCGTGTCGTCCGTCCGCGTCCCTGTCGATGATGTCGGGGTACCCAATGCAGGTTCAATGACGGGATCGGATCGTGAAAAAGCTTCGTCACATGACGCCTCCGCCGAATTGAAGTACCTACAGTAGTTACGCGGTACCTACAAATGCACGGATGATAGGCACCGCACCTACCTAAGTTAGCCGTTGGCGCTGTGGGCTCCGCCTGGCTCGTGCCTCTCTTGTCGCTGCCGCCCCACCTTCCCTTTCTGGTGCCGTCGCAGGCATCTGATTGACGGCAATCGCAATTGGTCAAGTGATGGGCATGGAAGGTCCCTGGTCGGGTCAGTATTCGTCCCATCCGCAAACGTCACGAATTCCCGTCTCGAAATGAATGATGGCTCATACCGTAGGACAAGGCGGGTCAGAAGCTCACATGGGCTACAGCATCGTGAGATTTTGACCAGCTGCGGCAATGTGTCCAAATTCTAATACAAGTATAAGGAGATTGATCGCATCATCCCCAGACAGGAGAGATCATCGTGGGATTTGAGGTTGCTCCGCCAACCCCTCCTTTGCTGCCCATCACATCTGACAGCCCTGTTGCTCGCCTACCTATGATTGCAAAACGTGTCTGGGAAAGAAGCCACAGGCCAAAAACAGAAGAGAAGGCTTTAATGGACAAGCTCTCGATCCATCTATAAAGCCGGGACTTGCCCGGTCCCTCAAATACAATAACAAGTGCCGAGCAAGCACTGTAGTTAAGCTCCATAGCGAGCCAGGAACATCCAAGAATGGAGGTGGGTCGAAAAGAGTCCACCGCGCCGTCCGCGACGAAACTTGACCGGCTCCGGGACTAACACGGTGATCAGAACCTACGGCGCTCGCTCCAGGGCTTCCCCCACTGGGCACAGCAGCCCATCCCGAACTTCTCTCTGAGCGCCGGCGGCCTGATCGCCCTCGCCGACCTGAGCACCGTCGCCAAGCGCACGGCCATCGCCGGCGGCTCCTCATGGCTAGACAGCCTGCTCCTGGCGCCGGGCCTGCACTACCAGCAGGCCGCCGACACCATCTCCGGCGGCGGCGGGCCTTCCGGCTCTGGCGCCATCACCGCCATCGAGACGGACAAGGACGGGCGTAGAGTGACGCACGCTGTCAACAACGCCGCCACGATCGAGTACATCCGCTCCATATCCCGGCCCGGCGAGATGGTCACCATCGACGTCGGCATGCTGCCCAGGGCGGCGAGGCGGGGCTTCAGGCGCCAGACCATAGGCCAGCGGGCGACGGTGTGGACCGAGACCAAGGCCCCCGACCTAGGCTGGCTCTCCGAGCTGCTCTACCTCCTGAGCCCCCTCCTGACCATCGTCGCCCTCGTCCTCATGGTCCTCCTGCAGGACTGGTGGGGGCTCGGCCTCCTCTGCGCCCTGATGCTCTCCCGCATCCTCAACATCTGGGTTATCAAGCAGCGCTCCGCGCCTCCCAAGCCCAGACCCGTCCCTCCAAACCCGCCACCGCCTCCCCGCCACCACCACCCGGGACACGACGACCAAGGCGGCCCAGACCGCCGCCCTTACCACAGCCACAGCCACCCGCTCTCCTCTTCCTCCGACCTGACCTCCACCTCCGCCGCCACGACCTCCTCGTCAGCCCTCTCCGCGCCCGGCACGCCCCCGCGCCTGACCTCCCTGCTCGTCGAGCTGCCCGACGGCCGCAGCGTCTCCCTGCGCGGCATGTCGGACGACCTGCAGGCCATCACGGCCGGCGCCTGGCTGCGCTCCAAGACGCACGTCGAGGGCTACCTCGAGGCCGCCGCCAAGCTGCTCGTCTTCCTCGTCGCCGCCTTCAGCGGCAACCAGACCCAGGCCGGCGCCATCGTCATGATGGCCCTGCTGCTCTGCAGCGCCGGCCTGCTCGCCCTCAGCAACGCCCACGCCAAGGGCGTCAGGATGAACGGCCGAGTCGTCTCGCCCTACGCCGAGATGCCGCCACAGCCGCCCAGGCCCAGGATGGGCAGAGGAGGAGGAGGAGGCAAGGGCGTGTTTGTCAGTGGTGGTGGTGGTGGTGGTGGTGGCGGTGGAGGTGCTGGCGCCAAGAGGGTTGATCCGTCGTATCCTGTCGAGGCGCGCGGTGGTGAAGATGCAGGTAGTTGGATTGAGAGTGCCAGTGACGGTATGGATGACTGGGCCGAGAAGGGGCAGGCTGGAGGGCAGGTGGCACCTTCTCACGACCTGCCTGCGGGGCAACATCATATAGACGAATCATGATCACACGAAAGAGTAGCGTTATGTAGTTCTTTTGCCTATGGAGCCTAGAGAAAGTGTTGAATCTCTTCATGATCTGCATTTCCGTATCCCTCTTTTTGCCATACGCCACACGAAATTCATGACAAAGCAAGGGTCTCAAGGCCATCAATTTGCTCTGATTAGACTCCTCCGTCAAGTTGCAAAGAGCCCTTTGCCATCCCCGCAAGTATGTCATATCGACATAAAAAGAAAAGCAAACAGAAAGAGAATGTGGTGAAATGCAACAAAAGGGAAGAGGGTATTATGGAACTATGAATGTTATCAACTTGATGTATCTCCCAGCCTTCTTCGTGAGAAAGAAAGAGGAGAAATGCCAAACGACAAGGCACCTGATCCGATGACCAGGCAAGACAAATCATGAAATGACCCCATTCGAGGCCGGTCTTCAGCCCCAGCTCATATCAGAAACTCAGTTCATATCCTCGCAGCACCGCACAATCTCGCAAAGCGCGTTGAGGAACAGCCCGTCGATGTCGCGGGGTCCGTGGGCGGTGAGCTTGGGCTGCTCGCCATGCCGGCCCACAGGCATCTTGAGCGTCGCCACGAGCCGGGCGATGCAGCCCTGCAGTCCGTCCAGGATCTCCTGCGGTGTATCCATCTTGGAAGGTCCGCGGTTGCCGGGGGTGCGACCGCTCGGCGGCTGGCCACCAGCCGTGGCCGACCGGGGAATGGAGCGCGCAGAGGCCGAGGTCTGCTGCTGCTCGTCTTGCTTGACGTCCTCAGAGGCGGGCAGGTAGTCGCTCGCGCTGCCGCTCGGGATGCCGAGGAACTGCGCCGCCTTGAAAGGAATGTTTCGGCCATCGTCGGACCTCATGCTCGGCGACGGCTGCTGGGTAGCAGCCGTGGCCGGCCTGCTAGGAGCGGGGGTAGCAGCCGTGGCCGGCCTGCTAGGAGCGGGGGTAGCAGCCGTGGCCGGCCTGCTGGGAGCGGGGGTATCATCGTTGGACGGAAGGAGGAAGGAAGGCCTGCTGGTCGAGGCCGCCGAGTAGATGTAGTTGTAGGCGAGCAGGTGGGCGTAAAGCGCATCGCAGAGGTAGTCCGAGCCGTTGGGGAAGATGCACTTGAGCCGGGCGAAGGCGGCGGTGGGCACGTTGCTGGTGAAGGACGCGCGGTTGCTCCGGCGGCTCGGGTCACCTCCGCGGCCGAGGAAGGGCGCCTTAGCCGCTTCGGAGAGGGCCTTGCGGGAAGTGAAGAGCTTCGAGAGCTTGAAGCGCCGCGAGGCGACGGGGGACGAGATGGGCAAGATGGGGAAGGCTTGGGCGCCGCCTGGGCGATCGACGCCGCTGGGGATCTTGATCTTGCGCGAGTAGGATCGAATTGTCTCGATGGAGAAGCTGCTCGTCGTGAGGAGGGTGACTGGGAAACCATGGATGGAAGTCTTCAGGCTGTCAACCACCTTCAGAGGGATAGGCACTCCTCGTCCCAGATCGTCGCTAACGGCCCGGTCGGAGACCATGGGTGACAAGAACGGGCTGTCTGTGCTAGAGTCAAGCCAGGACTGGATGGCGGCATGGGGCTCCGTGTGAGAGGTGCGTGGCGGAGCCAGCGCAAGAGCGCGTTCGTTTTGCTGGCGATCGGCGTCGTCTTGATCGTGAAGTAGCGACAACGTAGCTCGCTCGCTATCTTGCGAGGGCCGGTTCACCTCCACGAGAACTGGCTTCTGCGGCGGGCTCTGCACCCTGACGACCTTGACGTTGGCCATGTGGTCGCCAGAGTTAGCAAAAGAGGGGCGCATTGGCGGGTACGTGTGCGAGATGGGGATGCGTAGCTCTTTCATGTCGTCGGGCAAAGTAGCTTTCTCGAGGTGGTCGGCTTGTGATCCGTCGTCTGAGAAAACCGTCACTTGGTGGCTGAGAGATGACCTCCTCTGCGGGATGGGGATGGACCAAGCCGAATTTTGGGAGAGACGGTTGAGTTCTTTGGCCGACATAGCGGACGAGGTTTGCGGTCGCTGGGTCGAGGTATCCATTTCGATGCTCGTCCGACTGTCAGATAGAATGACAATTTCCGGCTCGAAATCAAGCCAGCTCCCACTGTGGTCGTTGGACGTAGGCGCAACGAAGGGCTTGTGCGAAAGCGAGGAACACCTAGCTGAGGCCACTGATGTTGCTGGGGTGGTGACCGAGTACTGGCGATGGCGAAAAGGTGGGGGCTCCACGTCTCCCGACGATTCACTGGCATTATCAGAGGAAGACTCGCCGTCGTCGAGGGACCTTTGACTGCCGCTGCTGAAGCCCCACGAGTCGTGTTTGTTTGTCGACACAGACCCGAATCGAGGCAAGTCCTCGTCGTTGCTTGCCCCCGAGTAGCGGTAGGCCAAGGCCCCAGAAGACTGAACCCGAGCAATGGGCCGCTGTGACGACGGCCTGCCAGCCGGGCACCCGACGTCGCCGCCTAGAGAATGGCAGCGGCCGAAGGCGTCGTGAGAGAACGTGTCCAGTGACGGCGCCCCAGCGGTCATGTGTTTTGACGTGAAGATGGACTGCGACATCTCCAGATCACGAGCAAGGAGCTCGGGGATGTTGCACTCCATGACTGCCTCTTCAAACTCCATCCTTGCTCAGAAACAAGAAATGCTGTGGAAGCGGTGAACAGATCCAGAAGCAAGCCAACCGTTGCTCCTTGCAGGCTCGACGTCGTTACACACGCTCCCAGGACCATGCAGTCTTGTGTGTTGGAGCGTGAGTCAGGAGATGACGGCTCTCTGCTTTGGTGAAGGTATTGCTGATGAAGGACGGTGCAACTTCCGAGATACAGATCAAGGACCAGGATGGGCGAGATGTTTCAACACCCTTCTTCCGCCATGGTAAACGAGAACAAGATCGGTTAACATTGACAAGGGAATGATTGGGGAAAACACACAGAGCCTGGGATGATCTGCCCAGGGATGGAATGAGGTGGATAGAAGACTGGAATGCGGGGAGACGTCAATGAGAAGGAAGTGCATGTTGTGCCACGGGCACCATGGACTTGGCGACTTTCAGGAAACAACGGGACACCCATGTGCACCACTTGAGACATGTGTGTGTGCGATTGAGCACAAGCTCGATATTGAGCTGTGGAATGGAAAAGCAATGTGAGGGAGGATCCATCGTCCATCCCGTCAGGCCCACCGGCCGAACAAAAGATAGCTGAAAGCTGTTTGTCCGGTTGCTGCAAACAGAGAACTGAGGTGAGAAGTAAGAAGAAGGGAAGCTCCCCGACACTAACCTAGGGCCAGGAGGGCATAGCAGGGTCCATGGGTGAACAAAGCCATTCCACTTCTCCCCAAGATACACCCGTCACTAGTGGAGGCTACGATCGAGCGGATCATGGATCTGTTCCCACAACTCCATTGATGATCCATGTAGGGGAGGGCAGGGCGACGCTAAGAGGAGGGAGGGGGAGCCACTCGGGACGGCCTCAACCGTTGGCTCTTTTCCCGTATCCTCTTTGTTGCTCCTATGAGGCATGAGGGGTGTGTTGTGGTGAGTGGGGATCCTGAAGTCGGTCTGTTCTGCTGTTTGAGATGGATGGATGCTCATTTCACACTCAGCGCGTGGCAAGGCTCGTAAATTGAGATGGAAGCAGCCGCTCCACCAGCCTGGTAACATATGCAGGCTCGCGATGGGAGCGGGTGCAATTTCAGCAAGAGAAATCGCGGACACGAGGATCTCCTGCAAATTGGAGGACCTTGAGAGCACGGGTAGAAGCAGCACGAGGTCGCACATGTTTCTGACCGGGCGTGGGCCTGCGGCAGCGGTCAGCCGAACTTTCTCAACTTCTGGAGGCAACGAGACAATGGATGACCGAATGGCCGAACAAAAAGCAATGAGCATATGCACAATCTAAGGACAAAAAGAGATCTAGGTGCATGAACCAAAGACTGGTCTGCCTAGCGTGATGACGAGCCGGTTCGAACCCTTCAAGACTAGCAGGCGGAGGCCGTTTGAGCTGTAAGGGATCACTAGATGTGCAGATCCTCCCGCTTGTCAAGTGGGCGCTCGTCCATCTGCGCTGGCGAGTCTGGAGATATGAGATAGACACGCACACATGCTCACTCACCTTGCCCTCTGCCTCCGTCCTTTTGGCGCCACACATTTCGTATCTTTGGTGTGCCGTGTCGGCAAGGTTTTGTCCTTGGAACCCAAAACAGCGAGTGAGCGAGCGGGCGGGTGGGGAAGAGGGAAAAGCAGCCGCCTCAGGGAGCTCCCACTCCGGTTGCTCCTTGTGTTGTGCCCCACGAGGCTTCAAAACTGCCTTGACTTTTGTGATAGGTAGGTAGGTACTTTATACTAAAAAGTGGAAGCTGGGCGCAGCCATTGACTGGACAAGACGCTGTGTCGGATGGGGAGTCTGGAGATGTCCTGGGTTCGGGCTCCGGCTGGGCTACCTGGCTGTTTTTTTTTTAATTAGGTAGTTTTTTGGCTGTGGGTTGAGACGAACAGGTAGGCAAGCCATACCTAAAATCAAAAGGAATTATGACCATTGCGCTAGTCCCAACTGGAAGGAAATATTGTGCAGGGGAGGAGATGGCTGAACCCTTACAACGGACAAAGTCTTTCTCAAGTCCACCCTCCTTCGGGACGAGATTCAGCATGCCAGGGTCGGATGACGATGTGGCTTCGTGCGAACCATCAGGCAATTAGTTCTGACCCGTAGAGGCGGTATGGCTTAGAGCTCTTCAGGATCACAAGCTCTCCCTTCGCTCGGACGTGCTAAACTTGGGAGCGTTGTCCCCTTTCTCGGTGATGCAAGGGAGATGTGGTTCTGGTGTCCCTGACAGTTAACGGGGAACGGTACCCATACTCAAATGCCTGGAATAGGACAAATATGGAAGATCCAGCCCAGAACATGCCCTTTCTGGATTTGGCACTCTTTTGCAAACCTGGCAACCTTGAGGTAACTAGGAGGGAAGAAGAACTGTGCTGCATTGTTTGGCTGGATGCTCTGGTCCTCGCGCCGAAAGGAGGCGGGACAAAGCAGCACCACTCAGAACCCTGGAAAGCCCGTCAGCGCATTTTCAGGACTCGAATTAGTGGCGTTGAGGCTGAAGAGCGGCTTCTGTGGTCACTATCGAACGTCAGATCCACCCGTGATTGTGCGCTAACCAATCATAAGTTGAATCTCAATTTTTTTAGGTATTGAGAATGGCAGAAAGAAGACTGTCTTCACATCCGTAGATTGATACATTGCTCATCACCGCCTGCCTAGAATAAGCAGGTCGGAGCCGGAATCATGCTGTCTGAGGAATTCTTCTCCGCGGTCTGCGGCCCTCCTCTCACGAGCAACACAGCCGTGGCCAAGGACGTCGGCATTTATGCTCACACATTACATCCCACTTATTCGGTCAAGAACACTTTCAAGAAGAGCGCCACTCCCGCCAACTGCCTTGCCGTGAGCGAGAACCACGTCTTCGCTGCCCAGCATGAGAAGGCCTACATTCACGTCTACTCGAGGATACGGGGCAATCAAGAAGCTTTCATCCCTCTGCCCGAGAGGATACGATGTTTGACGCTGGCCGGCCATGTATTGGTCATGGGCACCGCAGAGGGCAGGCTCATGCTGTGGGAGGTAAGCATGATTGATTTTGACGAGCAGAAATCTCGACCCGGGCGAACAACTGACAAATTGCTCCTAGACTGGCACCGGGAGGCTGATCTCTACACCACCCTGCCACGTCCAGGCCGTCTCCTGCGTCGTGGCGACGCCCTATCACATCCTCTCGGGCTCTGAGGACGCCAACGTCCACGTCTGGTCGCTCGCACCCCTGCTCCAGCTCGAGTCCCCGGGCGAATACGAGCCGGACCGCAGCCTGACCAACCACAGGGCGGCCATCACCTCCCTCGTCGCCAGCCAGAGCACCGCCCTCGAGAGCAACCTGTGCATTTCCGCCAGCAGGGACAAGTCCTGCATCATCTGGAACTACCAGACCGGCACCGCCCTGCGCACCGTCCTCTTCCCCTCCGTGCCGCTCGCCATCCTGCTGGACCCGACCACGCGCGCCCTGTGCGTCTCAGCCGAGGACAGCTCCCTGTACCTGGTCGAGCTGCTTGGGGAGAGGCCTCTCCTCGGCTCGCACAGCGGCGAGGTGGGCACGGCCGTAGCGCAGCCACCGTCGCCATTTGGTGTGGCAGCTCCAGAGCACGGCCCGGCCACGTGTCTCGCCATGAGCTACGATGGCACCGTCCTTCTTTCGGGACATCCGAAGGGCAGGATCCTTCGGTGGAACCTGGCCGACAACAGCACGCCCGACGAGCTCGCCAACCTCAACGCCGCTGTGACCAACCTGGCCATCATGTCGCCCCTGCCTCCCGCCCAGAAGGGCGTCCAGGTCCAGACTGTGGTCAAGCCCACGCAGGCCGGCAAGGAGTACACGCTAATCGCCCAGCTCGACGCCGATCTCACGCAGGAAACTGCGTTCAGCTCCATGATGAACACGCCAGGCTTCTCCAATGACGTGCTCCAGAGGGCCATCTCTTCCCTGCAGCAGCCGGCCGGCGCCCCATCGACGACCACTGGTGACCAGGAGCTCAAGCGGCAGAACGAAGAGCTGCTGCAGATTATCAGCGAACAGCGTGCTCTGTACAAGGACACGCTCAGCAAGCTCGCGGAAGCCAAGGCTGGACGTGGCTGATTCTGATATAAGGCTGAACTGTCGCTTCGTCTCGCCGTAGCGGGCGCGAGAGCAGCCTGCTGAACTGAGGACACCCTGGTAGACCGACCCGACGGTCACTGTCAGCTTCTGTTCACTGAGACGTATTACATTAGTCCTTAGTATGGTTGCAAGCAATGCCCAAAACTGCACCAATAAGGAGCCAGCCCCCCAGCAGAAGAGGCTGGATCCGGCAACAGTGCCTAGGTTGTCTGCGTATGGAGACTGGACGCGAAGATTAGAGGCTATGAGGACTTGCACAGGGCAGGCAGGTCGCTCACCAAGGAGGGACCAGCAGACCTGGGGCAATGCCTTCTCCCGCCGGACTTGGATATGGGAGCATGGCTGGTGGCGTTGGGCAGATGAGCTCACAGTGATTCCTGCCATGCCTGTCGCGTCTCACCAGTTGGCGGCTGAGAGTGTGAACTACAACATCGGTCGAGTATGACAAAGGCGTCCGAGACGCCAGAGCGCATGGGGTGTTTCAGTCTTCCCGTGAGCTGAAGAAGACGTGGCAATGCATATATGTATACAACCTTTGGTGGAAGATGATACCAGTCTGCGGGCACCCAGGCCAAAAGACTAGAGGCAGATCAAATTGTAGCATTGTGTCCCGTCTTCCATTCTTTCTGATCATAAAACAGGGCCCCCAAATGTGGTCTATCTAGCCATCGTTTCTCTGCTGTCCTGCGCCGTTCTGGCTCTAAATCTAGCGAAGCAACGCATTCTAAAAGCCAGTCTCGTAGTAACAGATCCTCGCAGATGTCTTTCCCGTCTCGGAACACACACAAGGCCAAGAAATAAACAGCAGCACGTACAACGCCGAACCAATCTTTAAAGTTTCGAAGCACAAGGGAAAAAAGCAGAAAGGGGAAAACATCCGTACAATCTCCATCTGAAACACATCCTTGTTGTCGCCGCCGGAAAGGGGAGTCTCACTCATTATCTCTTCTCCCCCACCCCCCCGTCGTGGTCGTCACCTTCTCCCCCCTTTCCTCGAGAGTCATCTCTCTCTCTCTCTCTCTCTCTCTCTCTCTCTCTCTCTTTTCTCGCCCGAGGAACTAGTCCCGGTGGTCCGTCGAGAACTTGCGCTCGTCCTTGGGCACGCCGAGGTACGTGAGGTGCTTGGAGAGCCCGAGCTGGTCCCAGTGGCGGCGCTCGTCGCCGTCGCGCACCCAGACGACGCCCAGCATGCCGAGGGCGTTGGCGCCCGTGCCGTCGAGCCCGCCGCGCCGCCGCGGGATCAGGCACATCCACTCGGCCGTCGCGACGACGTTGTACGCCGCCTTGAGGCCGTGCAGCTCCTGCAGCAGGCGCACCTCCTGGAGCAGGCGGCGGTAGGCGTCGAGCATCTGCTCGGCGCCCGGGCGGGGCGGCAGCCGCAGGGCGTAGTGCCGGAAGGGCACGCCGGGGAGGCAGGAGGATATGCCTATATGGGTGTTTCCGTCAGTGCGCGCGCGTGGGAGGCCCGAGGGGGGAGGGAGAGAGAGGAAAGGGGGAAAGGGCTTACGCTCTGTGGAGTCGGCCCTTGAGGGGAACAGCGGGAAAGGCTTGGGGATCTCAAAGACCTGGGTGTGCTTGTGGCCCTGGGAGGCGCCAGCGTCGTAGCCGCAGTTGTAGAGCATGAGTCTCTGGGTCTTGGCTGCTGGGGGCGGAGGCGGCGGGCCCATAGTCTCGCCGTTGGTGCCGTTGGTGCCGTTGGTGCTGTGATTGCCATTGGTGCCGTTGGCATGATGATGGCGGTGGCTACCGTTGGTGATGACGTTACCACTGGTACCAGCGCTCTCGCTGTACATGACAGCCACGGCGGCGGCAAAGTCGACCATGTCAAGGTCGTCCGTCTGCGGCGCAAAGTGGCGCGTGTGCAGGACGTAGTGCGGCCGGTACATGGCGTACTTGCTCAGCTCGACGACGTAGCTGTCGCCGAGCTCGGCCACGACAAAGGCCGGGTCCGGGTTCAGGAAGGGGCCGCCCTGGCCGCGGCGCTCGGGGGCGTCGCGCGCCAGGATTGGCTTCTTGACGATGGACGGCGAGGCGCGGAACTCGAACTAGAGCCCGGAAGCGGTGCGACGGTGGTGTCAGCGGATTGCTTGCTCACATGCATTGTGGCGGTTCTTGGCTCGGTTTAAAAGGGACAACCGGTGAGGACTCAAGCCCTGCTGAGTTGGAGGCATCTGCAGGCGCGGATGTGCTCCTGGCTAGGGTGCTGATGGAGAGTGCTACTGACCTTGAAGCCGGCATGGTCGATGACCTCACCCTTGGACTGAGCATAGAAGAGCTCGCCCTGCTCAATGAGCTTGTCGAACTGGGCCACAGCCCTGGCCTCGAAGTCGGCCGGCAGGGAAAAGTCGGCCCCGGTCTTGGACAGGTGCGGAGGCGCCTCGTCGTCGTCCATGGCTTCTTTCTTCCGGTGTTGTCCACGGTGAGCGAGGTTCGTGGTGATATCGTGTCCCCAGTTTTACTTGGCCGGGAAATGATGGAGCCAAAAGGTACCATCACCATCCACTTTGCTTTCCTTTTCTTTCTTCTCCCTTTTCCGCCCGGCCCAAATCTGACTTAATTCTGGCACGTTGAGACAATTTTTGTTGTTGCTGTGCTCGTCCCTTCTCTTTCCTCTCCCGGCTGGATTTCTTTGAAGAAGAAGAAACGAGCACCTGTACCCCCCAAACACTCTCTCCCAAGCTTCCCTCACCGCCAGAAAACCACAGCCCTATTTTTTCGGGTAGCGCACCTCTCCATTTTTGTGTCAAAACGCAGTCCATGCAGAGACACGTCACTGAAACGAGCAGAAATAGTCATTTCGGGGAGGCCAAATATTGTTTCGGATAGGGCTCGATCCAAACAACCCATTCACAGATGCATTTGCAGTCCCCCGGGTCAGCCACACCCTGGTCACGCATGTTTCTCCCCCGATGAAGCCTACTCGGTGATCCGATTGACGGGTTGAAGATGGAGCCATTGGATATAAATGAGCATGTTTGGAACCGTGTACTAATATCCTGTATATCCTGTCCAGACGGGCTTCTTTCCGGCCTGACCGGTAAGGAATTGGTCTCGGGTCAAGGTCACCGAAGCGGATATGGACAAACGCGCTCTCTCTCTCTCTCTTTCTCGTTCGTCGAGGATGGACATTGTGCATTCTCTGCGTGAAGAACGCACGCGAGTGGTGATCCCAGATCTGGTATTAATTGTTTCCCATGAGATTCTCTGTCCTGTCATCAGTCCACTGGCGATCCTACAGGGTAATGCGTCGTGGCAGGTCACACCTAGATATCTCTTTCCGGACCGGAGCGGCACCACGGAGCTCGAGCTGCCTCAAATGGCATCGCGGCCTGACCAGACCTCGGTGCAGATGTACGGTTCCTGCCAGACCACTCTGTGTATGGAAGCACAAGCCTGTTACGGGTTACACGGAGCACTTGCATTGTCCCCCCTGACCAGTAGGCTTCCGTCCTCGCCAGCCCGGACACGAACTCGAGTCCAGGAACGTGGTGCCAACTACATGGCTCTGGCCACCGGCGGCATGGCAGGCACGCCTATCACAGACGCGCCGCGCCGGCAGGCTGCACGCCGAGACCTTTGAGCACCCGCGGGCGGTTGTTGGCAAGCACTGCGCGCTCCTGTTGTCGGCATCCTTAGGTCGTGCAAGGGGGGGTAATGGTGCCGATACTTTCGTTTGGTCGAGACAGGGGACAGAACGAAAACAAGAACATATGTGCCTCTGAATACAAGAAAGACAAACATAGAAAGAAACATTCAGCAGGGCAAGCGTAGTTAATAATGATGAATTGTATGCTACTCCCCAGCCTCCCACACGTAGTAGATCCCCATATCACCAGACGCAGATGACCATCGTAGCACGAGAAGAGCCAGTCTGCCTACGACTTGCCCTCCCCTGCCAAGATCTTCTTCGCCTCGTCCCGCAAGATGAACTTCTGGATCTTGCCGCTGCCCGTCTTGGGGTACTCGTCGACCCAGAAGACGTGCTTGGGCACGAGATGCGAGCTCAGGTGCGTCCGCACCCACTCCCGGACGTCCTCCTTGCTCAGCACTCTTCCTTCCTCCCCTACACCCTCCCCCTTCGCCTCCCCGTCCTCGAGCACCCTGACGCCCTTGTGCGCAATGACAAACGCCCCGACCGCCTCGCCGTACCGCTCGTCCGGCACGCCGACGACGCTCGCCTCGGCCACGAGCGGGTGCTGGAACAGCGCGTTCTCGACCTCGAGCGGGTGTATGTTCTCCCCGCCGCGGATGATGAGGTCCTTGATGCGGCCCGTGATCTCGACGTAGCCCTGCTCGTCCATGCGCGCCTCGTCGCCAGAGTACATCCACACCCTCTCGCCACCGCCACCGCCACCATTGCCACCCTCCTCCTCGGGCTCCGAGACCCGCACCTCGCGCGTCCGCGCCTCGTCGGCCCAGTACCCCTGCATGACGAGGTACCCCGACGCCGCGAGCTCGCCCCGCTCGCCGAGCGGCAGGACGCGCGACCGGTCGGCCGGGTCGACCACCTTGACGGCGGTGTGCGGCATCGCGCGCCCGACGGACCCCGTGCGGCGGCCGAGCGGGTCCGCGGGCGCGGTCATGCAGCTGACGGGCGACGTCTCGGTCATGCCGTAGCAGATGACCAGGTCGCGCAGGCCCATGGCCTCGAAGAGGCGGCGCATGAGCGCCTCGGGCACGCTGGACCCCGCCGCGATGCCCGTGCGCAGGTGCTCCCGCAGCGCCGCCGCCCGCGCGGGTGCGAGCACCTCGCCCGAGGCCAGCAGCTCGAGCTCGGCGACGAACATGGTCGCCACGCCGTAGAGGCCCGTGCCGCGGTGGTCGGCGGCCATGCGCAGCGCGGCGGCCGGGTCGAACGCCGGCGAGGGCAAGAGGATCGAGGCGCCCGTCGTCGCCGTCGCCATGTACCCCAGCACGCTGCCGAAGCAGTGGAACAGCGGCGGCGGGCAGACGATGCGGTCCTGCGGGGTGAGCGCCATGCGCGCGGCGATGAGGGCGCCGTTGTTGAGGATCGACGTGTGGCTCAGCATCGCGGCCTTGGGGTGCGACGTCGTGCCCGACGTGAACTGGATGTTGATGCAGTCCGCCGGCGAGAGCGGCGAGTCCGGCGCGACCGCCCCGCGGGAGGAGGAGGAGGAGGCGTGCGCCTCGCTCAGGAGGAGGGAGAAGGGCGTCAGGGACGGGAAGGCCGGCAGGTCAAAGTCGACGAGCGGGTGCGAGGGCGCGTTGTCCACGACGACGACGTTCCTGAGCGTCGGCACGTCCGGCGACTCGACCCTGCCGGAGCGCAGGTCCGGCACGAGGGACCGCAGCAGGGGCAGGTTGCTGCGGCCGCGGCAGGGCTTGTACGCGAGGTCGGTGACGGCGCTGGTGATGAGCGTCTCGGCGCCGAGGTGCGTGAGCGCGGCCTTGACCTGTTTGGCGTTGAAGGTCGGGTTGAGCGGCACGAGGATGGCCCCGAGCTTGAAGATGGCGTAGGTGAGGGCCGCGAACTCGGGGCAGTTGCCCAGGCTGACGGCGACGCGGTCGCCCTTCTTGACGCCGAGGGACCGGAGAGAGTGCGCGAGCGCGTTGGAGACGCTGTCGAGGGACTCGTAGGTGAAGACGGTCTCGACAGACTCGGGAGCTGGCAGGCCTTGGTCCCGGAACGAGTCTGGGCCGGTGGTCGGGGAACGACACAGCACGGCTGGCCGGTCACCAAATTGCGAGACGATAGAGGCAAAGTGCTCTGGTATGGTGTGTGGCAGTAATGGAGGCTATTACGCTGTCAGTATGAGAGCGGTAAGTTGCTGCATGGACTTCGCGTGACTTGGTACTAGACAGACTCTGGTCGTTCTTCCATCCAGCGTACTGTCGAGGTTGACAAGAGTTGATCAAACAAGCAACAGCCCCAGACCAACTCAGACAAACCAGTCCCTGAGAAGTTTTCTCCTGGCAGAAAGGGAGCACCTTGCGCAACCATCCGCCAACACAACAAGTCTTCGGAAGCCGAGCAGCTAAGCCAGGAAGCCAGGGTAGAATACCAGCAACTCACCTCGAGCGGGCCCTCACTCAGACTCCTGCCATTCTTCGGACGGCTATACCACCGTACACAGGCGCTCTTCCTTGCCGCCGCGAGTGTCGCTACACAACAAGGCGGCCTCCTGCAGCCAGACAGAAGCAGTGACCTCATAGGCCGGGCCGCGACACCGGCAGCCCGGACGCTCATGGAGGCTGCGGGGAACAGGCAGGGATGTGCTCGAGAAGAAGGATCGCAAGGGTGTATTATCAAAATTCGATACTTGGTGTGCGCATTTCCAAGATTTCCTGCAACAATTCCTTACTTGTTCTCTAAAGAGGGGGTTTGAGTATTTATACCAGCAGTTGCACCGCATCAAGCCGAGGAGCTGAGGAGCTGATGCCCGCCCACAGGCTAACTAGGCTTGCGGAGTAGTTAGTTAGGTCTCAGAATGCGGAGAAGATGGGGCTCTCTCCCCCTAGCAAATGACGCGACGGCTGCCAGATGCGGGAACGCTGGGCGCAGCTTGGCGCCGAATCCGGCATGCAGGCAGAGTCTTTTGCTCCTTTATAATCAACACTCAAGAGAGTTGCAACAAGGGAAAGGTTACAATAGCGGTACGGGGCTGACATGCTGGTCGTTTCGAGCAGTTTCGAAAATAGAAACGAACCGACTTCAAGGGTTTTGGAAAGGGGCCGTGGGAAAGACGGGATTGTTGATCTCGAGTCGGCTGTCATCTACAGACAGACAGAGACAACCAAAGCTTGGCGGAGTTGGAGTCGGAGCCTGTGCTGGAGCCGCCTCGATCCGTTCCCTCCCTTGTCCAGCCCTACCGATAGTGAGACTGGTAGAGAGAAGTCGGTTCCCCGCGAGCGGCCTGTCGGGTAAGCAGCGAGGGTAAAATACCTATCCTGCGGTAGTAGCTGTCGTGTTGCAACGACGGCTGAGTCTTGTTCAACTGACAAGGAGCTATGAGACTCGAAACTCTATTGGTAAGACACAACTCTCTTCCGGCCAGAGACCGCGCTCCTTCGGTTGTCTCATATATCAAGATGTGCCCACACGAGCAGATAGCTCTCCCCGTCACCCTCTTTTGACAGAAAGGAACGTCTTGATTCTTTCGAGAAAACTTCATATCCTTTGATGAAGTGTTTATTGTATTACTAAAAAGTATTCGCGGCCCGCCCACCAGGACACATTCCGTGATGGCAGACTCTCGCACGCAAGGATGGGGCTTCCCTTCTTTTGCTGGTCAGCCCATCCTGCCGTTTTTCTATACACTCTATTCCTGTATTCCGAGTTTCCCCCCCCTACCCTTTCGTAAATAGAACACACACCCGGAGACCAGCGAGACACAATCAAACGATGACCCTTTGGATGGTACAAAAAAACTCCGTTTTGTCTGCTGTTTGAGGGTCGCTGTACCAAAACTTTCGGACAGCCGAGGATTCGTGTGACAAAAAAAAGACTCCGCCTGTACGCCCGGCCAATGCAATGTTTGCTGTCGATGTAAAAAAAGAAAAAAAGATTTCGAGTGGTAGAAAGTCGGTAGTAGTAATAACACATGAGAAACGGCCACTCTTCTATTGGGTGACCTCGCCGATGTGGCGCTCGCTCTCGGGCTTCCATGTACCTGTCATGATCAACGCAAGTCAGCACACCTGATGATTCTCTCCCGCAAAACACTCCCAAGATGATGAAGACATACCCTCAAAGTCGTGCTTGACAAAGGCCATGGGGTCGTCGTAGTCCTTGGCGCCCATGGTGTTGACGCCCGGGGAGAAGCTCGTGATGGGCAGCACGATGACGTCGCCGACGCGCTTGGGCATGGTCATGCCGGTGAAGTTGCGGTAGTCGATGGCGCCCTTGGAGGTGGCCATGTCAAAGTAGCGCTCGTCGTTGAAGTACTCGAAGATGATGTCGGTCCAGACGGCGGGGCCCGTGAACTCGATGACGTTCTTGTCCTGCACGCGCGACAGCTCGCCGGAGCGCTTGCGGCGCAGGATCTCGCTGGTCAGGCGGGCGACGATCTCGCGCAGGACCGGGTGGCCCGGCTTGGCCTGGATGGTCCACTGGCAGAACTGGATGCGGCGGCTGTACCAGTCCTTCCAGTCCGGGCGGTCCGGGTCGGCCTCGATGCCGATGACGAGCCCGACCGACTCCCTCGGCACGCTCTCGGGGATCCACTCGAGGGCGCTGCGGATCGCGTACGTGTCGATGTCCGAGTATATGCCGCCGCGCGCCAGCAGGATCAGGTAGCGGAAGAAGTCGGCCTTGAGGACGGGCAGGGGCAGGGCGTGGTAGGCGTCGAGCACCTCGGGGACCGAGGCGTAGAGCAGGCGCAGCAGGTGCACGGCGACGTTGTCGGTGATGACCTCGTGGGTGAAGCCCGGGTGCTGCTCCGTCCAGGTCGCCTCCTGCTCGCGGAACTGGAACTCGCCGTTGGCGGGCGTCCACTTCCACGTCTGCCAGATGTACGCGGGGAACTTGGAGCTGACGTCGTAGGGGTACTGGTAGGCCAGCTTCTCGTAGAGCGACATCTTGGACATGTCGACGATGGGCCTCTGCTGGCCTGCCGGCGGGCCGTTCTGTGCTACCCCAGCGCCGGCGGCGCCATGGTGTGCAGAGGGCGGCTCGGAAGAGGGTGCCGTACTCGAGGCCTGCTTAGCGCCAGCTGCTGCTGCCTCGTTCGCGTTGTCGGCGAGCTTCGCGGCCGGCTTGATCGGTTGTGCTGCGACATCAGTTGAATGTGACCGTGTCATGAGGTAGAATATCGTGAGGAAAAATGCAGCCGCGATCAGGGCGCGGCGAAAGGTGAGCATCTTCGAAAGCCTCCTCCTCTAGAACAGAACAGGAGGGGAAAGCGGCCTTCGAGTGCGTGATGAGTTGGGGGTCGCTCTATGTTTGCTGGATACCAATCAAGGCTCCAGAGGGGAGAAGCTCGCAGGGAGTTCCTGTAGAGGATACTGTGGCGAGCTGATTCGAGGCTGAGTGAGTTGCTGGTTCAGGTCGGGGTGGTGGGTGCCTGCTAATTGAGAAGTCGTGGCCCAATTGAACCAGGGAACGCAGGATGACGTCGAAAAGGGGCGTTCGTCAGCGTGGTCTGGGCCCCCCTGGTGCTTATTTTTATTTTATTTTATTTTTTCTCGGGCGAGGCGATAAGGAATGGACGGTCGCGCCTCCACTGACAGCGGGCGTTCACTAAAAGTCTCAGAGGGCTAAATTGCCGAGAACAATGTGCCGGCTGGAGAGAGAAGAAGAGAAGGGGAAAAAAAGAGTCAGTAAGGAGAATGATAGAAAACGAAAAAATTGGCCAGGGATGGACAGGCAGATAGACGAGGAAAGGGAAAAAAAGGGAAAAGGGCAATAATCTGCAATCAGCAGCGGGGCAATGCAGTGAAGAGCTTCTACCTATGTACAAGTAGTGGACAAGGAGGCTTGTCCGGAGGCTTGCTTAGTAGAAGCGTCGAGATGGGGAATCCAGAGAATCCATAGAAAATGTACATGGGCCAGAGATAGCGTCAACACAATAAGCTGAACGAACTGACACGCACACGCTGTGGATCCTGGCCCAGAGGGGTGTGGATTGGATTGTGAAAGTGAAAGTGAAAGTGAAAAAGCCGCCGCTAGTCAAGGTAACTCACCTTGTTCGTCTTTTCGTCCCAAAAGCAATGAATGCAGTAGCGACAAACGCCGGCAGAGATGGGATCTTGATTTGGACGGATGGGCACACGGGTAAATGCGTGGGGCTGCAGATCATACAAAGATGGAGCCCTCTAGGTAGCCCTTCTTATTACCTCCAAGCCCGCGCCGAGCTGCGAAGCACGCCCAACACACCCAAAGCCAGACACCGGATCTGTGCCAAGAAGTGCCTCAACAGGGGATCTCCCGCCGATCCCTTCTCCCCGGGACCGCTGGAAGAGAGAGGCCGCGTTTCAGTGTTTCAGCAGCAGCGGAAGACACGCACGCACATGCACGCACGAGGGCTGCTGCTCGAACGCTATTGTCGGTTGGTGTCAATACTCGAATGGATGGATGGATGGATGGATGGCTGGGTAAGAGGGGCGGATGTTGGTCCGGAAGCCGGATGGTCGTGTCTGGTCTCTCGGTCGGGTCGGCCGGTGGTCGTGCGTGCTCAAGCTGTTCGCTGCTGAGTGATGATCCCTGACGGCAGGGGTGGAATGGATAGACAGGTACGGCGAGCTCGAAGATGTGCGTGTGTACCTTGTTGGTCGTGGACCCCTTGTAGGTATCCGTCTCTTCCTCTGTCTGGAGTTGGGCGAGATATCAGGCAATGAATTTGCCTCGAGATTGGTCGAAGGGAAAAAAAAGAAAGAGAAAAAGAAAAAAAATGGCGAAGAGCCGGTCAAGAGCTACTCGGTAAGGTAGGTAGCTCGTCGACTGACTGTAGAAGAAACAAGCAGACGTTCCAGATTCCAGCTCAGAGCCCACCCGAGCGCATGGCAAAAAGGTGACGGATGGCGCCTTTATCCAAGGTCCAAGGCAAGGCAGTGTGCCAAGTAGGACAGAGGTGCAGAGGTCTCGAGATGAAACATTGACTTGGTGGGTATTGCCGAACGCCTTAGCTGCAGCCACCCTTCCAGGAATGGAACGAGGGTGAGTCTACTACTCCGTAGTTGGATTTTGTCGTTTTTCTTCAGTCCAGTGTTCGTGTCGTCAGTGTCCGTCTCCTCCCTCCTCCTCCCTCCTCCGTGGTGAAGGTTGCGGGAATGCCGGATATGTATAGAGCTGACATGCGATACGGGATGCCGAAGGCACACTCACATCAAGGTTGGCAATTGGGATGCATGTCTCGCCAGGGTATGAACTTAAGACCAAAAGTAGGTACTTTGCCTGACTCTCACGTCGTATCCGGACTCTATGGAGGGTTCAATCTCTTTCCAACGGCAATGGTCCCCTCCCCCCTCCCCCCCAGTACAAAGTACGATCGCCCCCACGCAAGCCTGTGCGACTCGAGACACTGTTCCAGATCCTGTCCTTGTCGTTCGTTCCATTGCTCTGTTGCTCACCACACCAGCCCATAATGACGTGAATCGTATTTTGGCACTTCCCTACCTATTCTTCGACAATAGGCATCGCCACTACACGCTCAAATACCAGCCGGCTTTGCCCAACTCTACCTAGGGAGGTAGTTAGCCCCGGCGCGGCCAGTACTCTACCTTCAGGTAGTTAATCGGGGGACCCCTGATTAAAAAAGAGAAAAAGATATGGACCCGCCGCGTCCACAGAGCTATTGTCCTGGTACCTACTAGGTAGCTGTGTACTTTTTAGCGTGTTCTTTGGTGATGAGATTCTGCTCTCTTCATCTCTCTTGCTTATTCGTGATTGTGCAATACGAGCTGTGAGCAGGAAAAAACGACAGCGTTCCCCAGCAGGCAGCCCACATCAGATCCTGGGCGAGGGACCAGGTTGACGGATCAGATCAGGCGCGGCTCCGGGCGCCCGTCCGTGCTTGGCACGTCCTCGGTGAGTGAGCTGGAGCCTGGAGGTCAGTGCCAGACAGGCCACCCCCCAGGAGAGGAGGCCTGCCGGTCGCGCGAATTGACTTTTTGGGGGGTCTGTTGCGATGTGCGATCAGCCAAGGGTAAGGGTGGTGGTGCCGGATGACAGCTACCTGCATTTACGAGCGAGACATGCTATGGAATTAAGTGCCTACCTCCCTACCTCCCTACCTACCTAGGTAGGTACATACCCATGAGGAGCCCGTTACGAGGGCCACACCCAATAAGGTTCACTGGATTGCGAGCGTGTCGTGCGTCGTGCGTCGTGCGTCGTGCTCAGCAAAGTAAAATAAGGACATCAAATAAATACCTACAAAGTAAGTGAAGTGACGGGCTTCATCCTTCGCTTTAGTGCCGGTCGCGGTCCAGGTAGTGCTCGGGAGGCGCAACGCCTCTTTGTTGACTCGGCGCGAAAGCTTGCGTAAAACTATCGTTTCTCGTTGCAGAGCCAATTTCAATTCAAGAACCATTCGCGGACCCCATCTTGCTTCTGCTGCGGCTCTTGCTGCGCGATCGGCGACCTGGATCATTGAGGCAGGCCGCGGTCCCAATTCAGTAAATTCAATCAATCAATCCGACACCCCCGTCCAGCCGCAGCGCGTGCTTCCCGAAATAACTTTGATGATGCGCAATGCCGCGACATTACAACAGATAGATGACCGGCAAGGGTCTGTGGAGGCTGCCATTGGGACGCTTCTCGTGCCGGCAGGTCGATGTGCCATGCGACGGCCAGGCCTGGGCACGCTGGGCGCCAAGCCTCTGCCGTCCCTCTTTCTTCACATGCTCGAAACGCACTGACGTACACCACCCCTTCTGCCCTCTCACCCTCTGTAATCTTGGTGCGCTTTACGCACCGCCCAATCAGACTGTTGCAGCATTCCTCAAAAGGGTAATCCAGACTTCTTCCCAGGAACTCATCCCATGAATTTGACATATTTTGACATATTTTGATGTTCAAGTCAGCATTTCTCAACTCGAAGCGATCATTGCTCTCTTTCTCTCTCTCGATTTGTACACATCATCCGTGTATTGCGCACCGACTCGCGTGTCTGTCTGTATGGCAGCAATTCCCTCGCTCTCAGGCCAAGGAATGCAACTTTGTACGACACCAGCCCAGCATTCCAACCGATGCTTTTGGGTAAAGATCCCTTTTTTGTGTCAGACCGGATGTGCCCCTGACTAGAGGTTTAGTACTTGTAGAGGATACCTAAGTTCATTCCATCCATCACTGCTCTGCCACAAAATGGCCCTCTCGACGATCACCGATCACGCTTCCCTTCCAACGGTCGCTCTCATCGTCTGACCGAGGGAATACCAGAGTCACATACGTTGCCCCGTCTCGGCGGTATTTCACATACATGTCGAGAGATCTGCAACACCGAGAGGGCTTGTGAGCACAGAAATGGTTCATCCTGAAAGTAGAGCGAGGTAGTGTAACTGCATGTACGGAGCACGTCACGATGTGCTTGTATTCCCGGACTCTTATCACAGCGACCCCGATCCATCCTCCACCGGCAGCATCTGCCGGGGGGGGCAATCACACCCCCTCAGCTGCGCCTCGCCGCGAAATCTTGCTTCATTCGGCCTTGTCACATACTGCAGGCCGCTAACGAGAGAGAGTGGCGCCCGTTTTCAATTTGCGCGGGACATGGCTCACGTCGCGTCGCACGGCAGCGCCGAGAGAATCTTCAGCCCAGGGCGTATGTAGATTAGGTAGTGCTGAGTGGCTGAACATCTACACCCGAGATGCTGCATGCAGCCTCATACTTGGCCTTTGTAGGTACTCGCTCAATCGCACGAATGAATTAAATCGTCTATTCCATGCGCCATAAACCAAGACATACCTACTGTACACGATGCTTTCTAAACTAGATGCCGCTTTTTCTGGGTGTTCTCCATCATACCGAAACCGCCACGTCAAAACTCCAAAGACAAAAGTTCCTTCCAGTGATATCAAAAGGGCCGGCCGGTCGGTGGTACTAGACGTTGATCTTGAGAGAGAAGTCGACGTGCGGCACACCCTGGTGGATGTAACTCGTAGACACAATGTCGATATCTAGAGAGAAGGAGTGGTAGATAAAATAGTCAGCCAAACAAATACAACTAGATCAATAACTCAGAACCGGCGGGCGAACGATGACCACTCGGGAAGACGCACCATTGCACACATAGCCCTCGACGTTCTCCGCCGTCAGGCCGCCCGAGACCTCGAGCAGGAACTGCTTCTTGCCGGCCCACCTCTCGCGGATGCTCCGGGCGGCGACCCTGACGCCCTCGCCGGTGAAGTTGTCGAGCATGACGACGTCGGCGCCGGCGCCGATGGCCTCGTCGGCCTCGGCCTCGCTCTGCACCTCGACCTCGACCTTGAGGCTGAACCCGCCGACGCTCTTGGCCGCCGCCACGGCGTCGGCGATGCTGCCCCGGCTCCAGACGTGGTTGTCCTTGAGCATGATCATCGAGCTCAGGTCCATGCGGTGCGCGTCCGCGCCGCCGACCAGCATGCCGTACTTCTCCACGAGCCGGAACCCGGGCGTCGTCTTCCTCGTGCCCGCCACCCGGCCCGCGTAGCCGGCCTGCCGCAGGGCGCCGACGACGGCCCGCGTGCGGCTGGCCACGCCCGAGCACCGCGCCAGGATGTTGAGCGCCACGCGCTCGCCGAGGAGGATGCCCCTCACGGGGCCCGTGACGGTGGCCATCTTGGTCTTGGACCCGCCGCCGGCGACGGCCTGGCCCTCGGTCGTGTGCCACTCGACGGTGCAGCCGGTCTGGGCCAAGACCTCGTCGAAGAAGGGCACGCCGGCGAGCACGCCCGCCGACTTGCCCCACAGCGTGGCCGTGCGGACGTGCTCGCCGACGACGAAGCCGCCGTAGTCGAAGGAGGGTGTGTCCTCGGCGAGCCAGGCGGTCACCGAGCTCTTCCACGACGGCGGCAGGAGGTGGGCGAGGGAGCCGTGCTCGAGGGGCGTCAGCGGCGGTGCGGCGGACATGGCTGCGCAGACCTGGGACGACGGATCGATGGATCTATAGGAGAGAATTGAGTCTCGGGGGGGAAGGGGTCGCAGGCGTGGAAGACGCGCAGCAGGCTGATTCAATGGGGCGCTGTCGACTGCGAGGTTGAAGACTTGTATATCGTCGCGACAGTGAAGGCTATTGATGCATTTCGCCCCCCGGACAGGTGATGTTCATTGAATTTGCGACCGAGGCCGGCACAGGTCTCCCCGCTGTTCCGTTTCTATCCGCGCGGGGCACATCCGATCCGACTCAGTTGATCTGCGCGCGCTGGTGTCAACTGCCAATGTGAACCCCACCACAGCACCGGCAGTTCGAGGTGCGGCTAAGGCACAGCTCAAAGAGTGCAGACAGGGAAACGCCCGTAATGCTTTTATTAGGGACTCTACGATGCCGTGTTCGCCAATGGAGCTTGGAGAACTGTGGTCCCTGCCCTGATTCTCTGGTTCTCTCGAGTATCAAGAAGACAGAGCTCGCAGGCCATACCAGCTCTACCATCCCGACAAACTAACTCAGAACGGACAATCAAGTCAAAGGTTCTTACATCCGTCCCGAATTGACAGCGCAATCCCATCTTGCCGGCTCTCCAATGTCAGGATCAGCAGAACCACGGGATTCTCCGTAGTGCTGCGGGCACGGGCAGATGGCGGGGGATCCTTGGAAGCTTCAGCTGCTCCAAGTGGCCCAAGCTCCCGCATCCCATCCCCCGTAGCCCCGGCAAAAAAGTCAACTGAGATTCATATGATCTGACCTCGATCTAACAACTTATCACTACCTACCTTACCACATTACTCCTCCGCCACACCAATCGACGCCAAACGACTTTGTGCGACCGGAATGGGAACGTTGGGAAAGTCAATTACATAAGGGCCCATTGATCATAAGCGACCAGACACACAAGGACCGCGTCCCATCGCAGTGTGTTGGCCGCGCGCATACACACGCACGCTCTCCCACCATGAGGACAGCAAGGGCGCCCGCCCGGTGTCTCCAATGCCTCCTCCGGCCCTCCATACCGCAGCGACCCGCGCCCGCCGCAAGCAGATTCTTCCATGCGTCGAGGCAATTACGAGCCAGCGATGAGCCGTCCGGGCCCCGGATCACCAATACCAAGGTAAGACTCCTTCCTCCGTCCCCCGCAACCCCTTCCCCGTAACAAGAAACCGGGGCCAAGCTGACCAAAAGACAAAACAGCAGGAGCCGCAGCAGCCGCTCAACGACCTCGGCGACGACGCCCTCGGGCCCAGGCGGCCCAGCACGGCGCCCAAGCCCGTCGTCGACATCCGCCACATCCGCCAGAACCCGGCCCTGTACGAGCAAAACTGCCTCGAGCGCAACTACAGGGCCCAGGCCGCCTTCCCGGCCCGCATCAACCTGCTCTTCGACCAGTGGCAGGACCGCCAGCGCGAGGGGCGCGCCCTGCGCGAGCGCTCCAACCTGCTGCGCCGCCACCTCGCCAACCCCAACACCACGGCCCTCGCCGACGACGGCACCGACGCCTCGGCCGCCGACCTGCACGGCCGCCCGCGCGACGACGTCCTCGCCGAGGCCCGCGACCTCAAGGCCCGCCTCGCCGCCATCGAGGACGCCGAGGCCGGCCTCCAGGACGAGATGGAGCGCCTCGCCCTCGCCGTGCCCAACCTGACCAGCGACCAGACGCCGCGCGGCGACGAGGCCCTCGTCCTCTCCTACATCAACGACCGGCCCGAGCCCCGCGGCCGCGAGTCGGACCGCGTCTGGCGCTCCCACGTCCACATCGGCAGCGAGCTCGGCATCCTCGACTTTGCCGCCGCCGCCGCCACCTCGGGCTGGGGCTGGTACTACCTCGTCGGCGAGGCCGCCCAGCTCGAGCAGGCCCTCGTCCAGTACGCCCTGACCGTCGCCTCCCGCGCGGGGTGGACCCAGGTCGCCCCGCCCAGCATGGTCTACTCGCACATCGCCTCGGCCTGCGGCTTCCAGCCCCGCGACCAGAACGGCGAGCAGCAGATCTACGCCGTCGCGCGCCCGCAGAGGGACAGGGACGGCGGCCGCAGCCCGGAGCTCTGCCTCGCGGGCACCGCCGAGATCCCCCTCGCGGGCATGAAGGCCGAGTCCCAGCTCGACGAGACCGAGCTGCCCGCCCGCCGCGTCGGCGTCTCGCGCAGCTACCGCGCCGAGGCCGGCGCCCGCGGCGCCGAGACAAAGGGCCTCTACCGCGTCCACGAGTTCACAAAGGTCGAGCTCTTCGCCTGGACCGAGCCCACGCCGCGCGCCGCCGCCGAGGTCTTCGACGAGGTGGTCGACCTGCAGACCGAGATGCTCGGCTCGCTCGGCCTGCACTGCCGCGTCCTCGAGATGCCCGCGTCGGACCTCGGCGCCTCGGCCACCCGCAAGTGCGACATCGAGGCCTTCTTCCCCAGCCGCGCCGAGCTGCGCGGCCGCGGCTGGGGCGAGGTCACGAGCGCCAGCATCTGCTCCGACTACCAGACCCGCCGCCTCGCCACCCGCGTCCGCTACGACGGCAAGATGACCTACCCCTGGACCGTCAACGGCACCGCCATGGCCGTGCCCCGCGTCCTCGCCGCCATCCTCGAGCACGGCTGGGACGAGGGCGAGATGACCGTCGCCATCCCCGAGGTCTTGCGCCCCTGGATGGACGGCAAGGACAAGATTGGGCCCCCCAAGCATCGCCTCAGGTGAGGCATCCGGGCCGGCATAGACCGTCATTTAGTTTCTCTAGTCTTGGAAGAAAAGACATGTGCACGCCCTGTGTGTTCTTATTTAGCAGTAGCGTAGCAGCAGCGTCACGCGCAACATAACGTATGAATAAATCACTCATAATCGAAACTCCATGATTGATTGATTGAAACTGGTTCGTTAGAAAACGCAAGAGACGAGAAACAAACATGTGTCGCCAAAGGAAACCCGTATTCCGTTTCCCAACGCTCCTGCACCCAAGAAAAAAAACAGACCCAAGAAACATCTCCGCACAAAGTCATATTTACAAGAATCAAAAAAAGGCTAGTATCAATCTGCCCGGGTTACTCCAGCTCTCCCTTCTCTCTCACATATAGACGACAACTCCTACTACCAGCGCTCTCATCACCCCTGGTACAGAGCACCTCGTTGCCCTCACCTCCCCCACTGACAATGCTCGACCCAACCGCGCTCTCGGTCCACTCGCTCGCCGTCTCGTCGTGGTCAGAGTAGTCGGCATCGGTGCTCACCTCGCTGCCAGTGTACCCAGTAATCACCGTGGTCCCCATGCTCGACCGCCGCAGCGTCTCCGTCTCGCTCCGGTCGTCTCCCTCCCCGACCTCGCTCGGGTCGGCCAGGTCCGGATCGGCCAGCACGATCTCGTCCTGCCGCGGCGTGGCATAGTCCTCGGCCTCGTCTTCGTCGTCCTCGTTGAGCGGGTGGCTGTTCTCCTTGTCCTCCTTGTCCCCGTCGAGGTCGCCGTAGCCCTTGCCGGCCATGCGGCCCGCCCAGCTCGCCTTGCGCATCGCTGCGGCTCCTGCTGGTGCCCTAACACTCTGGCTCCTCTTAAATCCACCAGCGGGAACGTTGTGGTTGATTTGGCTGAGCGACAGGATTCTGCGCGCCTGGTTCGGCGGCTGCAGGTTGCGCTTGGATGACATGGTCATGTTGAAGGCCGCCCGTGGCTTGCTTGGAGCAGCTGCTTCGGCAGCTAGCGACTCCTTGGCGGGCTTCTGAGAGGGCACTCGCTTACGGCTCATGATGTCCCGACCCTGATTGGCCTTGGCCATGAGGAGGACACGTGAATGATCCATGACGCCCTCCAAGATACGACGCTCGAGACCCTCGGCTCTATTTTCCATATCGTGGAGCTCCTCACGGCGTAGTCGCAAGGCGGTCTCAAGAGAAGACACATCGGCAGAGAGACGGATCTTCTGGCGGGTGAGGCCTTCCTGCTCGCCGCGGAGCCCGAGAATGCTCTCTTTCAGACGCGCCTCCTCCTCCCTGAGACTGGCGAGGTTGGCTTCGACTTCTTCTTTCTGAGCCTGACCACGCTCAAGGGCCGCATTGGTCTCTTGAAGCGCTTTCTGCTGGTCTTCGTGCTCCTCAGCCTTCAGCTGCTTCTGCGCAGTCAAAAAGTCTGCCACCTCGGCAGCAGTCTGCAGGACTTGCTGGTGAATCTTATCTAGAGTGTCAAGTTGCGAGAAGGCCTTGCCCGCAGCGTGGCTGTGATCAACTAGCTTGTCGAGCTTCTCGTGGACTCCAGTATCGTCGTACTTCTCGACTGGGGGCAGCAAAGGCATCTCTGGTGGTTTTGATTCCTCGATCTTCTCCTCGATAGATGTAGCCGAAGTCTTGGAATGCTCATAGTGTTGGCCAACAATGAGCAGAACATCTTTGACTGCTTCGAGGATCTTGGGCTGGTATTCAACAACATGGCCCTGAATACCTTCGGCGACGCCTAGAGCCTCCTTGACCTGGTCTCGAGTGAGCTGGTGCTCGGCTTTGTCGTCCGAGTGATTCTCCTCCGACTTCGTTGCCATGTCTTCCACACGTTCGAAGACGGTCTTGGAAGCCTCCTCCATCTTCTCCAGAGAGTCGGTGACAGTCGAGCCCAAGGTATCGATAAGCGTCTTCAATTCTTCGGCGATAGCCTTCGTGCTGACCATAGCAGATTCCATCTCCGCATCGCGCTCCTCTCCAGATTTGGCCCGGTCGTCCATGAGAAGCTGGAACTCCTCATACTTGGTCTTCATGTCGTTGATGCCCTCATCGATCTTGGCACCGAGTGTGTCTGTTGTGAGCAGGAACTTCTCGTCCGTGTCCAGTTTGGCCCCGACAACGCCGGCCTTTGCCTCTTCGAACTCGGACTTCATGGTCTCAAACATCTCCTTGATGTCGGTGCCGACATTGGCGTTGTTAGCCATGGTTTCGCTCATTGCCTCGAGGAGCTTGCTGAGCGACTCAATGCCGGAGGCACCCTGGCCGAGCTTCTCCGAAACAGTGCCCTGAAACTCTTCTAGGAACGTCTTGACCTCAGTGACACGCTCGCTGACACCAACGGTCTCGGCCTGCCTCTCTTCGAAAGCTTTGGCGTTGGTTTCGGCATGTGTCTCGGCCTGATCCTTGAACTCTTTCACGATGGTCTCGAGCCCCTTGAGGTCTTCCTTGGAAGGCAGGTCAGCAAGGTCAGCCTTGACCAGCTGGTCGACAACGATCTTGACCTCCTGACATATTGTACCAATGGCATCGACGTCGGTCTTGGTGACTTTCTCAGGATCTTCAAATTGCTTGTCGTGACGATCTTTCATCTCTTCAAAACCATTGGCGACCTGGGCGACCAGGGACTCAACCATATTGATGTCCTCTCGAGATGAAAGACTATCGACCCGAGTTGACAGCTGTCCCAAGCTCTCCTTCGTTTCTAGAAGCAGAGTTTCAAGGATGTCGATATGGTCTTTCCGCACAGACTGCTCTCCATCAATAAGGTCATCAAGGCGTGCTTTGGTGTTGCGGAGAATGGTTTCAATGGCCTGAACATCTTCCTTGGCAGCGGCATCAGTGGGTGCCGGCTCATGGTTCGACATTCCGGCAACGGACTCCTGGAGATTGCGGAGCATTTCCTCCATAGCAGCCAAATTCTCCGCCGACGCAGGTTCTGCCGCGGGAGCAGGGGTTTCCATGCCTTCAACCTTGATCCGGAGCTGCGTGATAAGCACCTCAAGGTTCTTGATATCATCGTGCTTTAGCATATCGGCAGGTACGACAGCGGCGGTTGTGTCCTCAACAGTGGCCACGGCACGGCTCTGCTCACGCAGGCCGTCAATGTCTGTTCGAACACCATCGAGACCAGACTTGAGCGCGTCTAGAATTTCGTCATTGGCCGTCAGGTCGACAGGCTTGTTGCCCAACTTCTCGATGCTTATGCGAAGGTCATCAAATCCTTCTTGCAGCGCATCAAGGACTTCGTTTGTACCGGCGATAGGTCGATTATTGAGCTCTGTTTTTAGGCTGCTTAGCCCGTCGTGTAGCGCTTCAAGGACCTCCCTGTTGTTTCCACCGGCGGCGACTGAAGGGGTGGCAGGGACGAGTGATGAGTTCACTGTGTCCCTCAACGACTCCAACTCCTCCTTGAGCATGGCCTTTGAGCCATCGGAAGAAGTAGACACAAGACCGGCGATCTCTTCTCTGAAAACATCCAGAGTCCGGATCAACCCCTCCATAAATTCTTCTTGGTTGGCTGCTCCGCTGGCTCGGTCGACGTAGCCTTCGATATCAGAGCGTAGCTTTTCGAAGCCATCTTTGGTCGCATCAAGCACCTGTTCGGTATCCCTCCCGTTGGCAGCTACATTCTGTTTGGCCTCATCCGAGACAGCCTTGAATTCCTCGCGCATGAAATCCATGATGTCCTGCAGACGAACAATGATCTCGTCGTTGTTCATGGCTTCTCTGGGAACAAGGGCTGACTCGGTACGGGGGAACTCGAATCCGTTCAGACCTTGCTTCACGGCATCAAGCATGTCGTCCTTGGTGATTTCGGCACCGATAGCAGACGGCGCAACGGGGAACTCGAACTCCTCGAGACATTCGCGAACAGCCTCGAGGATTTCGTCTCGGGAAAGGGTCGCTGGCGTGTCCACCTGCGGAGGTACGAAATGTTTCAGGCCCTCAACGACTGCCTTGAACACCTCTTCTCTTGTTGCACCCGTAGGGTGGTCCATCCGTGGACCATACTCGCGAAGTCCTTCCTGGAGGCACTGCAGAACCTCATCACGCTCTAGGCCCAAGTGCTGCACCTCGATCTCCGGCTTGTATGCTTCCCATGCCTCCTTGACTGCCTGAATGACATCCTCACGGCTCAACTCGTCAGCAGCATCTTTGTTGTGAGAATCTTGCAATGCCGCTCGCATGGCGTTGTAGATCTCTTGGTAGTCAACAGGAGATTTCGAGGCGACGGAGGCGGCAGATTGGCGGCGGTGTTCTCTAAGCAGCTGATTCATGTGCTCCTTCATTTCGTCCAGTCCTTCCTCGATAACTTTGGACATCTCGACGTTGAGAGCCGCCTCATTCTTCAACTCCTTGGTAGAATCAACCTCGTCAAGACGACGACCTAGCTCGCGGCCCATGCCCAGAACTTCGCCACGCAGTTCACGAACAAGCGCCTTGACTTCCGCAGTAAGACCGCCGCCTTGGGCGACGCTCTCTTTAACAGAACGGATGGCCTTGAGAACATCTTCGTTGAGAAGATCAGCGGCCCTGGAGGGGGGAGCTGATGATCTGCGGCTCTCTTTTTCGTTCAGCAGCCGCTCGACACGACTCGTCATGGGGCCGGATCGGTCGTATGCGATCTCGGGCGATGACGGGTCATCAAAGCTGAAATTTCGGGCGCGGTTGCCTCCACGGCCGCCGTTGCCCACGCTTGCAAGCACGACAGCCTGGTCCTGGGATGCCTTGACGTGTTTGAGCAGCTCCTCCACTTTCTCGGCCGATGCCATGCCGGAGAGCGTCTCGACGACCTCCGTGAGCCGAGCGATGAGGCGATCTTGTCCTTCCTTTGTGCCCATCTCGCGCACAACCTTTTCCAGGAGCGCAATGGTAGCGGGCGTTTCACCACCATACAACGACGGTGTGCTAACCGATTCTCGGTCGAGGGACGTGGCGAAGCTGTTTGGCGAAGGGATACGGGGAAGAGAAAACGGTCGTATGGCCTTGGAATGTGACGGTGGACTGTGAGGCTTATTGTCCAGTAGTAGACTGCCACCGTAAGGGTCTCTGGTGCCACGGAGAGCCGCCTCATTCGCATTGGTGATGAGCTCTCGGAGACTTTTGCGGATATCCTCGTCTCTGGCATTTGTGGCTTCCTTCAGACTCAGGAGGTCGGTGGCGTTGTCGCGACTTCTCCTGCTAAGAGCCGACATCTCCTTCTGCAGCGCAGTGGCTATATTCGTCAGACTTAAGATCTGGTGTGATAGGTTGTCTAATGGCTGCGGTGCCTTGGCCAGGGCGTTGGATCCGTTGGTGACGTTAGCAAGAGGCGACTCGGCCTCTCGCTGGGTTGGCGTCGACATGTTCTGCAGAGCAAGCATGGTGGCCGACTGAGGGGGCGTGTTTTCGCCGAGGATGCTGTGATGCGATCGCCGCACCGCAGTCGGTCGGACGATAGGAGTGAGGCTCGGCCCCGGGGTTGGTGATAGGACCATTGCTCTCTCGTCCCGGTCCTCGGACTTGACCTCGACGAAGGGGTCGCGGTCTCGGTTTTTCGATGGGGTTGATGGCCTGGTAGATGGTCTCCCGGTCTTGTCGGGAGAACGTGGTGTTGAGGAGGAGGAATCGCGGCCGCCTTCGATCATCAAACTAAGATCTCGTACGGTTCCCGGCTGCAGTGATTGCATGCGCCTGTGGGCGGAGCCTTTCAGAAGCGGGCGCTCAGGCGATACATCAGGGCCGCGTTTGGAAAGGGCGTTGGATACCAAGCCGCTCTCGCGTGCCTTCTCTGTCAGAGCGGCATGTGCGGACTGAATGGCGCTCGAGGTTCCGGCTCTGGATGTTACGGGCGACTGGGGATTGAGCGGCAGCGGTGGTGGCGCTCTCTCGGGGTCGGAACTGTCCCACCTGCTCTTGCTGCTTAGCGAAAACTTTCGCCAAAGGGAAGGCATCAAGACTGCTAGGTATCACGAGATAGGATTGAGAACGCACATTGGAATCAAGGCGCGGCCCTGATCTGAAGAAGTAGAATGCTGGTGTCTTAGAGGCCTATCGGCATCTCTTGGGCAATCCCGCTCTATGGGAGCCATTGTGTACGATATCGATGGACTGGAATGCGGAGTAGATGCTTGCGGGTAGTCTGGAATGTTGAATGTCTTAATGATGCCTTAGTGCAGGGCCGGCGACCTGCAATCCGCACCAAGCACCGGCGAAAGTCAACAGTAGCTTCGCGACCGGGAATAATGTAAATAGATGTCCGGCGCAATTCGACAAGGGAACAAACGTGCTCTCAAGAGAGAAACAATCGACAAAACGGTAAGAAGGCTATATTGCTGGCATTATTCCGGTGGAGGAGAGATTGGCAAAAACACACTTGCTCGAAGTAGAAACAATGGGCTATTGTAGTGTCATCGACCTCGACGTGGGGGGGAGCGGAAGGTGTGGTTTGTGTGTGTGCGTACGTGTGTGTTGGCAGGGATTGTAAACAAAGCCGTCGACCACCGGGGCAACCACACCCCGCGAGCAAACAACTACAAGTACTTGTAGAGAACTTAACGAAGCAGGGGCTCCGTTTGAAGCAACATCCACTGCGCCAGCACCCAATCGGCTGGGGCCGCTGCCAAACCTCACCAAAATAGTGGCTCCTCAAGCTCCTCAATCCAGTGCTACGTTCCCACAGCGATCCATCTTAAATTGACACATCACGGCCTCCTTGACCTTGGTACGGAGCCATGTGCCATTGGGTTCACATGCACCTAATGCATTGTTGCTGGAGAGTAACTTGAGTCGAGAATCGAATTGGCTCTATAACAACCGGATCTGGATATTCTAATAACACAAAAAGCCACACGAATCTATGAGCATATTTACTCTGCTCTCTAGATCCCCCTCCTCTAACCACAGCAGGTGGGCAAATTCCTGAGTGCGCGACGCCGACAAACCCTTGTTTCAAGATTCCAGTGACGCCTCACATCAAATGTCTTTCTTTCTCAAGAGAGACTGATTATCGAGGGCTGCTCTCACGCAGAGCCCTTCCTTCGTGATTGTGGATCGACGTGACCCAATCGATTGGCTTCATACCCTTTACCTCTTGGCAAGCATGCCGTCGAATGCAGGGATCAGGGTCTGCGCAAGCCAGAAGGAGAAGACCAGCTTAGGACCAGTCATCAGAAGCTTCAGAGGATATTAGTTATGAACGGTGGGAATCCCGTGGTATGGTGATCGTCACATACCTTAGGAACCAGCCCCTTGAAGAAACTAGAGAAGCCTTCGTTGCGCGCCATCTTGGTCAGAATCTTGAAGCCGCTCTCCGGGTTGTCAAAGTTCCTGTTCTGGATACGAGTCTTGATAACGTCGAGAGGGGCCGAAACAACGAGCGAGGCCGAGGCACCCGCGATCGACGCAATGAAGTTCTGGAACCAGCTGGCCTTGTTGTAGTCCTGGAGCCCGAAGAGGTACTCCTTGGTGAATGCGGATCCTCCGAAAAGCTAAAAGAGTCGGTCAGCCCAACACCCCAGAGTTTGTAAGTCCATCAACATCACATACAGCAAAAGACCCAGGAGCGTTCCTGGCCGCAGTCCAGCCCCAACCACGGTACAGGCCAAAGCCCTCATCCTTCACAATCTTCAGGACGCCACGGCCACGGAAAGCCTCGGGGTTGGTTTGACGCTTGATCTTGAGGACATCGAGGGGAAGGAGGACGATCTCTCCAATACCGATCAAGCTATGATCCGTCAGTTATGCGTCGCTCGATGTCAATTGACTCTTTCACGTACCTGCCAGCGGTCGAGTGCATGATGGCCTTGCCAGTCTTCTTGCCGAAAGCATTCTCAAAGTCCTTGCCGTAGTGGGTGGCGAGGTAATCACGAGCGACGGGCTGACCGCCGTACTTGTATACTCTTTGGAGGACCTATACACACAATGGTCAGATTCGGTTCGTGAAGATCGAGGTTGAGTAGCGGTGTGTGTGTGTAGCGCACCTTGTAGCCGGCGGCGTAACCCAGACCGGGGAACAGCGAAACGAACTTGCGGCCGAAGGATACATTGGCCTTGTCCTTGAAGATGACCGAGTTGAGCTGAGAGATGTTTGTGATCTGCATTTACGGCGCTTTCGTCAGCTTCCTGCCTCCCTTCCTCCCGTATCGAGGTCGTATGTCGGAGTTGGGACCATACCCTGGACTCATTGCTCATAAGGCGCTTCGCGATCGTATCAACCTATGCAGCGCGTTAATGTCGTGCGACTTCTCCTGGAAATTGCCTCGAATTGCAGTACCGGATGAAAGACAGCGAGCTCGGCGATACCGGCAGAGCCTGTGCAAAGTCAGTATAGGCTGCTCCGTCGCCAATACGCCTGAAGCTCTTGCTTACCGGAACCCAGGAGACGAGCCAGGTTGGACTCCTTCTCTCGGCCAGCAGCCACAGGCGGAGACATGGTAATTTTGAATATAAAAAAAGAAGGTATATAATCAAAGACAAGGACTGCTCAACGGCTCCTTCAATATGCGACAATTACCGGACTCCGATATTAAAAAGAAGGAACTCTCAAAAGTCAAGCCAATCGCACCACCAGGAGATTTTGCGAAAATTTTGGGCGCTTCATAGGAGCTGGCGCCGACAACGCACTAGAGCTCGGGGTACCCCTGCCGAAAAGCAGCTTATCTCTTTTCTTATCAGTTGTGAAGGTGATCAAGGTGGATCACATTGCAGGGACCTCGACCCCCTAGTGTCCACAAGAGCTTGGTGGGGACCAGGCGAGCCAGGTCAGACATGGTGATAGGTATGGATCTAGCTACTCGATTGTCTTCTACCATTGCCTGCGCGTAAGTGGCCTCGGATCAATAACTTGTGGTTACCATTGAGGTTCCAGTGTTTCCTCTTCGTCTCAAAGCTCCATATCGGTATGGACGAGGCGTTTCCACTTCGGCTCCTTAAGCATTGCAGGAAGCGACACAAAAGACTTGCTTTTCCTCATATCTCTTTCTCACTCTGACCCTGGAATTTTGTGTCTTCTAAGAGCTAATCATACAGGGCAGACATCGTCCATTGCCGATCGACCCTGCTGGATAGTGTCTCAAAAGCTGGACAACTCGACGAGATGGGTATCGGTAAAAGAAAACGATGTTGCCAAAGGCTGGGCAGCAGAGGAAGGCCTTCTCTGCTCGCCTGGAGCCATATCCGCCCACTCCCAGCAGATGCTATTTTAACGTGGTAGGAATCAATATAACGCCGCCATATGCAATGCCGTAAGACATGACAGTCGTGATTCGCTGTCTGCCATCATCGACCCCCGAGCCCCCGGGCCGCCGGCCCTGTTTAGTAGTCCCGTAGGACTGCGACCAGATCGTCCAGTCTCATCACTTGACCCAGAAGCTTGTTCTCAATGTCGCGAAATCTTTCATACTTGTCAAAGTATTTTTTCTCAAGGGCTTCCTGCTCCCTGCCCTTCACGTCTGGTCGCTCCACAAACGTCAACACATCCTTGTTTTCCCGACGGTGAACGTCGCGGATCTGCATGCACCGAAGCATGGCCTTGTATGAGTTGTCGAGCAGCTGGGCGGAAGAACGCTCTGGATCGCAGAACCACAAGAAGATGGTGCGACTGGCCGTGCGGTTGTTGTCGCGTGGGACTTCCTGCACATCGACATACCCATGCATCTGCATCTCCAACATTTTGTTTTGGACGTCCGTCTTCTTCATCAAGGCCAGGGCTGGAAGAGCCTTCTCGTCAAGCTTGCCCTTCTCCCGCAGGATACGCGCAAGGCGCAGGCCTTGCCGTCCAACTTTGCGCTCGATGACGTTGTCGAGCTCCTCCGTCCTGATGTTGCGCAAGAGAATATCATAGTCCACTGTCCATCTGCCGTGGCCACAGTGGCGAACAAAGCCTTGTTTGCTATCGCAGAGAAGTAAAAGGTGCTGGCGCATTTGCTGGAGTCGAGATTCTTTTGCCGGCGGTGCATCTTCGAACCTGACCTTGCCGTTTGTATGCCCGTTCGCGCCGTTCGCGTGGTTGGCGGGGGCAACTTCCCCTTCAGAATCGTAGTCAAACTCGTCATCATCATCCATATTCTCATCACCACTGCCCTCATCGGCCCCAGGCTCCTCCACGTACAGCAGCTTCTCTCGAGGAATGTCCCGGTGCACCCGCTCCGCAGTGGGCACATCGATCTCGCCCTTGGGGGCCTTTCCGATGCCAAGGCTGACATCGAGCGAGGTGCTCAAACTATCAAGTATGTCGGCGGTAGTCACAAAACGCTTGTTTGTGAAAGGATTGTCGCCACCGTCTTGGTTATCAATGAGAGTGTCCAATTGGCAACGCGAGATCTGATCGCCCAGTAGCTGAAGAAGAACAGCGTAGACCTGGCCAGTAACGTGCCCGATCGACTCGGAGGCGGCTTGAACCAAGGTCTGATTCCGCATCTCGACAGTACACTTTTCGTAATTGAGTCGCAACACAGCGTTCAACTATGTATTTGTTAGCACCCCGCAGTATGCTTGCTATGTGCGGCAGCATTACCTCAAGGTTGACATCGGATGCCACGTGGTGAAAACCATTGGTGACGTCGCCATTGGTGATCTTGCGAGATTTGACCCGGCCACCCCTGCTTTCGTCCAGTTTGCGCTTCAACCTCGTAGGCTCATCCCGTAGCTTCCCAAGCTGGTCGGAGAGCATAGCGTCAAACTCGATCTTCTTCTTCCCAGCCTTGACGCCATCCGGAAAATGAAGTTTCATGATTTGCTCCGAGACCATCGCATTGCGATCCGCTGGGCTTTGAAAGCTCTTGGGGTTGACAACAGTAAGGATCTCGGCCTGGATGAGCTCACAGAGTACCTCGTTCAGATGAGCGGTCGACTTGACATCCAAAGCACTGACTTGAAGGGTCTGCGCAGGCGGTTTGACATCGCCATTGATGTCGCCATTAATCCCGCCATTGACCTCACCATTAGGCTTGGCATCGTCCTCGAATGGGTTGGTTGTCGCCTGAGCTCCTGCCTGCTCTGCAGCAGCGATCCTTTCCCTGTAGGCGCCGACCAGATCGCCAATTTTGGTATGGCCCAGTACCATAAAGTTTTGTATGACGTCTCTCGCGGCAGGCCCGTACTTCTCCTCGATCATCGCAAGGATCTTGCCAGACCGTACCAGGTTGTAGGCGACATCGGGGTTCGCCTCAAAGGTGGCCACCTTGGTCGAGTCGTCGACTCTGTAGTACACGAGATTGTGTTGTAGGAGGACAATAAGTCCATGTCGTATTTGTTTTGGAGTAAGGGACGTCTGTTGCACAAGCTGCACGACAGCCGATCTGCCTCGGCTGAGCAGTGTCCCGAAAATCCGCTGAGGAGAGAAGAACTGTTCAGAAATATGTCCACCAAGAGCCCCCGGACAAGCAGCTGCGGGACGTCGCGGGGAATGCGGAACAGGGCACATACAGAAGGCAATTCGCCATGAAGATCGTCGATCAGAAGAGCACAAAGCTCGGCGAGGTTCTTGGTCTGTTTTGGCGCTGGTCAGAGCAATGCTGTGAGGCTTGCGCCAGTGTAAATGGATGGAGTGCCTCTGGCTTAACTCACCACCAGCATCACGAGGGAATGTTGTGGTCGAAGACTCTTGAGTTTTGGCTACTAGAGATCCTCTCACTATCTCTAGAGCTGCCACAATTGCTACCGCGGAGTCATTGAGATCCTGCAGAATTTGTGAGAACCGGCAGGAGGAGGCAGACAGACTGAAAGAGTGAGTTTCAGTGTAATCAAAGGCTGATAGAGGTGAAACTTTTTTGGTGAAGGTGGGCCACGACCTGCTGGTAGCGGGGAACCTTGACCAAAGCACGATAGGCGCACCAGGTGCGGTACAGGTACTGTACAGGCGCCAAAAGCACAGGCCACAGGGCTCTCGCCGGATTACTCCAAGTTTCCTTGAGCCTTGAGCAAATACATGGGTACAAGCGGGCAGCTGGCCGCCAGCTGCGCTAAACCAGGAACGCGGCTGACCGGATTTTCCAGGCCCGAAAATTGCTCGGAACGAGCCAGCCAATCCAACCACTGCTAATCATCGCCAAACAATTGGATGACCGGCTGGAAGCTTTCCTTCTGTCGCAAATTTGCAATTGTCCATCCCCCGACAACCACCCCTCTCACGATGATCTCGAGATCTGCTGTCACGAGGGGAACTCAGCTTGCCCTCCGCCGGCAAGGCTGCGCCTTTGCTCAGCGACGCGGTTATGCTGCCGCCGCGGCAATTGGTTCAGAGTCAGGATCGTACGAGCCGACAGACATTGCCGGCATCAAGGTCGCCCACAAGGACGCCCACGGCCCGACCACGAAGCTCGCCGTCGTTGCTAAGGCCGGTACTCGATACCAACCCCTGCCCGGCCTGACAATTGGTCTGGAGGAGTTCGCTTTCAAGGTACGGGACGCCGCCGAGAATTTTGCGTGACGGTCCGGGAGAGCTTTGAGCTAATTTATGGCTGGCAACAGAACACCCAAAAGCGTTCTGCACTGCGAATCAACCGAGAATCCGAGCTTCTGGGAGGCCAATTGAATGCTTTCCACACCCGTGAGGCCCTCGTCCTCGAGGCCAGCTTCCTCAAGGAGGATCTCCCTTACTTCACCGAGCTGCTGGGAGAGGTCCTGACGCAGACCAAGTACACCAGTACGTCCGGGAGATGCTGATACCACAATATTTTTCTTCGTGCTCACCATGTAACTAGCCCACGAGTTCCACGAGAACGTCGAGAACATCATCCACCTGAAGCAGGACAAGCTTGCACACGATGCCTCCGCCCAGGCCCTGGATGCTGCCCACGCCGTTGCCTTCCACAGCGGCCTCGGCGCACCGCTGTACCCCCTTGCCAACTCTGCTCTGGGTAGCTATCTGAGCGAGCACTCTGTGGCTGCCTTCGCCGAGGCTGCCTACGTCAAGCCCAACATTGCCCTCGTTGCCGACGGTGCTTCCCAGAGCGCCCTGGCCAAGTGGGTTGAGCCCCTGTTCAAGGGTGTTGCCTCTTCTTCTACCAGCCAGCTGTCCCTGAACACTGCTGCTTCCAAGTACTACGGTGGTGAGCAGCGTGTCGCAAATGGTTCTGGCAACTCGATGGTCATCGCTTTCCCTGGCGCTGCTCTGGGTGCCTCCAAGCCCGAGACCGCCGTTCTCAAAGCCCTTCTGGGTGGCCAGTCCAGCATCAAGTGGTCTCCTGGCTTCACTCTGCTTGCCAAGGCTGCTGCCGCTGCCCCTGGTGCTTCGGTCTCTGCCTCCAACTTCGCCTACTCCGATGCCGGTCTGTTCGCTATCCAGATCAGCGGTTCCGCGTGCGCCGTCCGCAAGTGCGCCGAGGAGGCCGTCAAGGCCGTCAAGAGCGTCGCGGAGGGCGGTGTTAGCAAGGAGGATCTGACCAAGGCCATTGCCAAGGCCAAGTTTGATGCCCTGACCGCCCAGGAGCTGAGTGGCGCCGGCCTGGTCGCCGCCGGCACCAGCATCATCCACGGTGCCCAGCCCTTCAAGCCTGCCGAGGCTGTCAAGAGCTTCGATGGTGTTACTGCCGACAAGGTCAAGGCTGTGAGTCTTCCTGTCCTCCGATTCATCTTTGTGGAACCGTTGCTAATGAGTTTGTCTACAGGCTGCCAAGGCCCTGCTGGATGGCAAGGCGTCCGTTGCGACTGTTGGAGATCTGTATGCTCTGCCTTACGCGGAGGAGCTTGGGCTGAAGGTATAAGTTGTGTGACGGGAGAACAAAATGTACCAATAGGGTGTGCCGTTGGAGAGCGGCGTCGAGTACTTGTGCATATAGCAACCTCTTTTAGACTCCTTCCATTTAGTGACATTACCCACACACCGCATGTCTTCCCTTTGGTTATGAGTGAATTCCAAGGGGTATATAACAGGTTACCAAATACTGAATCACACAAGTGACAACTGCATTTTTGCTCGAATGAGATTGACATAACCGTCTTGCTGAACGTGGTACTGCCGCGCTGGTGTGAGTATCGGTTGCCAAGTGGGCGTCACGTGACGCGACAAGGCTTGTGAGCCGAGCCGGCGTTGGTGATCCGAGCTGTTTTCTTCCCCATCGAAGTTCTGCATCACCAACCCTCCTACATCCAAAAACCGCAAAAATCCGTCAAAATGGTGTTCGCCTGGAAAGCCGCTGGTCTTACGTGAGTCAATTGGACGCATTCGCATCATGGCAGTCATTTTCGAAGCTGGGATCCCCGCGCCGGGCCGAGAGGACAAGCGCCCCCCGAACCAGTCAATGCTAACCTTTGCGTCTTGGATTTTTGCAGCTACAACCGCTACCTCGCCGTCGCCGCGCGCGTCGTGCGCCGCAGCCTGAAGGAGGACAAGAGAGTCGCCGCTGAGCGCCGAGGAGAGATGGATCTGCGCTTTGCCAAGTGGTCGGTAAGTCATCGGACAGCACTGCGCGACCGCAATTCGGAGGGGGGGAATCCATTTGGCTGATATCTCGCGCAACACGTATTACAGAACGGCAAGCAGGGCGAGGTCAAGAACCTTGCCGACGCCCAGGCTGCTGCCGCCGTCGAGGCCGCTTCGTCATAGACAAAACGACATTGAGAACGGGATCCAAAGTATCGGGGTTGGGTGATGTTGGATGGTTCAGGAGACGCTTGGTGGAACGCGGGACATAGAAGTGCGGAGGAGCGGATGACAAGCACGAAGCGTGGGCTGCTCAGCCCTGTGTAAAGCTGTACCATATCGAAAGGAAAATCGACAATAGAAGTCACTGGTGCATATTTCGAACGACTTTCTGGTCTAGCCTTTGTGTGTCGTGATGAATGCTCCGTTTTGTAGATTTGAGACTTGGTACGCTATCGGATCTGCTCGGCACTCCGTCAGGCCTCACGGGCGCCTGCACCTGCGGCAGGGTCCGGCGAATGATTGCAAGCACGTAGCCAGAAAGCCGTATCGCACATTGCAATCATAATAAGAAAGTCCCATTCTTGCCTTTTGAACTTCTCGAGCCCGTGCCGCCAGGGAAACACTCCACTGGCTGCCTTCTCTGCCAGAAAGCCAAACCCATCCTCTCAGAAAGGCAAGCCCAATGGATATTAGGTGGGCCCCTCCAAAAGACGAGTAGCTCAACATCAATATCATCGACAAACTCAGAGACTGGCTGTAGTTTCCAAGTACAACATCAGCGAACCCGATCTTTCTCGTCTCTAGAACGCCCTACAGTTTGACAAGCTACTCGCAACGCACGTCTGGCCTAGGTTTGAGTTCTGTTGGGACAAGACAGTGCAGCACCTATGCCAATACCCGCCTGACCTCGAGTAATCGTAACGAGCATCAAGGTGCAAGGCGCACATGGCTCATCACACCCCGGCAGGGGTGGTCTCTCCGGAGCAAAATACTTTCCTGGCAGGCAAGGGGCCTAGCAACATATCTCAAAGTATGCAGTTGATCCCTGCTGCAGTAAGCTGGATCGTAGCTCACACACTTTTAGCTTTCTCAGACCTCTCTCTTGAGCCAAATGGCGGCACAGAGCCACCGCCGCTGCTCGCGCCCCAGATCAAGAGCGCTGGCGTGGTAACGAGAGACATCACAGAGGACTTCAAGAGGGCCACCAAAGGTGAGCAAGTTTCTTCTCGATCCGTTCTTCCGCCTCAAGAGGTTAACATCGTTGCAGAGCTTGCGCCTGGGGAGCTAGTCAAGGATGGTTTCTTTACTCTCTTCGAGTCTGTCGGGGCTCTTGAAGTAAGTCCATAGCAGATATCAGGCTCGATACGGTCTCGCTGACAGTTTCCCGAAAGATTATGGACCCCAAGATGGACAGCGGGTGTCTCGCGCCAGGCGAATCTCTGTATGATGAGTACGACTTGGCACGAACGCTCTCACCTGAGCAAGTCATGGGGATCATAGATCAGTTGCTCTGCTCAGAGGTGAGCCTGCAATGCCCAACCCCAAGGCCACGTACTCTCCGACTGACAGCATCTTTAGATGGCTTGGCATCTGGGTTACCCTTTATCGCAGACAATCTTCACCAACGTGTACATCGAAGCGATCCTCATGCCCTGTCCAATCAGGATACAAGATGCCGACTTCATAAGAGACCGGGATGACAGCACGCCAACATCGCCTATGCATGCCGTGCTGCGGGCATACTGCCTGGGACTCCTCAAGTCGTGCTTCTTTGTGATTAAGAGCATCAATTCTGAGCTTTATTATGAGGTATGTCGATATATTCGGTATTACAAGGTGACTCGACATTGTCTTGAGTAAAGGGATATCTGATGATGCTCTAGGAGGAGGATTTTGTAACCAACACATACCATCGCTCCTTGCTCGAGTCGATAAATCGGCAGGAGATCGTGGATGTCATCCAAGACACACGGGCATTGCTGAGAACGATGCGGCAGTCCTGGTCCGAAGACCTGGTTCTGGCTCTCGACTCTCGGCTTGAGCTGAGGGAGGCCTTCCTAACAGCCCTCCAGCTGGTTGACGGGGATACTATCCCAGACTCGCTCAAGACGACGTGGGAGCGCTTGGGGGAGATCCTGAGCAACGTCACCAAGACGCACTCACTAGCCGTACCGGTCCCGGAATCCTTCAGCAAAAAGATCCAACGGCGTTTGGCGAGCACTATGCCTCCGCGGCCTATCGTGCAGCCGAGCTTCGACGAAGCCTGCGCGCATTGGAAACGCATGTTTGAAGACGGCGCCGAAGTGCACGACGTGCTCAAGTACACCGACTCGCAGACCCTCCTTGTAAGAATGACAGGCCCTATGACTTCCTTTCCCCCTCGTAGCCGTAGCGTCATCGCATGCGGATTACTTTGCTAACAGAACCGCACACACACTAGAACTTTGTCTTGGCCTTCCAGTCCAAGAAGCCCCAGCCCCTCGTCTTCGTCCGCACCCTGCTGCAAAGCTACATCTTCCGCGACAACATCATCCTGCGGTCCATGTCGATCCGCCAGCTCATGGACGACGACCTGGCCACGGTCGTGCTGCCCGCGAGCCCGCTGCTCGACCCGGCCAACGACGCCGTCGAGGCCGTGCACCACCCGCGCTTCGTCGTCGCCAACCAGATGGAGGAGTTCCGCCAGAGGGCCGCCGCCGCCTACCTCGACGTCTTCCGCTTCCTGTGCCAGAACCGGCCGCGCATCCGCCGCACGCTGTGCCACGCCCTGAACCAGTGGGAGATGGTGCAGGTCGAGGCCGAGGACACGGACCAGGTGCTGCAGGCGCAGGTGGCGGACCCGGCGTTCAGCAGCACCGGCGGCTCGTCTCAGACAACAGCCATCAGCAAGGAATCCCTCGACGCCCTCCCGCTGTCCTCCTGGTCGTACCTCTACAAGCTGCGCATCATGGAGTGGATCGTCCAGCTCGGCTTCGAGCTGCAGACCTACCAGCCCGACGAGCTGGCGGGCATGTACTGGTACCTGAGCTACCTCGCCAAGCGCCGCCTCCAGCACCTCGAGCGCATCAAGTCCTTCACCGTCCAGGCCTTTGACGCCTCCTCGTCACCGCCCAGCCAAGGCGGTGACAGAGACGACGAGACGCACTCGGCCTTTGCCCGCTCCCTCTCCTACCTCCGCGCCGCGATGCTCGACGCCGCCTCGACGTGGCAGCTCGCCGACGCCCTGTCCTGCCTGTACACCGTCCTCTACCGGCCTCTCTCTACCCCTACCCCTCCGTCCTGCCCCCCGCAGAGCAGCGAGCCGGCCGGCTTCGCCGCCCTCGCCCGCCCCCACAGGCCGTACAGCACCGACGCCCTGCGCTACGACGTGCGCATGAAGCCCTTCGCCGCGGTGGGCCTGCCCGAGCTGCCCGACCACGCGGCCTTTGCCCGCGAGACGGACCAGCCGGGCGTGCCGACGGCCGACGTGCTCGCCTACGCCGAGCGCGCGGCGTCCGGGGCCCGGCGCGGCTTCGAGGCCCTCGCGCGGCTCGAGGCCGGGGACGCCTTCTCGTCCTTCTCGGGGTCGGGGGCCGGCGGCGGCGGCGGCGGCGGCGGCGCGGGCAGTCTGCGGGAGCGGTGGCTCGACGGGCAGAGGAGCTGCGTCAAGGCGGCGATACTGACGGGGATTGGGATCGGTACCTTGCAGAAGGTGTTGGACAAGACTACTGCTGCTGGTGGTGGTAGCGGCGGCGGGGAGGAGCCGGACCTGAAGGGGAAGGTCAAGGCCGAGGTGCCCGCGCCCGACCAGGGGTATCACGAGTGGTGGGTTGTGCCCAAGGTTACGGCTCTGTCGTGAGCGAGAGGCATGTGCACACCGTGGTTTTAGACGTGGTGCGTGGTGATGGTGAATGGGAAGGGAAGGGAAGACCATATGGGGGTACTTGCTGAGGTCTAATCGAATACTGACACTCAAAGGTTAGAAACGGGGTATTGCTGATACGAACGACCCCTAGGACTATGTTCCCAGGATGAAATAAATGGCTCTCCTTATTCTCCGGGTGCGATCCTCAAGATAGATACAGATACATGAACTTTTATTTATGTACAGAACCCCTTTCTCTTCCACGATTCTTCGTAAATAAAAAAAAAAGTGCTTGGAGGCATCGCTCCCACCCACCCCCCCTGCCTCATTGATATATATATATATATGTATGTAGCCAGCCATAGCTCCTTGATCCGTTTTCTGGAAACCCCAAAAAATCCGCGCTGGTAATATGAAATATTGTTCCCAAATGGGTTCTGTTCACAACTAATATACACACACATGCGATGTCTATGTAATCCCATCTCTCTCAACTCCTTATATATTTTTGGAGACAAAGCTCACCGCTTCACACCTACACACATGTCGTCACCTCCCCCCCGGCGGCCTAGCACCACCACCACCACCACTACTATTACTACTCGTCCCAGCCGCCGCCGCCGCAGCAGCAGCAGCAGTAGCAGTGGCAGCGGCATACGCCGGCGGGCCGGTCCGGTCCATGAGGCCGTCGAGCACGTGCGACTTGAGGCTCGACAGGCTGTCGTCCTTCTTCTTGACGAGGTCGAGCACCTCGCGGTACTTGCGCTGCCAGCGGGCGGCCGTGTTCTCGCCGGCGGCGTCGTCGTCGCCGCCGATGCGGTCGGGCGCGCTGCGGCCCTTCCACTTGCGGTGGCTGACCTGCTCCTTCATCGAGAACTCGCCGCGGACGTCGCCGAAGCGCAGCTCCCAGTTGCAGATGTACTTGTTGTGGTCGGCGCACTCCTCGAGCAGGACGACGCGCAGCGTGCTCGTCGTCATGAGGATCTTGGAGCCCGCCAGCGCCGCCAGGTTGATGAGGAAGGTCTCCTTGGTCGAGGCCGAGCGCAGCAGGTCGTCGATGACGCTCGAGGCGATGGCCGACGCCTCGTCGACGCCGCAGGGGCGGATCGGGTTGCCCCGCGCGTCCTGCCAGTTGGCCGAGAGGATGGTGTGGATGAAGAAGGCCTCGAGCTCGGCCATGTTGGTCCGGTCGTTGGGGTCCTCGAGGCGCACTCTGCCCTGGGGCACGGGCCGGTTGGGCGGCGGCTTGTCGCTGCCTCCCGCGGCGTTGGGATTCCTGCCGTTGAGGATGTCGATGGAGGCCAGGTCGAACGAGTTGCCCCGCGGCTGGTTCAGGTCCATGCAGTCGTTGTTCATGTGCATGGATGACTGGCCGTTGACCATGACGGCTGGCGGCGGCGTTGCCAAACGGACCTCTCCGCCTACCCTCTCGGGGACTTGGAGCGATAACCTGTTTGGTCTTGAGGCTTTCGGGCCTGCCGTGTTTGGGGCAGAGTCGGGATAATTTGGTATAGAAGGGGGACCGACTGGTGGGAATGAAGGTGGCGGCGGTGGTGATGGGTCTATGGGGAAGTTACTAGGAACGGGTATCTGAGTGTTGTTACCGGCGGTATGATTCGGGGAAGGCAATGCGAAGTGAGGCGGTCCGTCGGTCGTAGGATACGCCGAATAGGGCCCTTCCTCAGCGCCGCCGCGGTTGATGGGAGGTCTGCCACGGGTCTTGCCCGTCCCTCCAGAGGCGCCACTCCTCCAGGCAGAGGATACGACCTTGGCGCCGTGGCGCCGTGTGCCCGTCCTGCCTTTGGACGGCGTAATGGCAGACTTGGGTTCGTCGCTCCAAAAGGCGTTCCTCGTGGATGGCGTGATGGCCGACTGTGGATAGGCGGGGAGAGCCATGTGCGAGGTAGTATCGGCAGGCCAAGCAGGAGGGGGCTGGCCAGTGGCTGAAGGCAGCCAGCTGGCTAGTCGCCCATCCGGCTGCACCGACCACGGTGACAGCCCGTCATGGCCTCTGGTCCCTGGAAAGGGCGTCCCCGCCGGAGGCGATTCGAGGCGAGGTCTCTGAGGGGACGGCCTCCCCGACTCGTCATCCTCTGGTCGCCGTCTCCCTCGTTTGGGCCTGATCTGGGGTAGCAGAGCCCGGAGGGCCATGTCGTCCTCGGCGGCCACGCCATCCCGGAGCGTATCACCGGCCAGATTGGTGTCTGCGGGTATTTGCGTCCAGTAGGGATGGTGGTTGCCAAGCAGATACTCGAAAAAGGCATCCACGTGCATGGAATGCATCCACCGCTACGCCTGTCAGCTTTCTGGCTCGCCAAGGGAGAGGTTCTCGGCCGCGATAGGTACCTTTAGACGGACAGCATACTGCTGGATCTTTTGCGAGCTCTGGCCCTTGTCCTGGTCCGGGGGCTCGACGCCGAGTTTGAGAGCCAGTTCGGCCCACGTCTTGATCTCTTTGGTCTCGAGCTTCCTGATGAGCTCAAAGAGGGTAAAGGTGCTGAAGCTCTTGCCCCCGCTCTTGGGCGGGGTGCGGAAGGACTCGCGCAGAGCGGAAGAGTCGGCGTCGAGGGGCACAGCCGGGTTGCAGTAGAGGATGAAGGCGACATAGGCGTCCTCGATGCTGGCGGCGACGACGTTGCGGTCCGGTAGCGAGGCGCGGGCGGACATGCCATGGGGGGTCAGGCTCCGCATGGAAGGGGGCGTGGCCGAGTTGACGAGCCCATCGGTAGGCCTCTGCATCATGAAATCCACGACCCGTTCGCCGGGCGATGCCCACGAGGACTCATGAGAGATCCCGTTTTGATGATCCCGCTCAGCCAGGTTGCCAGAGGATGGGCGTGGATGTGTATGAGGTCACAGCCCGAGCCGAGTTCGAGTCAGGTAGGCTCGTGTGGGGTAGGCGGCGCTGGAGAGGAGGTCGCCGGCGCAGGTCCTGGGCCACGGGGCGTTTGGTACTTAACGGTCGACTATCACCAGAAAGAGAAAACGGGCAAGATGGAGCCGCGCGTGTGTGCTGGGCTGGCTGGGCTGGACTCGAGCCAGACAAGCCAACGGAAAGCTTGTGTGGAGGTTTGGTAATAAGACGCGCGGATCCACAGTTCTGGGTACTGGAGTGCGGGCAGATTTCCACGACAGGTTAGGACGTAATGTCTAGTTCGAGACAAGAACAGCAGCAGCTGGAGAAGCAGTGAACTGCACTTTGTAGGGCTGAAGCAACCAATGCGACCTAGAAGCATGGAAGTCACAGCAGCAGCGTGACTTGTGGCGGCTGAGAGACGGCGGCTTGCTCGATTGCTGGCTGGGTTTGCGGGGTGGCTCGAGAGCTCTCTGGCTGGCGATTGGCTGTGCAATGCAGATATGCAGAAGAAAACAAGCCCAGCTCGCGCGAGAGGCGCAAGGTTGTCCTGTGGGATTTGACCCTGCTAGCTCTCCTGCCGTCTGTGAGGAGTGAGGAGTGAGGAGGTGTGTACTCCGTAAGGTACCTAGGTAGGTAGGGACTCCTAGGGAGTACAACCAACAGCAACAGGACAACAAGGGTGCATGTGGTCGAAAGGGGGCTGCGCTGCTGCACCCGGCGGTATCCCGGAAATGACGACCGTTTTGGGGGTCCGAGAAGAACGATGTGGAGGGAGGCTCAAAGAAGGAAGGTTGGGGACGTCTGAAGGAGGCAGACAGATGGACAGTCCTGACAAGCTTGCCCTGTCTCTGACGGTTGGTGGAGGATGAACGACGGCGACGACGACGACGATGATGGACTAGACAGCCGCCCTGGATGAGAAATGACTAGATGTGTGTGTGTATATCGATCGGCCACAAACCTCGCCCCGATCAGGAATGGTATCTGGGCGCCGGGATGGTGAAGAACCTTGACAGGCGGATGCAGGAACAGGGGCATGGATGAGATGGGATTGTGTCATTGCCCGTTCGGGTCCGTAAAGAGGAATTATCTAATTATCCTGGCTGTTTGCACTGACTCGAGAGTAGAGTAGTAGGCTGTAAATGTTTGGCTGTGATTGAGTCTAGCATGTAGCTACTAACTAGACTAGTGTTCCTTCTCCTAGGCCAGCTCCAATGGAGTGGGCTGGGGACGACGGGCACTGAATCACTGAATCCCCCACGGAACACCCACTGGCCGACTATTTTAGGCGACAAATTTGACACCAGTCAGTAGCGGGCATTCAAAGGTCTTACACTTCTGTTCTGTTTTGTGGCTGCCTCTGACCCATCATCAAAGGCACGACATTTCCCTGAAATTTGCCCGAAAACGAGCAAACACAACGTTTGAGTTTTCTGCTTCCTCTGCCCCGTGCCCGTGCCCGTGCCCGGAGTCCAGCTTTACCGCCGAGGGCAAACGGGCGGGCGTGTTCATGAAGCAACCGTTGTATAACAAGGTTATTAGACGGGATGCAGCCTAATTAAAGAAACACCAGTCATGGCATCCACCTCGCTCGCGGACGACGACACGAGCCATCCGGGGACCTCAAGGCATCTCCAGACATCTCCAGACATAGATTGGACAGCAGATGTACCAAGCCCGATTACCGGTACGTTGCATTCGCTTGATGCAGCCGCAAGCTTGGGCAAGGACGACGACATTGTGGTTCGTCGCCCGCCCGAGAAGAATGAGCAAAGCATCCAGTTGTCTTGCCATTGCCACAGAGCGAACAACCAGTCCTTCTACCTTGACGTCTGGTTAGACAACCAGGAAGCCTTCCATTTCTGTTTCCAGCAGAATTGGCAGAGAACCTTCGGAAGGCTGTCCCGCAATTCCTCTCCGTAGATCATCTCCAACAATATTACCTATTGTACAAAGTACTCCACCACTTGTGGACTGGGGGGTTTGCGGGTTTCACATGCCGCACTCTGCCCCAAACTCTACTCCGTACTTTGTTCGTACGGCTGTGGCTTGGGACCGACCATTTGCAGTGGACCTCTTCTTTTCTTGCAGCAATTAGAGCCGGTTTCCTCTAACCCTCTTTTGTTACGAAAGGGGGGCCACACGCTGAGAGCGAGAGAGAAGCCATCCCTTGCCCATCATCTCCCGTTACCCAAGAAATCCCGAACAACCAAAGCCTAGGAATGCTCGTTTCATCGAAAGCGCGTCGCGCGTGGCATCAGGTTATTGCCGAAGCAAGGCATGGGCAAAGGAAAACCTTTTGCGCGTACTTGTGTGTCTGAGCATTTCAGTAGAATGAATACCTAGAATCAGGACCGACGTCATCATCGACGACGTCTTGTAGTCCGGGATTTCACAGAGGAAGACCTCGATGTTGAATAGCTATTTGTAGGGCGAATCCAAGAGAGTCATGGCCCCAATCAGCACATGCGGAATGGTAGTAAGTCTTCAAACACCAGCAATGTGTGCCGGGAGTTGTCGGTGCCGCTGCTGCTGCTGCTTTGCATGGATGCGGCTATCATGTACAAGTATTATGGCCTTGGTAATAATGATGATGGATGGGGCCCCAGCCCAGCTTATCGGACCTCGGCTGCAAGCCGATTAGAGAAGGGATGCGGCCCCTCACGTCACAAGCTACGGCCTGCCTGCCTACCGCCTACTGCCGACCGACAATACCTAGGGAACTTTTGGCACTCCCAGACGACTAGGGAACTTGACTGACGCTCGCTGTTGGTCGGCACGCAAAGACGATGCCGGAACATACTTTGTCTCTCCAGGTACCATAATACACAGATTCAACTCTGTTTCTTGTTCCATCACTTTTTCTGTAAAGTAGCTTGAACTACCTGCCTACCCACCAACTATCATCACACACCCGCTCCACGACGACGATTCCCTGCCCATCGGCCTCCCAAGCACGAACGACTTCTCTGAACCGACCCTGACCCGACGACCGCCCACCATGCCCGTCGCATCCAAGCCCGTCATCCCCCAGAATGACAACGTCGCCCACGCCCTCGCCGGCGCCGGAGGCGGCATCCTCTCCATGATCCTCACGTACGCGCCCGCGCCGAAACACACATGCCCTCCCGCCCCCCCCAAATTCCAATCCATTCCATACAGACAGACAGAAAACGTACAAAAAAGAAAAACTAACACGGGGGCTTCGTCTCCTCCCTCTCTCCTGAAAACAGCTACCCGCTCATCACCCTCTCCACCCGCGCCCAGGTCGAGTCCAAGCGCGCCGACTCGCGCTTCCTCGAGGCCGTCCGCAGCATCGTCGCCCGCGAGGGCGTCTCGGGCCTCTACTCGGGCCTCGACTCGGCCCTCTTCGGCATCTCCGTCACCAACTTTGTCTACTACTACTGGTACGAGTGGACCCGCGCCTTCTTCGAGGCCGCCGCCGACAAGGCCGGCCGCGCCTCCAAGAAGCTCACCACCGTCGAGTCCATGTTCGCCGGCGCCCTCGCCGGCTCCGCCACCGTCATCCTGACCAACCCCATCTGGGTCGTCAACACCCGCGTCACCACCCGCAAGCAGCAGGCCGAGAAGGCCTCCTCCTCCTCCGAGGCCGACCCGGAGAAGGCGGGAGCCGCCGCCGCCGCCCCCGCCGCGAGCGCCAAGCCCCCGACCACCCTCGGCACCCTGCTCGCCCTGCTGCGCAACGAGGGGCCCCAGGCCCTCTTCTCGGGCGTCGTCCCCGCCCTCGTCCTCGTCATCAACCCCATCCTGCAGTACACCCTCTTCGAGCAGCTCAAGAACGCCGCCGAGCGCCGCAAGGTCCGCGTCACCCCGACCGTCGCCTTCTTCCTCGGCGCCCTCGGCAAGCTCTTCGCCACCAGCATCACCTACCCCTACATCACCGTCAAGAGCCAGATGCACGTCGCCGGAGGCAACGCCGGCCAGAAGAAGGAGGGCATGATGCAGGCCATCTCGCGCGTCGTCAAGGAGGAGGGCTACGCCGGCCTGTACAAGGGTGAGTCTCTTTTTGCGTGACAAGAGAAGAGAGAGAGAGAGAACAGAGAGAGAGAGACAGAAGAGAGAGAGAGAGAGAGAAGGAGACAACGCAAAGACTATGAGAGAACAGGGCTGACTTTTTTTTGATAATCTTCTGCATGCACAGGTATCGGCCCCAAGGTCACCCAGAGCGTGCTGACTGCTGCCCTGCTCTTCGCCTTCAAGGACGTCCTCTACGAGCAGACTGTCCGCCTGCGGTCCGGCATCGCGAGGAAAGCCGTCAAGGCATAGAAGAACATGCCAGCGGCAGAAATAGGATGGCGGGAGATATCCAGCCTTGGGATGTCTGAGAGTGGAGTGCTGGAGATACCTTCGCTGTTTGCTTGCGTTTGAAGTCATCAACGATGTTTGTGGCGCAAACGGGGGGGTCATTTGTTCGGAAGGCCAGAGCGATATCAAAGGATGGAGAATCAGTAGGCACCTTTGTATACTAGGGTTGGATGTAGAAGCCAAGTGTATGACAAGATGCATAGGTAGTAAGTAGTCCGGGAAAACGAAGTATGAGTGTTTGGATCTAGTTTGTCGACTCTTGTTTCCGTTGAATAACAAAGAGGAATCGTATACAAGTCTCGGTACCATGTCCATTTCTGTCAATGTCTATGGCTACTTGCAAAAAAAGACTTCTTTGGTATTAAACATCGTCTTGGCCAGAACCGATCCAACCTCAGTGAATCTGATTTTGACAATAACAACCCCCTCCCCCCTTTTCCCCAACGCCATGATATGTCCAAAATGGAGGCGAAACCTATCCTCCCATACCACGCAATGCTGTTTGATGATGGCTTAGAAAAACATGCCAAAAAACCTTCCCCCCTTCAAACGCCAAGTAACAAAGGCCATCCGTGACCCTCCTCCAGCATCCAAAGCTCCCTTTCCCGCCGCAACTCACCACCACGGGGTATATCCACCCTCCTGTTCCCGCACAAACATGAATTTTTCCCTCAAGATGGATCCAAATGTTCCCTTTTTACCACCGCTCTCCCTCCCTCCCTCTACATCTACTGGCCCTCGCCATGCCTCCTCACCCCGGCCGCAAACGACACCCTCGGCGTCGCCGCCGTCGACCCAGGTGGCCCCTGGCCGTGCCTCATAAGCGACAGACCGAACCGGCTGCCGCGAGACAGCGCCGCTGCTCCTCCTCCTTCTCCTCCGCCCCCGCCCTCGCTCACGCCATACTCCTGCCGCAGCCGGCGCTCAAACGGACTGGGCAGCGGCGCCATGGGCGTCGTGGTGGCGGCGGCGGCCCCGCCCACGTTGCGCCGCGCCACCAGGCCGGTCCAGCGCGTCGGCGTGTTGGCCACATGCGCAGGCACAGGAACAGGCACAGGTACAGGCACAGGCAGCGTCGCGGCGGACGCCTGCAGCACTTCCTCGTTGTTGTCATCACTGATGTCTCCTTCAACGACGACGTCGTCGTCATCGTCAAATTCCGACATCGGGCCCAGCTGCACCGACTCGGCCATCTCAGCCGCCTCCTGCAGCCGCTGCTGGAACAGCGTGACCCGCGGCCGCGGGATGTGACTGAACCTAGTAGCGCCGCGTTGCTGCTGCTGCTGCTCCACTGTCGTCGCGGAGAACGGAACTGCAGATGATGATGCCCTGCCGGCGGCGGCTGACGCGGAGGGCGTGTCGTTGCCGAACTGCGACACGCCCGGGTAGACCACCGAGCTGCCGAGCCGGGACCGCGAGCTCTCCCCCGCCTGCACGCCCGCGCTGCGGAACCGGTGCGGCAGGCCGACGGCGCTCTCCCCCCTCTCCTCGAAGAACTCCCCGCGCGGAGGAGGAGGAGCCTGCATCGAGCCGCCGAGGCGCCGCTGCGCCGCCGCGCTGGGGCTACTACTTCCACCGTGCGGCTCCGCGTCCTCCTCCTCGATAACGGGGCCGCCGGCCCCGAGTCTCGACCGCAGGCTGTGCTCCTCGTCGTACTCAGTGATCGGCTGGAGCAGCGAGCTGTCGAACCTGAACGGGAAGGCCCCCGTCGGAGGGTTATTATGGTCGTTGTCGTCCCCGCCGCCGTCTTCGGCGGCGTACAGAGCGGCGGCGCGCGGCGTCGAGAACCCGAGCTTGCGCGCGCTGGCCCCCGCCGCCCGCCGGCTCAGGCGCGAGGAGGCGTTGAAGAAGCTGGACGGGAACGTCTCGTCCGCCTCCGGGTGGATGGCCTGCTCGGCCCAGGACAAGACGGCCTGGCGGCACAGGCGCTTGTTGTTCTTGTCCGCCAGCTCGGCCGCCGTGAGCCCGCGCCCGCGCGCCTGCACCGCCTGCAGCTCCCAGCCCTCCCACGAGTGGCGCAATCGAGCATAGATGTCCGCCTCGACGGCCTCGGCCCCGCGCTCCTGGCGCGCCTCGGCCGCGAGGCGCCACTCGTTCAGATGCAGCTCGACGTCGGCCTCGGCGGCGATGTCGTGCTTGGCCCGGTTGTCGTTGGTCTCGCCGATCCAGTGGTTCATCTTGTCGATGAGGTCTTGCGTCTCGTTCTCGGCGCGGACATCGTCGGCTTCCCAGCCGGAAGCCACGTGCTCCTCCGTAGCGCCCAGCCAGGCGCTCAGGCAGTCTGAAGCGATGGCGCGCTTCAGCCGCCGCCGGAACGCGTGGTACGTCCTCTTGAGCCTTTCTTCGCGAGTGCGCTTGGCATACTGAGCCCAGCCGGCGATGGCGTTGAAGGCGGTGACATAGTAAGCGCCGCGCTGCGCCACGGCCTCGAGCTCCTCATTCTCTGCAGCACAGTCTGCAAAGACGTCTAGCATGTCGCTCGCTGCATGTGCGAGAGAGAGCCCGTCGGCTCTTTCTGTTTGCTGCTGGTTCTCGCTCAGTTCGCCTTGCATACAGTCGACCAAGTCGAAGACGACCTTGTCCTTGTCGAGCCGGACGGCGACGTCTTCCAAGGCCTCATGTTCTTGCTTTGTCTCTCCGTAGGCAAGCTGTAACTGATTGAGACATTTCCTCTTCAGCTCGCTTTCCTGATACCGCTCAAAAAAGGCCAGTCTTTCCATGAGAACCCAGTCGTAGAGAGCCTGGGACTTGATGTCGTGCTCCTGCTCGGCGTTCCAGGCAGCTACTCGTGTCTCAAGCCTCCAATGCTTGACATAATCCTGGATTCTGTCGGCCTCTAGCCTGCTCTCTTGCGATTCCAGATCATGCGCTTTCTGAGACCACAACCGGAAGAACTCGGACTTGGTCTGATTGTCCCGAAGCTGCAACAATGCTCGGAGGTTCTGCTCTAGAAAAAGCAACTTCTTCCAATCCGAAAGCACCTCTCGACAGAGCGTTCCGTCCGCGTCTTCCGCAACTTGATTCATCAGATGCCGCTGCTCGTTCGTATCGTGGATCCAAACGTCAATAGCCCCCCGGATAAGACCGTGGGCACTATGCTGGTCCACCTGCTCCTCGGTATCGACCATCCTCTGTGTTTCTGTGGTCCACGCGCGAAAGCACCTCCTCTTCGCGTTGTCCGCCAGCCAGCCGTCGGCAAGGCGCTCTTGATACCCTGCTTTCCAGGCTGTGAACGACTGCTGTGATGTGCTCTGCTCGTAGAACAGCGCGGCAAGCGCCCGTTGCCTTTTTCTTTTGGCAACGGCATTGGTCCACGTATGCACCGCACGTCTGATTCTGAAGCTGTACACCCGGTAGTCATCCTCCACCTTCTGGTCGCACCAAGCGCCAAAGAACTTGAGGCGCAAGAGGTGTCTCCGGGCGACGTCTGTTCGTTCCAGGTCCTCCGCGGTGAGTGCCTGCCAATGTGTGAATGCCTTGTGCATTATCGAGATGTTGTAAGCCCGACTTGCCCGGTGCTCCATTCTCAGCCTGTAGCTGTCGAGCTGTCCGCCTTCGGGTGCAACGGGGTGCTCTGGTAAGGGTTCGTTGGCTTCCTGCACAACGGTTCCTGCTCGATCGCTCCATACGAGAACGGCCTCGGATGCGGACAGTTCTTTGTCCATCTGGTAAGCGTAAAATAGCTGCTCTCTGTTGAGAATGGTGGCGTACCGCCACATTATGTAGCTGCGCATGGTCGTGTACGAGAAGTTAAAGGCGTCGGAGATCTTGGCCATGATCTCAAGGTCGATCTTGGGCTCAGGTTCGGGCCCGTCCTCCATCTGATCATCCATGGCCAGCTCGTCATCGTCATCCACGTCTTCGGAGCCGGGAATAGAGCGCAAGGACCGCGCTGTATATGCATCGCGGGCTTCCTCTTGTAGATTCCGGAGCTCCTGTTCGAGCAGGACACTGGGCATGTCCTCAATGGGCTGGCGGACGTGCGGAGGGCGCCCAAGGTCCCTCCTCGGAAATGTGATGTCTCGTAGGCCATGTCGTGGTAGGTCAGGAAGACCTCCGGTCTGGGGTTTTAATTTATGATGTCCAGCAAGGTGGAGTTGTGATATGTAGCCCGGCGTTGGGCTTGCATTTTCATCGGAGATGTGTTGAGCACCATATCTGGACTGCCAGATAGGTTGACTGCCATGTCGTTGAGATTTCATAGGACTGTCCTGGAGATTTTGTATAGCAACTGGATGTCGTTGCCCATTTCCGAAGGGGAAATCTTTGAAAGGGCGTGCTGCTTCCAGTCGCAAATTAGGATTAGGGTATGGGTGGTACGGAGCATTCTCCTCATCGTCAGAGCCACTCTCGACGGCGCTGTCTAGTTCGTGCTCCTGGGAAGCCTGACGCCGCTGGTAAGCTGGGATCTCAGCCAGCCAGGGCCCAATGCGCTGGGCGGGATGTCGAACTGGAGGCCTAGCATCGATATGCTTCTTCGGTCCAGGTATTATCGAGGCCGATCTCCTCCTTGGCCGGGGTCTTTCCGCCTGGCCGTCGACAAGCGGCAGCACAACGCTGTCCGAGTTGCGCCGGCGGCGCCCGTGCAGATGCGGAGCGATGGAGAAAGTGCCGGTGCGGTCGTCGCCGTTTTCTGCAAAGAGGGGGGCCGCGGCGTCCTCGGGGGCTGGTGCCGAGTACTGCGATCGGGGGGGCTCATTCTGGTCGACAAACTCGAGCTCAATGCCCATCTCGTCTAGGACGGCTCTGAACTTGTCCAAGAGGTCGCCATCGCCGCGCAGCCCGCCAATGCGGAAGATGATGCGCGTGAACTTTGTGTCCTCCTCCGGGTCGAAGCCGTGCTGCGGCAGGACGATGTCGGCGGCGCGAAAAAGGGCATTGGTGGGGAGGCGGTCGCGGTCGGCGAGGGTGGGCAGGATCTCCTCGGCGAGGCTGACGACCTCGTGCAGGATTTCAATGTCTAGAGGTTTGGCGCATTAGTTTTCCCTCTTGCTGGACTCGCAGAATTTGGTGAACACGGTGAATGACGAACCGTCGTTGGAGTAGTAGGGTTCGTTCCCGTGGACGGAAGCGGAGCTGAGTCTGCCATCTCGTGAGGATAGCGAACTGTTGGGCGGCATGGGAGCAAGCGCGCCGGCGAAGGCATGATAAGCAGAAGAGCGGGCAGGAGGACAACTGGGCGAGAGATTCCGCGACAAAGCTGATCGAGGCGCGCAGGGGCCAGCAACGACTCAAAGAAAACAAGAGCTTTGTCCTGGTGGTGGTGGTGGTGGTGGTGGTGGTGGTGGTGATATTGCAAATGGGCGCGTCGACCTGGAGCTACAGTCCGAGTTGAGAGGACCGAGCAACAACCGTCAAGCAGGACAGCACCGTGCTATACTGTAAAAAGTGTATATGCCCCCAGCTGCGCGCCCAAGTCGACGACGAACAGTCGCTGCAGAGGAGAGGGGGATTCCGAATTGGCGAAGTGCAAAACAAAGAGATATGCGAGGGCAGACTGAGTGCGGCCAGCCCATTCAATCCAGCCCGGCAGCGAAACCAATTAACGCGACCAGCCACGGGGGAGAGGTTGGCGGGACGCGTGAAAGAGCGGCCTACTTTCCAAGTCCACTCATCCGCCCCGCTTTTGTCCAGCCAAAATCCTCTCCATTGATGGACACGCCGGAGCTACCCCTGTCCTGTCCATTGTCGTAGGTACAAGAACAATTGTAGAATTTTGACATCCAATTGTTTCATCCCGTTCCCGCCGTCATCGAAACACACCCTGAATAGCCCTTGAGTCGCTTAGACTCTGCTCGTTATCAAGAACGCCATCGATGTACAGTCCGCTATTGAATTGAGATAGTCGAGGCAGCCACCATGCAGCCCCGAGCTCGTCCCATCCACAAGTTTGCCAAGGCAGTCTCGCAATGCTCTGCAGAGGTCAGTCAGTGTGTTGTAGACTATAGGTAGAGAGAGACAGGTCGAACGAGAAGAAAAGACTGACGCCCAATTCCTGCAGGCCGCAGTATATGGTAAATGCATTGTTGCCGACTACAACTCGGTTCACAAAGACAAGTGCCTCAAGGAGTTCCTCAAGCTCAAGGACTGCTATCTGGTAAGATGGTGTTCACCTCTAGCCTTTCACCCGTGCTGACCCACGACAGGCGGCATCACGCAAGTCATAAACATAACATGACACAGCTTGTTACTTGACTTTCTCTATTCATTCATGTCTTTTTTACGCAAAGCTATGTATGGCATTGTTCTAGGTACTCTAGCACAGCCTGCCAGCCATCGATACCGATACGCCTCTGCCCGCCTCCTCTACAGATGCAGTAGCCTGAGCAGGAAGGTAGCCTTCTGCACCTCCTGCATCTCCTCGGCAATGATGCCCTCCTGCTTGCCCTCAGGGATCTCACCCTCCACGTGGGTCACCTCGTGCTTGTCCATCGGCCTCCGCAGCGCCTTCTCCAGCATCCTGGACTGCGTCTCAAACACCTCGGCCAGGCCAATGTTCTCCGGGTCCGCAAGCACCTTGTACTCCATGATGATGTCGTCCGTCGGCTGAAGGTTGGCCTTCTTGCGCAGGCGCTGCACACGGTTGATGATCTCTCTGGCCACACCCTCATGAGCGAGCTCGGGGTAGATCTCGGCATCCAGAATGGTCAGCACGTCGCTGTCCGTGTTGGTCTCGAGGTTCCTGGAGGATTCATCCTCCTTGATGACGCGCTTGACGACCAGGTCGCCCTCACCGAGGTGGATACCGTCGACGACAATCTCCCTGTTCAGCAGGTAGCCCCGCACCTCGTCGCTGGTCAACAGGGGCAGACCCTTCTTGACCTTGGCCATGTCCTTCTTCAGCTTCTTGCCCAACACGGGCCAGTCGGCATTGGCAGTGTACTGAACATTGTATTTAGCCTCATCCGTAGTCAGAACAAGGTCACGAATGTTGAGCTCCTCGCAGATGTATGACTCGAGCGACTTGACGTCGTCCAAGTATTGTTGCTCACGGTGAATGACGACCAGGGTCTTGAGCGGCGTCTTCAAACCAATGGTCCTCCTCTCGCGTGACAGGCGACCCAGCTCAATGACAGTCTGCATACGCTCGACCCTGCGTTCAACATCGGGGTTGAACAGCTCCTCGCGGACGGTAGGGAAGGGCAGGAAGTGGACGCTGCGGGGGTCTTCAGCGCGCTGTTCCTTGGGGATGAAAGGCAGCAGCTTCAGGTAGATGTGGTCGGTGAGGAAGGGGGTAAAGGGAGCAAGTCCTCGGCACAGAGTGTAGAGAACCTCGAAAAGGGTGTTGAGGGCATGCAGCGTGTCGTCAACGCCGTTCTCGCCCTTGAGACGTTTCCTATTGAACCGAATATACCAGTTGGTGGTATTGTCCAGAAGTCCCAGGAGTCGCGGCACGACCGTGTACAATCTATAACCTAAAGTGCGTGTTAGAGCAATTGCTTGACTCGAAGGCGAGGGAAAGACTTACCCTCCATCTCCTGGTTCACAAACTGCAGCAGGCTTTGGCAACTAGCAAGAATCCACTTGTCCATGACGTTGGTGTTGTTGGCCTCCTCCTTGGGATTCCACATGTAGTCCACCTTCTCGACCTTCTTGAGCAGGGCGACCTGGCCCTCGAAGAACTTGTAACTGTTCCACAGGGGCAAGAGGACTTTCTGGATGACCTCCTTCACACCAGTCTCCTTGAAGCGCAGGGGCTCGGCGCGGACGACAGGCGAGTTGATGAGGTACAACCGAAGCGCGTCAGAACCGTACTTGTCCATGACCAGGTCGGGGGGCGGGTAGTTCTTGAGACGCTTCGACATCTTCTTGCCGTCTTCTGCGAGTACAATGCCGTTCACGACGCAGTTCTTGAAGGACGGAACACCGAACAGGTGGGTGCCCAGCACCAGGAGGGTGTAGAACCAACCTCTGGTCTGATCCAAACCCTCGGCAATGAAGTCACCGGGGAACGCCTTCTCGAATTTGTCCACGTTCTCGAACGGATAGTGCTGGCTGCCGTAAGGCATGCTGCCTGACTCGAACCAGCAGTCAAAGACGTCCTCAACTCGCTTCAGCTGGCCCTTGCCCTGCTTGCTGGGGATGGTGATATGGTCGATCTTGTCGCGGTGGATGTCGCTCAGGTCACCCTGGAAACCACTGAGCTCGCGCAGTTCCTCGATGCTGCCGACACAGACACGCTCTTCTCCGTCGTCGCTGATCCACAGTGGGATCGGAGTACCCCAGTATCGGTTGCGGCTCACGTTCCAGTCGTGGGCGTTGGCGATCCAGGCGGCAAAGCGCTTCTCCTTGACGAAGCTGGGAACCCAGTGCTGCTGCTCAATGTTCTCCAGCATCTTGGGGACAATGTTTGTGATGCGAACAAACCAAGAAGGAACCGCGCGGTAAATCAAAGGGGTATCTGAGCGGTAGCACATAGGGTACGAGTGCTTCAACTGCGAATCCACCACCAGCCTTCCGGCGTTCTTCAGGTGCTTGATAATGTGCTTGTCGGCCTCCTTGACATGCATGCCAGCAAAATCAGACACCTTGTCGGTGAATTTACCAGCGTCATCAACCGGGTCCGGGGGCGGTACGTTCTCGTTGATGTAACCAGCCTTGAGCGCCACGTTGTAATCGTCCTCACCGAAAGCTGGTGCTTGGTGGACGATGCCCACACCGCTATCGGCTGTCACATACTCTGCGTTCACGACACGGAAAGCGGTGTCCTTGAATTCCTCGTAGAAGTAGTTGAAGAGGGGTTCGTACTGCCAGCCGGCCATAGCCGTTCCCTTGAGCTTCTCGACAATCTTGAATTTGGCCTTCTTGGGATCCTTGTAGAGCGTTGTCAAGAGCTTCTCCAACAAGATGTAGTTCTTGCCCGATTTCTCGTCATGGATCTTGACGTATTCGAAGTCAGGGTGGGCAGCGAGAGCCAAGTTCGACGGCAGGGTCCAAGGCGTAGTCGTCCAAGCCAAGAGGTGCGTCTCGGGGTCGTTCTTGAGAGGGAACGAGACGACGACAGCAGGGTCGTTGACATCCTGATAGTTCTGATTGGCCTCAAAGTTGCTCAGGGCAGTCGTGAGGGCCGTGGAGTAAGGCATGACGCGGAATCCCTTGTAGACTTGTCCCTTGTCGAAGAGCTGCTTGAAGACCCACCACTCGGACTCCATGAAGGTGGGATCCATGGTCTTGTAGTCGTTGTCGAAGTCAATCCATCGACCCAGCCGCTCAATGGTGTGCCTCCACTCCTCTCGGAAGCGCATGACAATGGACCGGCACTCCTCGTTGTACTTGTCGAGACCCATCTCCATGACGGCAGCCTTGCCAGTGATGCCGAACTTTTTGTCAATCTCGTGCTCGATGGGGAGGCCGTGTGTATCCCAACCAAAGCGTCGCTCGACGTGGAAGCCCTTCATGGACCAGTACCGCGGGATGATGTCCTTGATAGTCGAGGCAAGCAAATGGCCGTAATGGGGAAGGCCGGTCGCAAAAGGCGGTCCATCGTAGAAAGTGTAGAGCGGTCGGCCTTCGGAGAGTTGAACCTGGAAATCGCCATGTCAGCAAATGCGAAGCAGTCCGGCATGTCAAAATGCGACTGACCTGTCTCTCAAAAGCCTGGATATCCCTCCATCTCTCGATGGTCTCGACTTCCGTCTTGGGGAAGTCGATAGACATCTTGGCGCACAAATTTCCTGTCAATCAAGACAGGATGATGCAGTCTATGGTTGTGCTGTCAAGAAAGTGAGGTGTTTGTCGAGGTCGAGGCAAGAAATGGCAGATTTATCTGCCTTGGCCTGTGCCGCTCTGAGTCAATCTTTCGTGCCTCAGATTTGGCAAAATTTCGAGCACTCCAATTTCTATGGTGGCAGTGGTGGTGGTGGTGGTGGTCGAGTCACAATGCAAGGCCGCCAATGATTTCGCTGTGGCGGGGTACTCAAGGATGGAGGGGTTAGCGGCCGGATTAGGTGCAGCAATGGAGGCTGGCCTCGCTAGTGGGACACGGACCCCTGGCAGGCTGTACATGTATTGTAGTTAATAAGTGCAGGGATCTTCTTCGCTCGACATGTGGTCGTCTCCGGACGGGCTTGATGTAGCGTGATGTAATTCGCTGTGGTGACTTAGCGCAGTTTTGACACAGGGAGTACTCCGTAACCCCCCCAAATTCAGGGAGGTCGTCTTAGCGCCAGCAACGGTGATCAAAACATCCAGATCAAGTAAATAAATCGGAGTGCAAGTGGTGTATCAGATATTAACAGGCCGTACCTGTGGGCATATTGACGCACAAAGCAACTTTATTCTCTGGCATTGACTCTCTCGAGAGTTTCATTCACTGCTGCATGCCATCCCAGCAGCTTAGCACTCTTTCGCCGTGCATTCCATAAAGTTTATCGTCTCTGGCAATACCACCAATCATCCACCCAGACAACAGCCCGCCTCCTTTCGCCGGTTGCTTGCCACCCAAACTACCGTACGGGGCTCATTGCCAACCTTGACGAGCTTTTGGTGAAACCGAGGACGGCACCCAGACAGACAGGATGGCCTTTCTTTTTGGCCGAGGCCGTAGTCGGCCCAATACGACCGAGCTGCCCAAGCAGGCGAACGAGCTCCTTCAGAAGCTCGAGGGGCCTCCCGCAAATGCCAAGGTCCGGTTCACCAATCTACCCAACAGAACCACACGCTGACAGATGCCCAGATCGATGACCTATCCAAGATTCTCAGTCAGATGAAGCTCATCCTCCAGGGGACACATGGTACGAGTTTCCGTTTCCGTGGACGTTGGGCATTGACTTGACTAACACTCTTTTCCCGGCCACCAGAATCGGAGAGCAGCCCCGAGCAGATCTTCCAGCTGGTCAATGGCGTCCTGGAGGAGGATATGCTATACTTCTTGGCGATCAATCTCCACAAGCTACCCTTCGAGTCCCGCAAAGATGCGCAGGTCATCTTCTCTTACATCTTTCGGTTCCGGCCCCCGACCGCCTCTAACAACAGCGAGCCGATGGCACTGGAGTACGTCGTGACCAAGAGACCGCAGGTACTGGTGGAACTGTGCCGGGGATATGATCACAAGGAGAGCGCAACGCCGGCCGGATCGGTGCTACGCGAAGTCCTTAAGAACCAGTCGGCGGCCGCGATCATACTGTACGATGACGGAGACGAGCCGGGATCGAGTGCGCAGGGGATCGACTATATCAACGTCAACCGGCAGCAGACTGGCAATGGCATTCTCTGGCGGTTCTTCGACTGGATCGACAAGAGCTCGTTTGAGGTGGCCGCCGACGCCTTTACTACGTTCAGGGTAAGATCGAGACACCTCCCGAGAGCCGAGCGTCCGCTGACTTGTATATCGCACGTAACAGGAACTATTGACAAAGCACAAGGACATTGTACCAAAATACCTCTCTACCAACTTTGACGCGTTCTTTGAGAGATACAACACGACGCTTGTGCAATCCAACAGCTACGTTACCAAGAGGCAGTCTATCAAACTGCTCGGGGAAATCCTGCTGGATCGGTCCAACTACAACGTCATGACGGCATACGTTGACCGGGGTGAGCATCTCAAGATCTGCATGAACCTGCTGCGCGACGACCGCAAGATGGTGCAGTACGAGGGCTTCCACGTCTTCAAGGTCTTTGTCGCCAACCCGCACAAGTCGGTTGCCGTGCAAAAGATCCTCCTCATGAACCGGGAGAAGCTGCTCACCTTCCTGTCCCACTTCCTGGAAGACCGGACCGACGACGAGCAGTTTATCGACGAGAGAGAGTTCCTGATCAAGCAAATCCGGAACATGCCCTCTACCCCGGTGCCGCCCCAGCGATAAGCACCAGGGAGAGGGGGAGAAGGAATTATGTGGGATGTCATGAGCAATGAGATGGGATGAGCATCAGAGCACAGACCAACGACGGCTCAGTGATTACATGTATGTATGTATGAAAGTGCATTCGGCTAGGCGTTTGGCATGGGAATAGCGAAATCGGAAAGACACACAGACATCAAAACCCAGAAAGCAACACTGCTTGTAGAGTACCCAGCTTTTTGTTACCATCTATCTTCCCCTTTGCTCAGCCCAAGTGGCTGCCACACCCCGTCTCTCCGAGTTTCTCAGCAAAAAAAAAACAAGTAAAAACCGCCTCACAAGCTCTGCTTGTCCATCCACTCCTGCGCAGGACCCTTCCACTCCTCCCTCCACCGCGACATGGGCGGCCGCCCCTCGACGATGTCCCCGACGCTCCACAGCATCCGCCGCCGGTCCGTCGACTCGCTCACGTCGTTGTCCGGGCACACGGCGTAGAACTTGCCCTCGGCCATCCTGCGCTCCAGGAACTCGACCACCTGCTCCGGCCACCACGCCCCCGCCGGCTTCTCCCTGGCGCCGCCGCCGCCCGTCATCCCCGTGAACGTCCAGCCGGGCACGAGCAGGTGCACGCCGACGTTGTCCTCGGCGCGCAGGTCGTAGTCGAGGTGCTCCGCCAGCGCCTTGACGGCCGCCTTGGAGGCGTTGTACGCCGGGTTGCCGGGCGGGCAGGTGATGCCCTGCTTGGACCCCGTGATCACCACCGCCGCCTTCCCACCGCCGGCCGCGGCGCGCACGGCGTCCAGGCACGCCGCCAGCCCGTTGACGACGCCCCCGAGGTTCACGTCCAGCACGCGCCGGAAGCTCTCGGCGCTGTCCCACCGCGACGGCGCCCCCCCGACGCCGGCGTTGAGCGCCAGCAGCGAGACCCTGCCGCCGAACTCGTCGTCGACGCGCCTGCGCAGCACGGCCCACCCCTCGGGGGACGAGACGTCCATCTCGACGGTGAGGACGTCGGAGGTGTCGTTGTCGGCGCCCGCGCAGGCGGCGGCGGGCGCGGCGGTCAGGGCGGCGGCGTCCCGGTCGGCGACGAGGACGCGCATGCCCGCCGCGGCGCAGCGCTTGGCGAGGGCGAGCCCGATGCCCGAGGCGCCGCCGGTGATGACGGCTGTGTTGCCGGGTTGGAAGACCGTAGTCATGACTTCTGTGCTTTTTCCCCTCCTAATACAAGTACTCGGGTTAGTGGTGATGTAAGTGAGTGGACCGGACCACCTTGTTTTCAGAAGATTGGCAAGGTCTTTCGAGTATGCTTTGGTGAGAGGATGGTTGCCGCAAAGAATATGCCGGATTTACAGAAAGACAATATTTTGAAATACAAGTTGTTCTGTATATGTTAGACTGAACCCGCGTCCGTGTCGAAGGTTGTATGAGCCCTGCTGTTCTTATACTTGTACATGATGACGGAACATGATGGAGCCATCCCGATAGGTTTCCCCGCCTCGGGACCCAGTTGAGCTTGATTTACGGGATTGCCATGGAATTGCACAGGCAAAAGAGGCACCGTAAGAACCTCTCCGTAAAGTCCTATCTCCGTGTCATCATTTTGCAGGTCGCGCCAGAGAATATGCTCAAATATGGTATTTTCGACACCAGTAACAACAAAAACTATCTAGCTAAAACCCTTTTACCTCCTGTCCCCAAACCCGCAGAGCTCCGCTGCGCCAAAAGAGCAGATGGATAAAACGATAATCAAAAACGCCATGTCTCCGTTCGTTCTGCCTGAGCGGATCGATATCAAATTACACGCCACCCCCTGGATGGATGGCCCCCACGCTGCTTGCACACACGGAAGGAGAACAAGAGCCAGCTCATCGAGGCACAGCCGGCTGCTTCGAGAGCAGGACGTTGACGCTCTCGCGGGCGTTCTGCGTCGTCCACATGCTGCCCTTGCCGCCGCGGCGCCACTCGTCGCCCGTAGCCAGCTCGCCGCCGCCCCGCGTGGCCTCGCCAAAGATAATCTCAAGATCGCGCTTCTGCGAGCTGAGCCAGTTGCGCAGAAAGTTGGCCGGGTCCTTGCTCACGGCGTCGAGGAAGTCGTGCTTGGCCCGGGACTGGCCGATCGCCTGGACCAAGATGGCGAGCTGGTCGTCCAGGCTGGCGACCTCCTTGAGCATCGTGGCGTACTGGGGGTTGTGAATGAAGGGGAAGAGCTTCTGCCTGAGAGGGTCATCTACGGCTACTCGGACATCGTAGATGGTAGGTTCAGGGTTCTTGTGGAATTCTTCGTCCACCCGTATCGTGTAGACCAGCTTGACAGGAGGAAGGGGGCTGAGATGCCCATTGATATACTCCTGGAGCGACGGGATGTAACCACTGTCTCGACCAACGACCTGTTGTACCATGTCAGCGAATTGATGACGGGACTCAAATATGGAGGAGAGAGACCAACCTTTCTCAGCAAGTCATCGCAGCGGAAATTGCGCTTCTCCTCGTCCTCTTGGAGTCCCATGAGCTTGATGTATTCCCAAAGCCCCATGATGATTTCCGGACGCGTAGCCTCCTTCATATCCACGACCTCGGCAAGATCGGGGCTCAGCTCGAACCGCTCGGGCTCCTCGTGTCGGTAGAGGTTGATGGTGATGTTGGTGTTCTCGTCTCCGCTCCGCTTGAAGGTGAGCTCATCAAAGTCGGCGGCAGCCGGCAGGTTGGACGAGTTGGGCGCCCGCTCGGGCTTCTTCCATTCGACGCTCTGCTCCGTACCGTTCCGCATCTTGCTGCGGTCAAAGTCGACAGTGAGGGCCTTGAAGAAGTGCGAGAACCGGTATTTCTGCCCTCGGGGTGCCTTGGGCTTGGTCTTAGCTGGGCCGTCTGTATCCATAGCGTCTGCGCCGGCAGCATCCTGCTCTTCCTTGTCATCCTGCTCTGAATCGTCATCCTCATCGAGTAGACGGCCCTCGATCTTGACGCGATATGAGGACTCTAGGTTCGATGAAAAGTCAAAGCTATCAACGTTGAGGCCGTTGCTCTGCCAGATCTGGTCCTCGACCGTGTTCGAGATCCATATGCGCAGCGTCTTGAACCGCTATGATTGAGGCGTTAGCATGTGAACGTGTTTTTCAATCCTCAGGCACGAATCTCGCTCCGTCCCTACCTTGGCATTGCGGCTGACGGAGTCGACAATATCGAGCCTCTTGCGAGTCATCGTCGCATCGAGGCGCCTCTCAAAGTCGCGCAGCTGCTTGTATCGCTGCACGCCGTCGCCAATGATCGCGTCCTCGACGCCATCGGGGATGGTCCTGTCGGTGGGCTTGCGGCTGCGCCGTTTCGCCATCTCGCTCGCCTGCTGCTGTGCCTGTACCTGCTGCTGCATCTGCGCCTGGGCATGCGGCATGGCGTGGTGGGCTCCGGGTCCGGCGGGCATCATCGGGCCTGCCATTGTGCGGTCGAGTGACGTGTTAGTTTTTTAGTCTCTAGCCTCGATCTCTCTCGGGGTTTTGTGTCACGGAAGAGGTTGCAAGGAGGGACGGGAAGGGGGGGGGCGCCAGAGCCACAGCCGCACGCTCGCTGTTGCTAGTGTGTGCCGCTTCGCCGATTGGAAGGAAGCACGGCCGAACTGGACTGGACTGGACTGGACTGGACGGGAGGCACGGGTGGTTGTGATGGACAATGGACCAAACCGGACAAAGATAGACCAGACGGGACTGGGCACGAGAAAAAGGAAGCGGCCTAGCTTACCGATGCCAGCGCGGCGCTGATTGGGACCATGCGGCGACCTCTGGGGCGGCGCCTGCTGTGGGTAGGGACGATACTGGGGCTGCATTCTGGGCGATTCGGCAAAGGACGAACGTCCTTGTTTGGTGGAGAGTTTTTTGACTGGGGTCGGGTTGTTTGACGAGATTCAGAGCAGCGCGACATGCGCGTCGTGGGCGTCGCTGGTAGGTTGAGTTTGGGGATGCGACAAAAATCCTAGCGGGAACACACTCGGCCAGAGAGTCCACCATCAAGGGGGTGGTTGGGTCGAGAGTACTTGTTGAATGTGCCTATCTCATATGGTGGAGCTATGTATCCAGTACCGATTAGCCAAGCTCGAGGTTTGGCGCAAAGTGCTAGACGTTGATCATGTGACACCATCTCTTACTGTGAAGTACGATTCCCAGCCTCCTATCCTCCTTCTTCCAGGCCAGACACGTACGGAGTAGATCCTACGGCCTCTCTAGAGTAGGAATATTCAAATAGGCATATCAAATGTTGTTTGAAAGGGTGACACATTATTAGCGTCAACTGTGCGGAAGCAGGGTTGGGCAGGTAGGTACCTATGCTGGATCGGAGTCCGCCTCGACCTAGGTACTCCGGAACAGAAGATCACTCCAGTCCAGTGCTGCCAAGAGGCTACACTATAGGTACCTTATGGAGCCAAACCATCACAACAAGAGCGAATGTCCCATGACGACTTTATACCAAGGTTATATTGTGAATCAAATAGAGGCTGTGATGTGCTTGATGTTCAATGCTAAGCCCATCGCCACGCTATCAAAATGCCAATTAAGAGTGTTGTATGCACAGTGTCCAGCCGATCCCTTTTCTTCTCTCCCCAAGGGTGTCCTCTCGCTCTGGCCGGCCACCGTGAGAATAGGAGTAGGGCCCATATCCGTCTCCAGTAAGGGCGGCCCTGGCCCTCCATGACCAAGATGCTCACAGTTCTAGTCTTTTCCGTCACCGCCCAGCTTGTCTCGACGTTATCGTTCGTTCAAAAAAGTCAGTACGCTGGGGTTTTTCGCTTCAAAATTGGGCTCCAAGCCCGTTCCTTGACTGCCTCTTGCTGAACCGGTTCCTCTTCCGATCCGCCGTCGCATCATCAAGGCTTGCCTGACTCTTACTGAGAAGCTGAGTGCGACCGGATCTATCGCTCACACTGAATCCTTCGCCAAAGCCCTCCGGGTACTGGCCCCTGCCCCCGAGCGTGCTAGCCGGGCTCGACATGGACGAGGACATGTCGCCGAAGTCGTCGCTTCTATAAGAAGCCACGATGTTTTGCGACAGAGCAAAATCCTTTGCTCTCTCAAGCGCGTCAACCCACTCTTCCGCGGGAGTCTTGCCGTACTCTGTGGATTGCGAAGACTTTGCTTCCTCGAAGGAGTAGTGTACGCCTCCCTGGCATTGTGTTAGTACCGTGGACCACCTTGATAGAGCAAGATGCGGGAGCTTACCGTGTCGACGCACCACACCATCTGCCCCTTGGCGTCCATCTGGCTGCGCCAAGTGCAGTCAGGAGCCAAAAGAGATATTTCTTGCTTCGCCTTCTTCTCGTCTCCGCCAGCCGGGCAGAGCACTATGCGACCACCTGAAGTGACCATGACAAGCCGCTGCCGCTTCTTCGTCGTGCTGCCGCCAAAGAATCGGGAGAGCTTCTTGTGACCGTCGCCGTCACCCTTCTGCCCGTTATTGAGAGGGCTCGTGATGACCATCAAGTCGCCGAGTTTCAAGATTCTTTCGTTCTGGCGTGTGAGGATAGGGGACCAGTCTAGATCCAGTTGGGTGGGAGGTGGCAATTCGGTAATGATGCGCGATGGCCGCGGCGCGTTGTTCTGCGGCTGGGCGCTCCTAGATGCCGCCGTTGATTGGGACGCAGAGGAGGCTCCGTTGAGCTGAATAATGTGCGGCTCCTGCGAAGGAGGTACGAATGGTCGCAGCCGCGGCGCCTTTGTCCTCCACAGCTCTTTGCCGAACTTTTGACCATCAAAGAACTCATGGTTCTTGATGTGATCGATGGTCAATCGACGAGAGGGGTCCAAGACCAAGCATCTCTCGACCAGGTCCCGAGCAGCTGGAGGGAACCCAGCGGGGAACTCGTATTCAAGGCCGACAATCTTCTGGAAAGTCAGATACTCCGACCCGCCCTTGAAAGGAGGTCGACCAGCAAGGAGTTGGTATATAATGCACCCAAACGCCCAAATGTCGCTTGGCTTCCCAGCCGACTTGTCTGTCAGCAATTCTGGGCTCACATACTCGGCAGTTCCGACAAAAGAGGCTGCGCGGCTGTCCTCCGACTCGTTCGAAACCCCTGGGACGTTCTCCAGAGGTTTCGGATCTCTTGGGTCTTTCAACAGCTTCGCTGTCCCGAAGTCCGTGATCTTCACGTGCATGTTATCGTCAAGAAGGACGTTCTCGGGCTTCAGGTCGCGATGGATCACTCCTCTCGAGTGCATATAGTCGATAGCATCGAGTATCTGGGCACCGTAGAACCTCGTGCAGTCAACGTCGAAAGTGCCGGTTCTCTTCAGCACACCGAGCAGCTCGCCGCCGTTGCAGAGGTCCAGCACGTAATAGAGCGATAGCTCATCTTGAAAAGTGTAGTAGAGCCGCACAATGCCGGGATGTTCTGTTAATCGGTTGAGGGTGTTCTTCTCAATGTTGACGTATTTGATCTTCTTCTCCTTGATGATGTGCTTCTTCTCGAGGACTTTGATGGCATACTCCTTGAGGCTCTGTCGGTCGGTCGCGAGGTAGACAGTGCTATAAGATCCTTCTCCGAGAACTCGCCCAAAAGAAAAGTCCTTGACACCTTTCTTGACGGTTCTGACGACGGTCCTGCCCGAGGCGTCAACCTCTTTCCGGACGCTTACCGACGCACCCTTCTCCTGCCACTCCTCGCTGCTCTTGAGCGGCGGCATATCAGCAAGCTGTGTGGTCGACTGGCCCGGGCTAGGGGCGGGCTGGGTCGTGGCATAACCACCGCCCATCCCCCTGGAGCTGCGTCTTGGTGGGAGGGCACCAGTAGGCGCCGTGTTGTAAGGCCGCTCTCGGTGGTTCGCCTCCCTCGAGGATACGGGATTTGTGTGAGCAGGACTTGACCTTGAGTCGTGCCTGGCAGGTATGCCATAGGTCGAGGACTCGCCCCGGAGCGCGCTGTAAGGCGTAGTCGCCTGCTCAATCTCAAGCGGGGTGGGTGTGGAGTAGAGATTGGAGACCGGTCGGGCAGAGGCTGAGCTTGGGGAGCGGCCATTGCTGGGTGATGAATTTGGCTGGTATGTGGAATACTGCACTTGGAGATGCTGGTCGGGGCGGGCTGCCGAGCTCGGTTGCCTCTGTACGATGTTCAGGTTGTTCTGGGCCGACTTCAGGATGGCGGCGGCGCTTTCGTAAGTGTGTCCACCGCCTGGCGATCGACTCTGGGGGTCGCTAGTACCAGAGGGAGTCGTAGGGTCCGGTATGGGTGCTGGAGGCGATTGTTGGGGAGGTGGGAGTTGCTGTTGGGTCTCGTCGTTGGCGATCCCCTCACTGGCGTCGATGGGGGCTGCGTCCCCGGTCGCGGCGGCCGACAAGTCCCTCGAAGAGCTGGCAGGCGCATCGTCCGGGTTGGCTATCCGCAGCCCGCCCAAGGCCTGGGACAAGCTCAAGTCGCCGTTCATGTTCGATACCGCCTGGAAATATGCCGTGCACTCTGTCAGCGAACAGAATAAAAAAGTACGTGCTGGGATATGGTCGTGATACTCGGGACTTTGGACACGGGTACGTGGGCACACACACCACAGGGGCCGTCCAGAAGCCACACGCTCTAGAGGCTGTAGGTTGGGGGAAGTGAATGGCGGGTTGAATCTGCCATTTGGCAGGCAGACAACAAAGCTCTCCCAATAATCCTAGACACAGAGCCCAAGAGGATGGACGCTTTCGCGAAGAGAGAAGAGAGAGAGAGAGACAGCGACGATGAGGCAAAGCCTCTTCTTGGGAGCGGTGCTGAACAGGAGATTGGTCTGGAGTCGGTCGATCTCTGTACGCACGGGTGGCAGTATCCTTGGATGGGCGGGCATCGACCAGGGCCGCAGGGGCTTTCGTCAACGGCTGGCGCCTCTCGACACCTAATCTTAGCTGAGATAGCGCGCCGGCTCACCCTGTTAAGGCGAAATTGGCTCTCCGGGGCAGCTCTAACACGAACTGCCCGCTCCCACTACTGCGCACTTTGTGGCTTGGAATTAGGCATGCAGTGAACATCTGTGGACAGCACGCGTAATGGATAAGTCTGATCTGGTATCTCTGCCTCATTACCCACTAAAATGCCTGCCTACGTACTAGGTAGTACTTGTTGTTCGTATCTCCTGAGCCATCATCTTGAAAAAATAGCTCTGAAAGGCAAGGGCCACTCTGGCATATATGTCCATGTGATGTCCTGAACATTGATCATGGATCATGAGGATTGCCCAGGTAGCAATCAAGTGTGAAGCGTTTTACCTCTCACTGACAAAATGGTCCACGCGCCCTCTCGGGAATCTCGAGCTCAAAGGCGAGCAGATATGACAGCCCCGATCTTGTGTGGCCAAATGAATACGCACAGCGCGGTGTCTCAATGAACACACTCAATAACAAGCTCACCGATTTGATTTGAAGTTGAGCAAATTACTTTGCTTTGAATGCACATAGCATTTGATCGACTGTTCTTTCCTACTTTTAGGACTGGGAACATCAATCAGCTCGTGCTTTCCATAACGAAACAAGACAAGAGCAAGCGCAGACCTAAGGTAGATAGAGACAGTCCGTGAGCAAGAATAAAGCCCTAGCCGTAGAGGCCATTGCCGCATGCTCTGGGCTACCTGTTATTTACTTCGAAAGATTGTAAGAATCGCCATATTGTGGGCTTTACGTGTCACCGGCTGGCATTCTTATACGACGATGCTGAGACGGAAACCAACAACAGTCGCCCTCACCATCGAGGAGGTTAAAGACTACGAGAGACGCAGTAGCTATAGACGTTATGTCCGATCTGAACAACAAGCCTGGGATGATGTGTTTCAAGAGGGAGGCTTGGGAGACTCATCAGGAGCGGACAAGGTCACTGAGAAACGCGAGCATGCGAGGCCTGCCAAATCCGTCGTGACACAGTTCTCACCGTTGTCAACATACAGGGAGCCCATCGCTGGACCTGCTGCACGGTCTGAAGCGGAGGGCCGGAATGCCGGAGACAGGATCCAAAGCCGGGCTGCGACTCCCTCACTGTCAAGGCCTCGCAACAACACGATGGAAGAGTCGTCTGATACTGAACCGGAAATGACAATCCCTCAACGGCCTCTTGCGCGTCCGCCTCGAAGGCCACCCCGTCCACTATTGTTGCCAACCCCAGCTGGAATAGGAGTTCCGTTGAGGTATCCACTGCCACCGCCGGGATACAGCCAGGACGGAGCAGGGCAGGACCAGAACCCAGATGAGACGGGCGCACCGGCATCCGGCTTCCCGACTTGGAGGCATGGATGGGAACAGGCCCGGGCAAGACGGAGCTCGGGAGACACTCCACTGCCCAGCAGCGCTCCAGCAACACCGGATCGGGCTTTCTCCAGGGCCCTGGATCGTACTGCAGCCACCCCGGCACCCTCGGTCAGTGACAAGAAGCATACTACTCAGGAAAGTCTGTATCGACGCTGACATAGCGCCGCCTCTTCCACAGCCTGGAATCAGCCGCAGTGCTTCCGCAAGGGCAGCAACACGGTTCATGGATGCGTGCATCATGCGAAGAAGGTTGGCCAGCGAGCTCCGCATCACTCACCGGAGAGGATCTCTGCATTCATCCAGCAACGAGCAATCGGCAGAGCAGCAGCGCTCACCCGCAATCGCGGATCTCTCAGCGACCGGCTTTCGAGTGTATGATGATTCTGTATCTGCCATCTCGCAGCCTCAGACACCACAGAACTTACCCGAGCATCGGCATCGCAGCATGCTCCTAGGTATGTACACGGCTCCAGCAGGGACACGCGACTTGCAGAATATCGGGATCCTGTCCCGTCGCCGGAGAGCACAGCGCAGTCCCAGTCCTAGCGGTTTGCAGAGCCCAGGCTTTCGAGGACTATATGGAGGGGTAGAGAACTCGGACGACTCAGCGCTATTCGAGCAAGCTGAGCGAAGGCTGGAAGAAACTGGGCTCAGGCCAGGCTTTTGACGAGTGTCGAGGGCTGGTAAATCGAGGACTATGAAGGCGCAAGCTTGGTGGTCCGTTCATACGAGATGCGAATGTTGTTCGGAGCCATGATGGCCGGTTGCTGGGGTAAAGCATGGAGCAGGGAACTAGCGACCATTGCGAGCTACCTACGCTACTCCGTACGTTTTTGGAGCTTTCAGAATGATGTGGGAACCCCATGCGATATTGCAATCGAAGGAGGGTCTAAGGAATGCATGTAATATGGAAGAGGACCTTCCACAACCAGGCTTCTACTACCTTGTCAACGAGTGTCAACACAAGGAGGCGGGAGCTGCGTTCATGCTCTCTATTGTAGCCATATCAGAAATACACCAGTAACTCTAGCAGGCCTCTACTTCGACAATGTACTCGCAATAGTGCTGGTGGCCATTCCTCCACGACGTCCACTTGCTCCAATCATTGAACCTCTCGGACCTTGCTGCACTGTGCTCTCGACGCCGAGGAGGATCGGAAGAACACTGCCGGCGAAGCCGACATTGGTACGAAGGTACATCTTACAGCTTGGATGCCTCATCTTCTGCCTCAGGCCGGAAGTTCAGAGCGAGCACAAGAGCGGATTCTTTCGCTGATCAGACTCGGGGTGCGAAAGCAGGGCGAGAGACTAAGCCCAAAGAGGCATTAATGGCTGGCATTCTCCAGATACGTCCTTTACACAGGGATAAGGTCCTGAGACCCCGTAATTGGACAAAGAGTGGCCAATAACAGGGCGCAAACCGCCAGACCACCCTCGCCGGTGACGAAGAGTCAGGTCAAACAAGGAGCAGGGGTCCTTTTACCGAAGCCCTTCTCCAAGCGGACAAGCTCACGGGCCAACCAAAGGGCAACAAGACGTCGCAAGCCCAGATCTCCTCCATTGCCCCCATATTTTCCTGGTTCAGCAAATCAGCAACCAGGACTCTTGGGCTGCCGTGTCGCCCAGGATTCTTTTGGCGACCCACAGTATGGCCTCACCTTTGGCCAATTGCCGACCCCAAACCTGCTGACTCTTTGCCCTGCCTTCTTTGCCTTAGCAAGAGAGGTACCTCCCGCTCGTACCTTTCTTGCCTGTTTGCCTCAGGTAAGCAGCGTAGTCGGTCTGTGTGTTTGTCCTCCTCCTCACAATTCCGGTACACAGGTACTTAGATACTTCCCAGGCAAAGGCAAAGGCAAACTCAGTCCCGCGGACCGCTACGCCATTTCTGGCTGGTCCTCAACTGTCTCTTTTTCGCGGCGCCGCTTCTTCTCCACACCCGCAACGAGACCGCAGCGCAGAGAGTGTAACTACTTACATCTTGGGTGTGTCGCTGGTTCTGCGCGTGCGCCGGCCTTTGCCTGCACACTCGGTCGTCTCGTCTTCCTCTCTTCTCTTACATCCCATCCCACACCCAGATCCTCGCACACACCCTTCGCACACATCCACACTCTACCTGTCTCTTCTTCCCTTTCCCTTTCCTCTCCTCTGCTTATTTCTTCCCTCTGCCCCCTTCCACCTCTTCCTCCATCCTGCTTCCTCTTCTACTTACACCCAGATCGTGGATCCTACCACTCATCCATCCTATCACCAACATCACCAACAGCCTCGCTCTGTATACTTTGACCACCACCACCACCACCACCACCACCACCACCACCACCACCTCGTCCACTACCTTCCTGGCCACCTACCTGTCACCTACCAAACACATCTCGCTTTGTCGTAGGGCGAACCTCATCCTCCTGAGGCTCACTCCTCCAGGCCCGGGGATATCGACTTGGACCCGGCTTCGTCGTTCATACTTACCTCTCTCTCTCTCCAGGCCTCCCTCGTACCTTCATCCACTGCCATCACGTTCCCGCTACCCAATTGACCTCCACTGCACTGTCTAGTACCCCTGGTATCTCCAATTGGTCGTAGTTTGAGTGCCATCAGACATCACTCTCGTCACGCGTACCTCACTCCTCCACCACCTGTCCGGCAATTGATCCGCAGATCAAGTCGGCAGATAGCATCTCTGATCCCGACATTGCCACGACCCCTTGACCACAATCGCATCACCAACTCTCTGCCCTCTAACCACCCGCATCCTCTAGCACGTACGCCAGGCACGATGGCAGCATTCGGTCGTACAGACTCGCCCGTCGTCACCATCCCACCCCATTCTGCTCATCAAGCCCACCTGAGCGGACCATACTTCCCCCAGCCGGCGTTCCACAATCACGCCTCGTGGACCCAGAACTTGGCACAGAACCCTCCAGAGATTCGAAGGGGCCGCAAGCGATCCAGAGATGAGGCCGCCGTGAACTTGGACTCGCCGGAAAAAGCACCTCCACCAGTCGAGCCCGTCAAAGAAGACGAAGACGAATGGGAGTACGGCCCGGGCATGATTCTCATCAAGAAGAAAACCGGATACGTGCCCGACGCGAGCAGTCAATCTGGCACCTGGGTCGAGGAAAAAGCAGCCGAAGACGCAGTTCGGAAGACCGAGGAGGCTCTTCTCGACCAACAGCGCCAGGCGCAGGATAGACCGTCGCTACGCAGCCACAAGTCCTCAAGGCTCGACGTCACTGCAAGCCTGCCTGCTACCGAGCTTCCTGTCAACCGATCCAGCCCTGGACGCGACATGGCCGACCCCTCAGCCCATACGACCTCGGACACGGCGGCTCAGCCCGTTGTCGATGATTTCACTCTTCATCTCGGTATCGGATGGAGCCGGATTAGCGACAGCGAGCATATTCAGGCTGCCGCTCGTGGATGGGCTCGATACATTGAGAATCACTTCCCCGTCAACGATGTCAAGATACTGTTGGAGAGCAAAGGTCTCGAGTCGTATCTCGTCGAGGCCGCGGAGGGCTATTTCCTCTTTGCTGAGAACCTACGCCAAGGTCGCCTCGTCAGCAAGGATGCACAACACGCTCTCCAAAACCTTCGCTGCTCGCCACCCGTCTTTGAGGGCGCCCACACGATGGAGGCTGCCGAATCGCCAAAACCCGTGACTGACGCCGATGTTGGCACGGCACCCATCTCGGTTGTGTCGGCGGGCGTGGCAACCACCACTCCTCATCATGAGGTGGAAATGGAGATGAGCTAAACGGCGAGAACATCTTGATTGGCGTCACATGGGTTCAATTTTTCTTCCGGCTTGGGTTTTTCTTTTCGGGCAGAACTTGGGATGGGATGGTTGAGGACGGTACGACGATGAACGGCCGACATGACTCTTTCGTTTCTGCGCTTTTTTCCCGGGTCCCATGGGAGAGAAGTTCCTCGGTACAAGGTAACATGGCGCACATCTGAGGGTAGATTTGCGATTTTGCTTCAAAATTTTGATTTCATACCTTGTACAATAGATACTGGAGCATCTTTGAGCCACCAAAAGCTTACTTTCAATACAAAAAGCAATGCATGAACTCGAACAAGGTCCTCGGTCCAGTGATGTTGATGCTGGCTGCCCAAGTTGAAGACGAGGAGAGGCGGGAATGTGGGTGGGTAGAGTGGGTGGTCCGTGCGCTCTGGGTCGAGCAACCACCACACTCTTACCATTCCAATTCAGTCCATGTCAATCGTTCCCTTTGCTGGCGAGGTCAAAAGACCAATAGACTGACGCATTTTGCTTACTTGAGAGGGCATGCTGGTCAGATTTCAAGACGGCTTCTACAAGTACAGGGAAGAGATGGAGCCAAGTGCTGGACAATGAGTGGGCAGCGACCGCCAGCGCGCCCAAGGGGCGGCCTCCCCTATGCCCGATCAATAGGCCAGCGCTGCACGACCGGATATGCACGCCCTAACTCCCTGTATCTCAGATGGCCCCTCCGTGTTTCTCATGTATGGTCCAGACCTCGAGACATCTCGCTCTGGGGGACCGGCGAAGAGGCAGAGACAGGTAGGCAAAAGCATCTGCACAGTGGTTTTTGTTTCTTCGCGTGCGTGCAGCCAGCCTGGGCAATGCAATGCAAAGGAAAGCAAATCAAAAGCAATCAAGAGGACAGGCGGGTGTGGCTGCTGCTGCGTGTCGGGGGATGACAACAGGAAAGCGAAGGAAAAACAAGGCTCGAAAGACGCGCCTAGAGAAAGCAAAAAGAAACGCGTGCGGGATGGGCGATATCATCTGCAGATGCTGGTGGTGGTCACAAGTACACTCGGATTTCGCTGCCTGCGCGCCTTGATGCAGCGAGACTGTCGTAGCTTTGCCCTTTACTCGAGCGTTTTCCTTCCTCCGTCGGATGCGCACTCAAACCATGCCTTGACGAGACACTCATAATCTATCTCAGATTTGCATGGAACAATTCTAGAGAGAGATTTCCTTGCTCTGGTCGAAGAACACACACCCCTGTCAAAAGCGGCAACCCTGGCCGTCAAATCACAAGCTTTGGGACAGCTCCGGGCGGCCTGTGGCGAAACCACGAGACACAGCCTCACCGAGTCACCAGGACTTGGCCCGGCAGGCCAACCTGTGCGGGAGCAGAATTCTCGAGAAACCATCGGGAGACGATTTCTGTTCTGTTTATATTCTTTAAAGGTAGGTTTTGGAACATATATCCAGGGACAGCAGTGCTGGAGACTTTGCATTTTCACGTCCGATTTGCGGCCCGCCATTTCTGGGTTCACCTGCGAGAGCTTCAGCTGAGTTTGGTCGCCATAGCGCAGGGCAAGCCTCACAGAGCCTGGAGGCGGAGACCAATGCTTGAAACAGGCCTGTGAGCCAGGCCCAAGGCTCTCTCTGCGACGAGAAGAAGGAAGATAGACCTTCAGCCAACGGTCCCTGCGGGCCTCCCAGCCCAAGGCCGCCCGAGCGACCATCTGGTCCGGCCCGCCGCCGTGTCTCACCAACTACCCACCGGCCGATCGACCGACCGACCGAACGAACAGAACGACTCAGATCGCACCGGCGCGGCCGCGATCCCAGTACTAGTGCACCGCTCCTTTCTGATCAGCCATTTCCGCCCACCCCTCCCTTCCACATGGTGTCCCAGCCCGAACACCACCACTCTTCCTCCCTCCTCGCTCTGCGCGGCCCGGCCTCGGCCGTCGGCTCCTCGTCCTCCTCCCACCACCACCACCACCACCACCACCACCTGTCGCGCTCCCGGCGCTACGGCCGCTCCCACGCCGGCGGCGCCAGCTACGTCCCGCAGAACGAGTTCCCCGTCTTCAGCCACTCGGGCGACGTCGAGATCCTCGTGCGCGTCGCCTCGGGCCACGCAAACCGCTACCTGCTGCACCGGCACACCCTCACCCGCTGCTCGGGCTTCTTTGAGGCCAGCACCAGCCAGGAGTGGTCGCGTGGCGGCGCTGCTGCCGCCGCCGCCCAGGCGCTGCTCGAGCCGCCGGCTGCAGAAGACGGGGGAGGGAACAAGGCGCTCGCGGCGGGCAACGAGCTCGCGCGCATCGGCGAGGATGAGGTTGGCGGTGGCGGCGGCGGCGCCGGCGAGGATGCGGCCGGAGGTAGTGTTGGTGGTGCCACGACCGGGGCGGCGGCGGCGGTAGGCACGCCCAAGAGGAGGTGGAGATACGAGCTCGACCCCGGGTTCGGGGAGGGCGACATCCCCATGCTCGTGCAGAAGGACGAGAGCTCCCCATCCCCAACAGACAAGCCAGCGATGTCGGCCTCGCTCTTCGGCGGCGGCCCGCCGACCACCGCCAACGGCGGTGCTTCATCACACGGCAGCCGGCACCACCGGTCGTCGAGCGCAACGCACACGAACCATGGCTTCTTCCGCTCCGTCGCCAACCTCAGCCTCTCCCACCACCACTCCTCCTCCCCGTCTAGCGGCCCGCCGCCCCTGCCGGCCCCGACCCAGGCCGAGCAGGACCTCCTGCGCGACTACGACAACCTCTTCCGCATCATGTACAACTACCCGCCCGTGCTCGACGGCGTCAACATCGCCGACGCCTACGTCCAGTGCAAGTCCCTGCTCGCCCTGGCGGACCAGTACGACGCGCTGGCCGTCGTGGGGCCCCGCGTCGACCACCACCTGCTGCAGTTCCAGAGCCGCCTCTGGAAGCAGATCGTCAAGTACCCCATCTCGTACCTGCGCCTCGGCTACCTCGCGCGCTCCAAGGTCATCTTCCAGGAGGCGCTCGTGCACGTCGTGGGCCAGTGGCCCGCCGGCGAGCGCAGCCTGCGCGCCGCGCTGCCCGACGCCGTGCTCGACATCATCGAGGACAAGGTCGACGAGCTCGAGGAGCAGGTCGGCCGCGTCGAGGGCCGCCTCTTCCGCCTCGGCCTCACGACGCGCAGCGGCGAGCGCGTCACCCCCGCCACCTCCTACCTCGACTGGCTCGCCGTCTCGCTCTTCCGCCAGTGGCTCGCCGACAACACGACCCCGCCGCCTTCCCCGCCGCCGCCGGCGCACCCGCCCTCCTCCTCGTCCTCCTCTGGCGGCGGCGGCGGCGACAACAACAACAACAACCGCCGCGTCCCGTCGTCCCACCACCACCACCAGCACCACCGGCAGCAGCAGCAGCGCGGCGCGACGGCCCCGACGGCGGCGACGGTGCACTTCGCCGTGCCGCCCCCGCAGACGGCCTTCCACCCGGCGCCCCTGGCCTCGCTGGGCCGCACCTACCGCACCCTCGGCGGCGCGCCGGGGAGCCCGCCCTACCTCGGCCACGACGAGTGCAAGCGCTTCCTCAAGCTGACGCCGGAGCTGTACAGCCGGGACAACCTGCGGCGCTTCGAGAAGCGCGTCGACGAGATCAAGGCCATGGCGCGCGACGTCGTCCGGCCCCTCATGGGCAGCGGGCTCGAGCTCGAGATGAGCGGCGGGGGGGGCTCCCGCGGCGCCGAGGCCATCGGGTACCTGACCTGCACGCGGGTTGGGGATCGGGATCTGCCTTGGGGTGTCGAGGAGTGAATGAGGTAAATGTGGAGCTTTGGGGGGAAGAAGAGAAAGAGATTGGTGTCTGGTGTCAAGCGATGCCGGGTATTTGCAATTATGTGCAAAAGGGAAGAGCTGGTTATCTTTCCTTTGTTTCTGGGTGTTTTCTTCTCTGGTCCGAGGGTTTTTGGGGGTTATAATATACCAAACCATATATGAATGAACGACTCTGGATGACATTATAATGAGATGGTTACTGTTTTGTTCTGGTTGCTTGCGAAGTAGGATTTCACCGTGCCATGAGGGAGAGCGGCTTAGCTATGCTGCTGTTCGGCATTCTGAGAAAGGGGTATCATATTCATCGCTGGCCTTGCTCATGCGCACCATCAATCATGGTTCGTGAGATCAATAATAGATACTTCGCTGCTCCTCCAAACAGTCCTCTTTGTGCGCCGAGACGTGTTTCTCGAATCGGGCCGACCCGAGTCCTCCTCACTCCCATGAGCCTTGACTGCTTTCGAGCACGCGATATCGCCTGTCCTTGGCATAGACTGCGTTCCAGTACTGCTATCTATAGCCTTCGGGTTCCCTGTCGCTCTCGATGGACCAGGTGCCTCCTCCTCCGGCCTTCCAGTTCTTATCTTACTAGCAGCAGCGCCGGCTACAAACGGATCATGATCGCGCTTGCTGGGCAGCATACGGATGTCCGGCAGCGAGGGCTCGTCCCCGTCGTCGTAGTCATCGTCAGACAATATCTCGATGCACGGCGACTCTCGTTCCTTGTCTCTGGCTGCTGCTGCCGTTTTCGCCGCCTGCCGAACTTTCGTCTCGACCAGCGACCCAAAGCTCTTGATAGACATCTGATTCTTGTCCACGCCGTTGCTGCTGCTCTTCTGTTTCGCCGCCTTCGTCTTCGCGACGACGGGTGACCCCTTCTTCCGCGGGCTGCGGGTAGGCGAATCGAACGGGTCGGACGCGAACGCGTTCGCCGCCGGGGGCGGCGTGCGCACCCTCTTCACCGCAAGATCACGCGCCGGAGACGAAGGGCAGGGAGGGCTAGACGAGATAACAATTGCCTGCGCGGTCCCGACGGACTTGGTGACCCTAGGGCTGATTTGTGAGCCAGCGAGCGTCCACGGGTTCGCCTGCTTGGACGCGGCTGAATCGCCCTTGTTTTTCTTGGATTGCTTACTTCGGGAAAGTGTACTTGGCTTCGCTGCGGTGGTAGCAGGCCTCCGCTGCGTCTGTTGGAGCGCAGCGCTTGGCGCAGGCGGTATGCCCAGGCTGCTGAGCGGAGGCCGAATCTTTGTTGGACTGCCTCCCCCAAGGCCTGTAGTAACGCTCGCAGACTTTGTCACCTTTACGAATCTGTCAAGCGCCCCCATGGGCATATCTGCCTTCTTTGGAACGCGTGTTTTGGCGGGGCGGGCAAGTTTGGCTTTGCCTTTCGATCTTTGCTTCTCCTCCCAGTCTTCAACAGTCAAGGGCGCACCAAGCTTGACGATAGACTCGGGGACCCAGATCGTATCTTGCCGCAGAGGATCGAATGCCTTTTTTGGTGCCCCCTTGCCTGCATCTTCAGCTACCTCTGGGACCGGTTCGTCAAACTCGTCGTCACTGTTCAGGGCGATTCCATCACGACCGTAGGATGCAACCGGCTCTTCCGGCTCAGCATCCAGGTCGATGGGTACCATGTCAGCGGGGGTGTATGAGACTCGCAGTTCCGGTGTAGCATCTGTTGAGAAGTGGCTCCTTTTGTTCGTAATGTTGTTGACGACGACTGCCTCTCTCGTCTGGGTCGACTCCAGGTCGTCCGTATTGGCTATGTCCATTGACAGGAGTCTCTGGACCAGCATGCTTGGAGCCAAAACTCGAATGTACTTGACAGCTCCTATCCGGTACGTCCAGTCGAATGTCTCTCGGACAAACTCTCTCAGCTCCTGGACGTCTACCGGCTTGACAGCAGGAAAGCCGGTCCTCAGTCTTTCGACAGTAGCGGACTGTGATACTACCGGATGCGTGTAGTACCGAAGGATCTCTAGACTTGGGAAATCTTCGGGGATCGTCAAAGCCTTGTGCTTCGTTCGGAAGAAGTTGTTCTCGTTTGTGGCGAGTTCATGACGCAGATTCTCGCGCCATTGTCTCAGCTCATCAGAATCCGCCCTTTTGATCCGACAGAGCGACTTCCCAAAGCCAGCACGAGCAGCCTCACAGGCGAGCTTCACGCCACAGCCGGGAACACCCTCCGGCAGATAATCCCCTCCGCTCATTAGAGCGACAAGGACCATCCCTTCCCGGTCCAGACCTGAATTCCCCCGCTGGAGTTGGTCGGTATCGTACATGGAGACGTGGGTGGGCGTCTTGCTACCCTTGACCCCATCGGCGGACCAATTCCTCAACGTCCTTGTGCAGCCAAACATGATCGTGTCAACGTCCTCACTGAGAACGGCGTCTACAATGCCTTGCTGCTGTAGCAGAGCACACTCAGCTTCTGCTTCGCCGGGAGCATCGTGAATTTGGAAACCAAAGAGACGAATGAGCCTTTTGGCCATCGCTGTCGCAACTCCATCTCCCCTGCCGGACCGCTTGTTGCGTTTGAAGGCGGGCTTGTTTGGTCCGTCAAAGACGAAGATGGGCTGGATTGAGTGGCCCAGCAAGCGTACAAGCCTATAAAATAGCGTCCTGATTGCGGGATTTGAACCGCCTGCGAACTTTAGCAAACACAAGATCCCGCATCGTATAGGTAGGTATGGGCAGATGACTTTTGTCTTACCTCTGGCAGCTTGTACTTGGAACTGCCATATTGATATGTCGATAGCAAGACGGAACGGCTGGCCGGTCTGCTCTAGATGCTCGACAGCTAGTTTGCAGAGCGAAATGCGTTTTCCTGGTCCAATCTCTTTGTAAATCCTGTATACACCCAAGACTCGTCAGCAAGAAGGCGTCTTTTGCAAGGTCGGTTTCCAAATCGCGACTTGCCCCTTGATACCCATGGTGATGACGTTCTCATAAGGGGCCTAGATTGCCGTCCCTCGGTCCTGCAAGTGCCCAATATCTCAGCAAATGACATAGAGTATAGAAAAGCTAGTCATGATTGCCAATGGCGAACAATCTTCGCTTGTACGCTCAAAGCAAAGACATGGAAGTTGGGTTGGCGGAGCATTGAAACTCAATGTGTCGTCGATTTGTTGACTTCATTGCCTGTTTTAGTGCATCCGCCCCGCGTTACTGGCGTTTCTACAGGGATCAATCCCGCTAATACCCGCTTAATTGAACCAACCGCAATTCAATGGAAGTAGCACGCGCCGCGCGACGTCTTGATAGCCTCATTAAATTGATCTGTTCTAATATGATATTTGATTCTTGGGCAAACAGCTTCTAGGCACCTCAAACATATTCGGCGATTCACTTGTACTCTGTACCTTGAGAAAACACGGATGCATATCTAGAGCGGGCGATCTACACGCGCGCCGGAAGCAATGGCGTCAACGTCAGGGGCAAGTCTCGCCCACCGCAGCGTCTCTAACATTCGCGCCGGCGGTGTCCGGTCGCCTGGGGGCAGCGGTGCCGGCGCTGCAGGCCCCTCCAGCCCGCACACACCCTTGCGAACGATATCCTCGACGTTCGGCTCGCCGTCGAGCCTCCGCGCCGAAGAGGACACCATCATCATCGAGCTCGGCGCCCGCAAAGTCCAGGTCGGGTTCGCAGGGGACCCGGTTCCCAAGGCCGTCGTCACGTTCGGGCCAGAGCAGCAGCGCAGGGTCGGCGACTTCCGGGCGTGGCAGCCGGGCGGGCATGCGGACGACGACTGGAGGAAGAGGGGGGACTCGGCCTGGGGCCGAGACCACGAGCTGTGGCAGCTGGATGTGCGCGGGCTGGATCTGGGCCTTGTAGAGGATAAGCTCGAGAGGGGGCTGAGAGAAGCCTTCTCCAAGTGAGTTCCCCGGCTATGGACCGGTCAGATGTGCTGCAACTGACTTTACTGCCCACAGATACCTCCTCATGGACTCTCGGCCGCGAAAGATGACTCTCGTCCTACCGCCAGCGCTACCGCTACCGCTGCTGTCCACCACACTGGATACTCTCTTCAACCGCTTCCAGTCTCCTCTAATATCTCTAACGTCGAGCGCAGTCATGTGTGTGGTTGGTGCCGGGACTCGCTCGGCTTTGATAGTTGATTTTGGCTGGGCGGAGACTGTCGTGACCAGTGTCTACGAGTACCGGGAAGTACATTGCAGCAGGAGCGTCCGAGGAGGCAGGATGCTTATGGACCGAGTTCATAGGCTCTTTGCTGGCGCTTTAGGCCATGAGGGGGGTCCGCCGACAAAAGAAGATGCCAAGGCCAAGCCGCAGAGCCGTCATCTGAGCTTCGAAGAATGCGAGGAGATTGCCACAAGGATGCTCTGGTGTAAAACAACAGCTTCCAGCTCGGGGAGACCAGGAGCAAGTTCTTTACCCACCGTCGCGGAGCAAGACGAGGACCAAGCAGCTTCGAGTGAGCAGAGCGCCCCGGCAATCGCCCAGATACCCCTGAAGTCTACAACGCCACCCACCACCATCACCCTTTCATATGATCAACTCACCGAGCCGTGTGAAAGTACCTTTTTCGAGGCCCAATACTCAGCAACCAGTTGGGACGACCATGAACTTCCCATTTCCCTCCTAATCTACCACCACCTCTTGCACCTGCCCATGGACGTGCGCGCCATCTGCATGTCCCGCCTCATCTTTACGGGCGGCTGCGCCAACGTCCTCGGCCTGCGCAAGAGGATATTCAACGAGGTCTCACAGCTGATCGAGACGAGGGGCTGGGACCCCGTGCAGGGCAAGGGCGTCGAGCAGCTTAGGGCGAACACGAAGCTGCAGAGGCGGGGGAGCAGACCGGCAGGCGACGGCCCGACGCCGGTGCCCGAGATGACCAGTGAGGATGGGCCGGCGGTCCAACCCCCATGGCCGCCCAACCCCCTGGCGGAGTTCAACAACTTGGAGCAGGAGGTCCAGCGGTACAGGGAGACGGCTCCTCTCAGGGTCCGGGGCCAGCTGAGGGCTGTCGAGTCGCTCGGGGCCTGGAGCGGAGCCAGCCTGTTGACCCAGCTTAAGGTGCCAGCAATAGCTACGATAGACCGTGAGCTGTGGCTGCAACATGGCGCCGCCGGCGCGTCCCGGCCAAGCGATGTCGATTTCAAGACGCAGCAACGGCAGAGCCTGGGCGCTGGTGGTCTAATGCGCAGCGCTGCGGCCGGCACCAACTGGACTCTGGGAGCTTGGGGCAGTTCCTAAGGGAACTCCGCCTATCATGTGTTTGCCGAGCTTATTCAAACAAGCAAAAAAGTAGAGATACCCCAATAGACTGTGCTTTATACAGTAACGCCTTGATCATTTATACACCGACTACTAGGTTGTCGATGCCTTGTTTCCCATCATAATACCATAACTCCCGCGCAGATCATGAGACGCGCTTCCTTTCAGTGCGTTATGTGACACCTGGATTAATGTACAATTACCAACCAACAACGTAGTTATCCCTTATCCCCAGAGAGGCGCAGTCACCTCGACGGCACGCTCGACAACCGCCCTCACGCGGTCTGCGAACACTCTGTGTCCGCACTCAATCTCCAGATTCTCGAGCCACACCTTGGCCTCCATCTTGTCCACCTGAATGCGGATACCCGGAACCGGGATGCCGATCTTGTGAAGCCTCTCGATCTCGGTCTTCTCTCGGAGCTTCTTGAGCCTCTCCTCTTCCTCGTCGTCCGACAGGTCCATCGAGGCGTCGGAATCATTGCCGTCGTTCTCGCCCTTGACTTTGTCCGCGCCCTTCTGCAGCGGCGGCAGCTTGGGCTCGCTGATGGGCGAGACGTTGTCGGGCCCAAACTGGGCCTCGAGGAACATGCACAGACGCTCAAGTCGCTCCTCAGGGGAGAGGTTGGCGTGCAGGTTGCGCTTGGGGAGCTCAACGAGGTCATGCGAGTGAGAATGCGAATGTTGGTTCGACGATCCTGGGTCAGGTCAGTATACTTATGCATGCATGGGACAGAGGGCTCTCTCTCTTGTACTTACGCTTCACCGCAGCAGGGCTGCTCTCAACTGAAAACAGCACAGCCATAACAGCATCGGCGATGCCATCGTTGAGCATATTGCCCTCCCATTCCAGCTCCACCTCCCCGTTGCTGAAATAGCGCACTGTAATGCATCCCATAACGAGGTATGCCGCCTCGAGCTTGTTGATCTCTTCATCAGCTTCCTCAACTGGGCCGTCGCCATTCGAGACACCATTTTGTTCCTGGCGCATCTCAGGGAGCTCGTCAATCTTGCCGAATGTGCCTTCCAGTCCCCACCGAATCAAATCAAGACCCGCAGCGCTGAGATTCAGGTGCTGTTTACAAGTGATAGTAGTCGTGGTCAAACCAGCATACTCTCGCAGATCCTCGGGCGCCATCAGAGATAGCTTGAAATCATTCTGGACCAGGACTCCGGTGATGAGGTGGCTCTGGTCTGACCCATCCGAGGAGCCATTCAACGGAGGCTGGACAGAGGCTAGCTTTCCAACAACCTTGGCAAGCTTCTCTGTCTTGAACGGGATACGAAGCTCTTCACAGTTGCGGGGGCTGTAGACTTTGACCTTGTCCTTGTCAGCCTTGCCTGAGTTCAATGATAGCAGCTTCGACTTTAGGCGCATCATGTTGTGCTGCTCTCCGTGGACCAGGATCTGTAGCAAGTTAGCAAGCGCGGCTCACAATACTCGGAAAGAGTGGACTGTTTTTGTACTTACCACCACAGGCGCGGCCACTTCCTCGATGAACTCCCGGTTCTCGGTGCCGTCTACGTGGGCAGCGAACGAATACTCCTGTACGCTACAGCGTCTGGGAATCATCACCTTCTCGCTGTCACCACCCGGTGCTCTCCGCGCTCCTGCGATGCTCCTTGACATAACGGCTTGAATCTGCTCTGGCTCCTGCATGATCTGCTTTGCCATCGTGCCCTCTACACTGTAACCAGTGATGATGACGCCGTTCTTGTCACTCGGGGCCCAGCGTTCTAGGAGCTCGCGACTGACTCCATTTTGCAGCATACCAGGGCTGGCAAGCATGACACAGCTTCCGACATCGTCGAAGCGATCGAGCGACTTGAGAGACCGGATATACTGGAGATCCCAAGCACCACCTTTCCGCTCATTGAGCTTCTTGATGTTATCATTCATCGCGCCAACGTATGTCTGGTAGATGACCATGCACTTCTTCGCAAGGTTGCTGGCATAGTAGATGGGGACCTTTTGCAGGTCGGGATGTTTGCTCCAGTACTCTTCGAGAATGAGAAGCAGCTCCTGAGCCCGCCCAAGGGCAAAGACTGGCATGAGCACACGGCCGCCGCGGTTGAGAATTCCATTGATGGATTTCATCAATGCTTGTTCCCTCTCGACGCGCGGGACGTGCGTGGCAATTCCATACGTCGACTCGGTGATGAGGACGTCGATCTTGACGCCTTTGGGCACCTGCGCCGAAACGAGATGACGGTCGAGTTCTCTGGAGTAATCGCCCGTGAAGAATATCTTGAGGCCCGCGATCTCGATCAGAAACATGGCGGCGCCGAGAACATGGCCAGCCGGGTAGGGCGTGATCCGGATAGACGACACGGTGTGGGTGGTATGGTAATCGATCGCCTCGATCTGGCCAAAGGTGCTGTTGTGGTCCTGTTCGGTGTAGACCAGCTGCGAGGTCGGATTCGATGAGGTGTTGCCAACACGGACACTGTCTTGGATGAGCCATTTATAGATGGCCTTGGTCGGATGGGTCATGAAAACACGACCCCTGAAATTGGTCTTGGCCAACACATATGGCAGCGAAGCTGCATGGTCGATGTGAAAACTTGAAGCTGTCAGTTTCCTCTTCTGCTACATATCGTCGGGAGGGTTGGCTGGGAGGGTGCGGAATCAAGATGATGCTGGGGCAGACAGGACTGGGGTGAGCAGAATCACTGGCGATCAAACGAGTAGCAAGAAGCTGGCAGCACAGGTTTGTATTGATATCTGCGTACATGGAGGTGTCCTGAGTAGTGGCCACCTCAGGCGCATAACGCAGAGGTGCCGCTCAGATATACACAGGCTCTCTCGAGATAACATGTTGTCCACGAACCGGCTGGATCCTACTACAAACACTACACTTGCGGGGGGTAAAGAGGGGAGGCGGCGGGCAACAGGGGAGGGCGGCTTACTGGCTGATTAGGAGGACATCGACAGTACTCAGATCGAAGTCGTCGAAGAAGGGCAAAGCGGCAAGACCATCGTAGGCAGGGTGCTGGCCCGCATCGAGCTGTCGTATCTCATTAGCTACAAGTTTCGAATAGTCTGGCGACGGCAGTCAGATCGTTCCTTACCATCACAGTCTTTCCCTTGTATTGTATAATGTGGCAAGATCTGCCGACTTCGTTACCACCTCCAAGGCACAGAAACATGAGCTCATCCGCTGGATCGACAGGCTCTTCGGGGGGGGCGGCCATGGCCGAAGCCTTGCGTTTCGAAGCCATAGTGAGTTGATCGGATTTGGGTCAAGAGTCTGGAGGATTGTCGTCGCGATGGGAGGAAGCCTTGTCAATGGCAAAGAGCATGCCAAAGAAAGCGCGTGAGTATCATTGGACCATGGAAACGAACGCCCAAACAAAGGCCGCGTTTGCCGGCCAGCACGAGTAGAATGAGCGGCTTTGAACAACGCTGGCAGGCAGGAAGGCAGGCAGGCAGCTAGGCTTTGTTCACGTCCAGTCGGGAAGTCGTGTGGATCCAATCTGAGCTTGGTGGTGAGAGATGGATGAAGGTAGTGATATCAAGCACAGTAATCGCTGGACGCCGCACGTTATTTTGAACTCCTGCCCTGCCTGCAAGGCCATCAATAGGCTACAGATGGCACTAGAGGTTTGCTATTGTCCACCACTATCAGGCATCCCTGCACTGTAAACAAGCACCAACCCAACTCTTGCCAGGCACGTGCATCAATAATCACGTGACAATAAATACGCGACTGGTCCTCCTCGTTTTGGCGCAACTCCAAGAGCTACCTGCTATCATTTCATCACAATAGCTGGTCACCAGAGACAATATGAGAGGTTAGACAGGCTCGCCTGTCTGCCTTCCATGACAGACATTTTCGATCGACACATTTGATTCTCTTTTCTAATTCCTCTCCCCGATATCCCGAATCTATCAGACGCTCCTGCGCAGAGCGTTGTCGCGCCCCCTCAAACAGCAATCATGGCGCAACCACAGCATCAGATGCCCCCGCGGCCTTTCTCGCCGGCGCAGCAATCGCCGTCCCCGAGCCCGAGCGCGCCGGTTTACCAGTCTTCGATACAGCCTCCCGCAAATAAGAGGCCCCGTATCTCACCAGGGCCTCAGTCGCAGCCGCCGTCGCCATATCCGTACGCGGCAAGCCCTGGCGTCACAACACCTTCCAGCGTCGCCTCACCAACTCATACCCCTCTCCCCGTCCCTCCTCCCAACCCGCAGCAGAGCTATGGCTCACCTTACCCGAATGGTGCCGTACCTTCTACTCCAGCCCTCCACCTGCCGACACCACAGCCGACTGCGCTGCAGCCCATGCAAACGCCTCCGATCCACACTCCCCAGACACCCTCTTCCCCGTACGGGCAACCGCCATACTCGCAAGCGACGCTAGCCCCGATGCCAACACAGGTCACTCCGGGGACGATGGGACCTCCTTCCAAACCACCAGAGAAGCAGACAAAGGAATACCAGTACGAGTTCGACGATTCGTTAGCTGGAACGGGTATCGACCTGCGGCAAGAGGAGCAGCTCCAGCAGGATTATTTTGCGGGCACATACAGGAGCGAGGCGAAGACTGGCTTTCCAGCAAACCCTCCTGGTAGCAAAGCCTCCTTCTACGGTGCTGGACTTGTGAACCAGCCGGCTCAGCCACCAGAGGCAGAGCAACAAGATACCCTGCACCTGCAGACTGCTAAGCGCGCGTGGAACGATTCTGCTAAAGCTCTAGCAGCTGCTCGCAGCCAGGAGGTCCGCAACCCATTCCTAACGATACCCATACTGCACGCGCGAGCAAGCAAAATCGCCAATGATTATGGACTTGTCCTGAATCTGGACCCGAAAACGGGCGGTCCTGGAAAACTCCGTGCCGATTCCGAGTTTCCGAAACCTCAGGTCACCGTCAAGACGAAGATTGGCCCTGACGGTGCCCTCGTGTCCACTTCGAGCTCATTCATCCCCGAGGACAGCTATCTGGTTGATCAATTTGCTTTGGTTTCCATTTCTGCCAAGCACCGCCTCCGTGAGCTCCTGAGTGAAGCGAATCGACTTGCAGTCACGAGACAGCACACGTCACACGGTGAGGTGCCAGCTGAATGGGCCGATGCAGCCGCTCCCCTCGTGAATCCTGGCCAAACGATACCGAGGAAGCGTAGGTGCACCATGTTGCAAATCCCATCTTGTTCGTTACTAACGCGATGTTACATTCAGGCTCTTTCGATGCCCAGGCATCGGATGCCGCGGAGACTGGTCGCATTTCCAAAGTGAATCAGATAACCCAGTCCCTTCGAGACATTAGCAGAGCCGAAAGGGATTTGGAGGAGCAGAGGCTCCGTAGACGGCAGCAGCGGGAGGCCAAGAAGACGGACCCGACTGCCTCTTCCCCCGCTTCCGCGGCCCCCGGTACCCCTGGATCAACGGCAGGACAGCATGAGAAAGCACCGACCAAGAAAGAGTTGAAGAACAAGACTGCGGCGGCCAAGGCTGCAGAGGCAAACAATACGGCGAGTGCAAACCTAACGACTAGCCTGTTCTTGGGGGGTCGCAAGAAGAAAAACTACTCTTGGATGACTGCGGGCAGCGGAGCGAGTACACCAACAAAGTCTGGAGCCTCCCAGGGCCTTCCTGGGGCCGCTGGAGGAGCGCTAGGATCTGCGAACGCTGCTCTGACCAGTGAGGGCAGAACGAAGTTAGGCGTGTGGAGAGAAGACGGCGAGAAAGGGAAGAACATTCACCTGCGAGATTGGGTTTTCACGCTCGAAGCAGACGGCAGGTGTGAGAAGACCTTGCAACAGGCCTACGATCGGCTTGATGCGTCGCAGCCTAGGTGAGAAGGGTCTCGCGCTGGCCTGAGGAAGGCAACACAAGATCCTGCCTAGGTTGAATGTTGTATGGCTTCAATTCAACATTCGTGTATTTCTTCCCCCCTTTTTCTTACTTTGATCACGAAGCCAGGCGTTTTAGGGGCATCGGTACTAGGAATTGCATCATGGTCTAAAGGAGACAAAAAAGCATATCGCGGCCACCCTGCCAAGAGAGAAGAGGGCCGTTGAGCCAGAGGCTCCTTAATATGGCGAGATTGATATCGGGGGATGCCAGCGCTGCTTGGGAGCAGCTTTAGAGTAGCGCAGATGGCGTTAGGTAGCAAGATCTTCGTTTCGCGGGCGGTAATCGAGGAATTCAAGGCCTCTGGCAGCCCATCATTCAGATGTGTATTTACAGTATTCGCAATCGGTTGGTGGTCTTGCTATGCGCTGTGATGCAGCCTCGATCCAGCTTGCGACTCGAGTGTCCGGACTTGTTATGCTGTGGAGTTCAGAAGGTCGGCTTACGATGATTTTCCAAGTATTCTCAATGTTACAGCCCTCTTCCGTTGTTCTAGTGACGTGTGGTTGAGGGCGGGTGGCAGAGTAGCCGGAAATGGATCCAGTCAAAGGGTCAACTTATTCATGTGGTGGGTGATACGCACACCCTAGAGATTACAACATCAACCAACGACATAGGTACCAGCCGGGACTTCTTTTCAGCAGACCCCTTTTGATAGGGAAGAAACAAGATGGCCATCGCGGCAAGTCTCTCCGCAGATCTAGCAAGCGTATTGAGAAGAGACGAAACTGACACCTCCACTTGCATGCGCAGGCGATAGGGCAGATATGCTCGACACAGTCCATGTCCCATAACCTGGGCCAGTGCGTCAGGTTAATCAGTAGAGCTGCAGCTGCCGGCGCAAAAGTATGATATGCATTCTTCAGTCGTACTACGCAACAGTGGCCTGGTCTAAATCTGAGCTCGCACGATGTGATGATATTCGTGCCGTGGTTCGAGGCCATGTGTTGATACCACAGCAGCGTCTCGGAGGATCGGGGTACCCAGATGGATGCTCTAGGGTCAAGCAAGTGCTTGCGAAGAGCTGCCTTCCTTCATTTTACTCATCGAGAGACTCTATGCACGCATCGCTTCAGTCGCGATGTACATGTTGGTCCTGACTCAGCACAGATCCTCTTCCTCCCCGAAGCAGCAGACTACATCGCCACATCGCCCGAGGAGTCCCTCGCGCTCGCCCAGCCCGTCGCGCAGTCCCCCTTTGTGGCGGGCCTCCAGGCCGCAGCGCGCGAGCACAGCCTCGCCGTCACCGTCGGCATCCACGTCCCCGTGCAGGTGCAGGTGCCGGAGCAGCATCAGCAGCAGCAGGCAGACCCGTCCACCACCACCACCGAGAGGAAGCTCCTGAACCGCACAATCTACATCCGGCCCGACGGCACCCTCGACGACGCCGCCTCGTACGACAAGCTGCACCTCTTCGACTACGGCAGCCTGCGCGAGTCGCGCCACACCCGGGCCGGCGCCGCGCTGACCCCGCCCTTCGACACGCCCGCGGGCCGCCTCGGCCCGCTCGTCTGCTTCGACCTGCGCTTCCCGGAGCCCTCGCTCGCGCTGGCGCAGCCGGGAGCCCGGAGCAGCTGGCGGGGCCGGCCGGCCCAGGTCCTGGCGTACCCGTCCGCCTTCACGGTGGCGACGGGCCGGGCGCACTGGGAGGTGCTGCTGCGGGCGCGGGCCGTCGAGGCGCAGTGCTACGTCGTGGCGGCGGCGCAGGTCGGGCGGCACCACGCCTCCTCCTCCTCCTCCGGGGTAGGGGGAGGCGGCCCCGGGGGCAGGGTCAGCTACGGGTGCAGCATGGCGGTGGACCCCTGGGGCAGGGTCCTGTGCCGGCTGGGAGGGGTGACGGAGGACGGGGAGGAGGCCGAGGCGGGCGCCGTGGAGGCGCTGGGCCTCGTCGACATCGACCTGGAGGAGTGGGTTAGGGTCCGGGAGAGGATGCCGCTTGTGCGCCGGACGTGAGTTTCCCTCTCGGTTTCCTGCTTGTTTGCTGTTTTCGCGGTGACAAGCTCATCTCGCCAATGGCCCCTTTCCCCCTCTCACGAAACCCACTCGTCAACATTCGACATCCTGCAGCTCTCCAGCCTACCAGGAGCTTGCATATTTGTTTTGCGTGGCGTTTTTTTTTTTTCAGAAGTATTTCTCGGTCTATTAGGCCTTGTGCAACCAATATTTGATGTTATCTCGGGAGAGGCAAACATCACGCTAACCAACCTTCTCTCACAGGGACGTGTATCCCGAGCTCTGACGTGGCGGAGCTAGGATGAGGACTAAAAGGAGGCCCCGGGATACATGTTCAGGACACGCATCGGCAAGGATCTGAAAGTTTGTTTGACGGTGTGCGCATTGGTTCATTGCCGTCAAGAGACACGGGTAGGTAGTGGGCAGCATCGCGAATCGGGGCAGAGTTCCGCCTGCAAATGTCTGAACTAGGCCTGGTGAGACCAAGAACCTTCTTCAATATTCGCGGCACGTTCCCGCAGCGGCCCGGGAGATGAGGCTCCATCAGCGAGCATCATGAGCTTCGTAATGGCAATACAAGTAGATAGGAACAAATAGAGTGCTCTCGTATAAGTGACTTTGGGTGGATCTCCTCGACCGTCTTTGGTCTCCATCGTCGATCCTAGGCGAGGTCCTGTTCCCGTGGTCTTGGGTCTGGCTGGGGGTCTTAGGTCGAGAAGGGGTCAAGCGGCGTGAGGGTCATGTCCATGTAGGTACATGGCGGTACTCTCTCAAAGTCACCTCTTGGAAGGCGGCGCCTCCTGCAAGCCCGGCAAGCCTCAAAGTCTCAGTCCATCTCACTGCCTGCAGCGATATGTGTCACATCCAGATGATGGCGCCGCCAACCGAGGACCGGGTATGCCGTTCGTGCATGTGTTTGAGGCTCTTTTCTTCCCTTCCAGGATTATTGCTCAGGCGTACGTCCCCTGCAGCTGGTTGGGTAGTTCCGTCGCTCGTTTATCCAACCTCTGAGCGGGCGCAATCCCGCTCTTCCCGGCCGTTGGGACACGAGCCGGTAATGCATGTCCCGCCTGGCTGCAGGTCCCAATGCAAACGCGGCACCTAGCGCCAACGGGGAGAATCCGAGACAAGGGGATGGAGGATCTAGAGCGTGTAAGCCACCGAAAGCAAACAGAAAAAGATAAAGGAGGACGCGCCAATCATTTCTGAGCGACGTTTGTTGCCTGGATAGCAAACCTTCGCCCCAGTCGGGGAGTTCCCGCTCACTCATGCAGTGACGCCTGGATGTGCAGCCTTGGCCCAGGCCCGAGCGACATGGGCGGCTTGTCTGCCGGGTGAGGTGAGAGGGGTGGCCCTGCATCTCGGCGCCAGCCAGTCTCGTCCGTGGGATTTTTTCTTTCTCGGCCGGGAGTGCCATCCCGGGGGCCCGGGCCGGGACATTTCCTCTTCTGCTTCGTCCCCTTTTTTTTTTTTGGTACCTTGTAAAAAGCCCACCGGTAGCCTCTCGCATGACTCTACAAGTAGTTACGTACCACCCCGGCCCAGAGTCAAACTGCTCGGTACCTTTGAATCCGTGAGGCCCAGGACTTGAGACGGTGAGCAAGGATGCAAGGCCCTCCTTGTCGGAGGGTTCTCCCCCCCAGTCCAGCGTACCGGAAACGAGCCGCGGAGGACAGGCCGGTGCAAATCACACTTTGCCCAAGCAAAAAGGAGGGTCGCATTGCTGGGCTCTCCTCCCCAAACCCCCTGCCCCATGCTTTGCAGGGCATGTCCGCCCGCCCTAGAAGTTCCTCCTCCCTTCTAGGGCGATTCTGCGAGTCGCTCTGGTTTGTTGTTGGGAAATTACGGTTCCAAGCCCGCCCCAGGAATAAAATAACGGCATCATGCAAGGATTTTGGCCCGTTCGCCTGTCCTTGTTAAGCGAGAGGTCTCACAGGGCAGAGAGAAAAAACTGTCCAAGCACACCCAGGCTGATCATGTTTCAAGCCCTAAAATAGGATCGACGTACAAGTACGTACCTGAGAATATTATCGGCAAGAGAAGTCCTCGATACCTCTGAGAGCAGAGAGTTGAACATTGTGTGGAGAAGAAGGGAGCCCACGATCATGCCCACCGTTTTGGAGGCACAGAACGGTACGTACATTGTCTCGATTGTATGCGTCGCTCACGGTACTTGTAGTTGTCAAAGTGGAAAAAGGGTCCCTGGATGAGCAGCTCCTCCTCCCCACTTGGACGCCCCAGCAACCTCCACTTTGGAAAGGGGAGCTTCTTCCAAAGTAGTGCTAGAGGCAGAGGACACATGGTCGAATATCATCAAGCTGTTCTGTTGATAGCTAATGGTGAACCGGCGGCTCAATTGACATTGTCGTCTTGGTTGTAACCCTGTTGCCGGGAATCATTGATGACAACATGGGCCTGCTCCTGCTCGGCCAAGATCCCAACAGCAGCTGGACGGGTCTCCGAAATGCTTACGCGCAACTGGAATGTTGCTGACAGGGCGATATCAGGTAGATGATCGACAACCTGTGGAGGGAAGGAGGGTCGAAAGAGAGAGGAAAACCCTGTCTGCGGGCTTGGGTACGGCCTCGGGTACCTGCAAATGGGCAATCAATCAAAAGAAACAAATGTCTGATCTGTCAGAAATGATCAGCAGCTTGTGGCGCACACAAGGTTCGTAGTCCGCATGGGATCATCATATCTCCTAGTCCCCCGATCGAGCAAAAAGAAAAAAAGAAAAAGAAGCAATAAGAAAGCCCGTCCGATCTTTGGTGATCGAATTGCACACACACCAAGGCGTCTCCGAAGAAGGAAGCATGGCTGGGAAAATAATGAGACTGGATCCCAGATCCAAAGAGGTCTCCACTGAGATGGAAGCCCTCGCAAACTACCTCCCAACGGAGATAGCTGTGGGTATTCAAAAACGGAAAAAAAGGTCTCCTAACCCCAGGGAAAACATGAAACAGAGGCTGGCAGGGGGGGGGGGAGAATGGATCTTGGCCAAGTGCTACTCCGTCAATGCTCCGTAATGTCATTTTAGCTTGCTTGGGGGCCGGCGCTGGATTGACGCAAGACAGACAGATAGACAGTGGAGGACCCTGTAAGCTTCCCCCCCTGTCCAGGCCAGAACCCACCCGCAAGCCAAGAACGGAGAACGGAGCCCAACAAACGAGGCACACCACCTTTCCCAATGCTGTTCCACCTACGGCCGCACCACTTCTGGCACACCAAATTTCGGGGAAGCTCCCTAGGAACAGAGCTAGCGTGGGTCCGGCGGTTGTGCCCGGTGACCCAGGAGCGCGGTCCTGGGTGGGCTTGTGTTCCTGCACCTCCTTTAAGCGTGCATTAGCTCCACTGACAAGCTGCTTTTGTTTCCTCATGTGCCTTTTTTTCCCTGGCTTGTTGCATCTCGCGATGCTTGATCCTGAGTACGTACGAGGTAGGTAGCTAATGAGCATCCAGACTAGTTTGGCAGCTGAATCATGACCATAAGCCCACCATATAACGCCATCATTGTTAAGAAGGCCCCTTTCGAGTGAAAAAGAAAAGAAAGCAGGTGCAAGAATCTCGATGGTGGACTTGCGATGCGATGCCCCAACTCGCGAGCTGAAAGCCACGTGCAGAATGATGATCTCATGCCTGCTGACGCAGTGATCCGTATCCCGGTTTCGAACCAGAGAAACAGTCATTTTCCTTTCCCAGTCCTGCCTAGTCCGTCCACCGAAGACGTCAAAAGCACCCAAGAAACTAAGAAAACCTGCCGGCATCCCACACCACTCACTACCTACCTACCCTAGCTGCAGACGGGGAACAGCCGTCCGGGACGCGCAAGTGTCCTTTTTTCACACTTGCAAACATTCTCAAGGCTGAAACCTTGACGTAAAGAATCGAGATCGCACAGAGAAACAATACTGCCATCGAGCCCCGGCTTCCCTGTTTGCATATCCGGCCGGCAAAAGCATAAGCATTCCTAGAGGACAGACGTACCTAGCACCGGCAGCCCGCACCATATGACCCATGGAACCACCTGTGTGTTGTTGGGCATCAAGCAAAAGAAAGAAAAAAACAGGTCCTTCTCTCGGAGAGCCCTTTGCGCACAGCCCAGCTTCACAGGCATCATCCCAGCTCCGATATGCTTGTAGTTTGCGTCTTATTACCCACCCCGTGCCACCCAACCTCGTGGCTCGCAAGCCAGGATTTCCGAGATGAAAATTTTTGATAGCCAAGAACCCACCCACCCATCCTTTTGGAGATCCCAGGTGGCTGGGTGTGTCTCCGTATGGATGGGTAAGAGGAGCGAATCGCTGTAGGCTGGCAGGTGAGCTCCGAAAGAATCTCGTGGTCTCGCATAGTCAAGGCTGAACTGTCAGGCCAAGATGCCGGCGGCAGAGTCATAAAGAGCCAAATGAAGTTTGGCTAACATGGATCTCAAGCAAGGCCATCGCAATACTGGCCGGGGGCTCGATGGTACCACGCAGCTCATGATGTCATTGTGACGCCAAAACCTTCCTTTCGTTTCCATGTCTCAAAGCGCATCGTTCAAAACAAATAGCCAGCCCCTAAAGACAAAGTCTCAGCTATATCGATCACGTTGCTCAATATCTGCCTCCTAAGTCAAAGTTAAGAAGCAAAGCAAAAACGTCAAGAGACAAGCAGTATTGTTGCAAAGTGTGTGGTATCTAAACAAGTGTATTTCGTATGTTCTCATAGTATGGTCTCTAAAATCCAAAACCGTCCTCCGCGCAAAAAATAAAAAGTGCAGTGCAATCAAGGCGCTGTGTAGCTCGCAATCGTCTTCGTGCATACTATACATACAGTCTAGCAGTAGTAGAGCCGGCGATGGCGCGGGGGTATCTTCTATACAACCAGGATCCAGCCCAGCGCCCAAGATGGCCCCGTCGAGAGGGACGAGAGAGCAGCTCACTGGAGGCTCGTCGCGGGGCGGGCGAGGGATGCCCGTCGTTTGTAGTACATGGTTGTTCTTGGTACAGGAGTGAGAAAAG